GGCTTCCTTTGTGAAGGGATCGGGGCGCTGTGGGCAGGAGGGCGCGTGTGGCCCGCAGTGGCCAGTCCACCGGCCACCGGCTTTTGCCCTGCGCCGCCTCCCCCCACCTACTTCCTGATGACACTTTTGGCAGAAATAGAGAGAGAAGGTGAACCGCACGGCCAAGGAAGCTTCGTCTACGTAACAGATTTGTGCTCACCCAAATCTCACATTTTTTCCACTTTAAAAAATAAAACCTTCCCCCTGCAGGACCCGAGGGGGCGCCGGCCGAGGCGGCGAGTCTGTCTTCAGCCACCAGGTGGCGCCCCAGACCTGCAGGTCCCCACCCACCGGCTTCAGCCGCCGGGTGGGGGGCTTCCTCTAAGTTTTTTGGGTCCCTGGGGCAGGGGAGAGTGTCTGCTGCACGCGGAGGCGACCACAGAGAGCTCCCCACTGGTCAGCCCTCCCCAAGTCAGTATTGCCCTCCTTATTCGGTGACCGGGGACACCAAGGCCCAGAGAGAAGGGCCGGGTGGGGGAGACCCTGTGCTGCCACTGCCACTTCCCGCCTCCCCTCAGCTCATTCCAGACACCCACAGGGCACCTGGACTACTAGCACCCCCAGGATGGTCGTGCAAAGGTGGGGCCCGGGCACCTGCGGCCCACCAGGCCGAGGGGCTCGAGCAGGTCTGCCAGCGCGGCCCGGCCCCGGCCGCCAGCGTCCCAGGCCCCACAAGGACTGGGGTCCAGGGGGGCTCAGCCGGTGTCCCAGCTCACCGGGCCCTGCCCTCCCTCCCGAGAGGGCCTGGGGGGACTCCTGGGGTCCTGCTGGGGCTGCGTGGGCAAGGACAGGTTTGGCCCAGGCGTGTCTGGGAGGCCAGATGCCCACCGTTCCCGGCTCTGCCCCCTCAGCGCCAGGCCCAGCCCGGGGACGCCCGCCCCCACCTCCAGGTCAGCAGGGGCCCTGCAGGGGCTCGTTCCACAGCAGCCAGGCCGCAAGCCAGAGGAATAGGAGGCCCAGGGCTGCCGCCAGGCCCACGGACAGCACCAGGTCTGAGTCCTCAGGACCAGGGAGGGCGTCGCCAGGGGCGTGGTGGGCGTCAGCGGGGGCGCCGGACAGCTGGGTGCCAGATACCTTCTCCCAAGGGGAGCCTGGTCGGCCCATCTGTGGGGAGAGGAAGTGAAGGGCAGGGGCCCCCCGCTCCCCCCCACTGTCCCGCCCATCTCCCCCTTGGGAGGCCCTTGAGCCGTGGCTGAAGCAAGGGGCAGTGGGTGCTCCAGAGTCTAGCTTTGTCCTCTTTCAAAGGAGGACGGGGACAGGGCATGAGCAGGACGGCAGGAGAGCCCCGGGTCTGACAGCAGAGCCCCCACCTCCTTACCTTCCCCCGATGGAGGTTTGGAAAGTCAAGTTCAGCCCCGTAGCCCCCCACCGAGATCTTTGCCCCAGTGCCAGGGGGTCTGGAATGCAGCTCTTCCAGTTTCTGGGCACCTGCAAGCCAGCAGACTGGTCTGGAGGGACCTTGCCAACATGCAGCAGCAGCTGAGTCAAAGGTACCAGCTGCCCTTTGCCCCCACAGCAGTGGGCATTGCCTCCCGGCAGAGGAAGGGATGCTCGGGAGGGTGGGGAGGGTCCCCGGGAGCAGCAGGCAGAGGCCTGAGACCAGCCTCAGCTCCTCTGCGCAGGGCAGGGTGTTTGGGTCAGGGCAGGGCATTTGGGTCAGGGCAGCGGGCTTAGGAGTGGCAGGAGAGGGGGTGGTCTCTGCCCCGCCCCGCCCCCAGCCCGGGGTTGGGCAGGGTTCTGAGGGACAGGAACTCTACCTTCCGGCCATGGGGTCTCCCCCTCCTCAGCGGAGCTGCCACCTTCCCAGGCAGGTTCAGGTTAGTGGTAGCCTGAGCAATCTACCAGGTGCCTGGAGGACACACCTTCCCAAGGGGCCTCCCGCCCTTGGGGAGGGGCTGGAACTGGTCAGGGAAGGGAGGGGCCAGCCCCCTCGTGGGTGTGTCCAGGGCAGAGAAGGGAAGATGCCAGCAGTTGTCCTCACTCCAGGACTAGGTGAGGCTTCCTGCCCGGAGCTCCAAGGACAGGAGGCAGGACTCCGCCGAATTCAAGGTGGCCAGGGGCTTCCTGGCCCGAGTGCCTGTGCTATGCCAGGGGTGGGTGGGGGGCAGGAGGAGCGTGCTCCCCCCAGACCCAGGCCCAGGTGAGCGCTGCCTCAGGTGAGCCAGGTGAGCGCTGACTCAGGTGAGCGTGGGTGGGCAGAAGCTGCAAGCCCAGAAGGGGAGGGCTGATGGTGACCCAAGCCAGCAGGGCCGGAAGCTGGGCGGCGGTGGCTAATGGTTGGAGCAAAAGGCTTGTAGTGACCTCAATGCCTGGGAGATCCCAGGGCAAATTAAGGCCTGTGCAGCCAAGAACCCTGAAGAGCCTGGAAGGCAGGGCCGGCCTGTACAAGGAGATTTACACCAGCTTTATTTCTTTTGGCTGAAACCCAGAAATAACCCAACCACTATCACAGTGCGGCGATACTGGGGTACACATATACGTGGCAATCAGGAGAAGGGGGTGAAGCCACAGCAAACGGAGCATGGAGAACCTCAGGGAAGAAACCAGAAGGAAGAAACAGGTGGGTCTCTGACCAGGAAAGAGAAATTGAAACCACAGTTACAGAGGGGGGACATCAGTCCCTTCCAGAGGGGGCAGAGCGGAGGAAGCTCTGGGAAGAACCTTCTAGAAGGATGGAATGTTGTATATCTTGATGGGCCGGTGGGGTCCGGGTGGGTGGTACAGTTGGCAGCCTTCAACTATGCACTTGAAATCTGTTCATGTTACTCTATAGATGGCACGTAATAAACCGATTCTTAAAAGAAAAAATTTAACAAAAAAGTCAGAAACAAGAGCACGATTCCACTTACCTGAGGTTCAAGGGCAGGAAATCCAACCGGCAGAGAGCGTGGGGGGCCGGGTGGGTCTGATGGGGAGAGGACACCAGGGCTGTCTGGGGCGCGGGAAGCCACCCCCTGTTCCGTGATGGGCTGTCGCGCTGCGTGGTTAAGGCGTGATGCAGCTCAGGGTTTTTCAAATGCAGGCTCGAGGGCTGTGTGGCAGTACAAGGGAGGACCCTGGTTTTCTAATGTGTGTGTGTCCTCAGCAGCAAGAAAATGTTTACAATATGACGCTAGGCACAGAATCTCGCCCTCTGAGCGGGCAAGGAGGCGGCACAGGGCAAAAGCCAGTGGCCAGGCAAGACCCGGAGCCCCGCAGTGAGACCTTCCCCGAGGGCTGATGGGTCCCACCTGCTCTCCTTGCGGTCCCATTTCAGTGATAAAGGGGTCTACTTCCTTCACAAGTTTCTAGTTTAAGAAGAAATTTCTGGGCCTCCCCGGTGGCACAGCGGTTGAGCACTGGGTTGCGAAGCTGCCTGCAGCCTCTGCAGTGCTGGCTCGATCCCTGGCCACTCCCGGGCCGCTGGGGGAGGGTCCCACATGGCGCGCAGACCCCTCCTGCCGCCCGCTGCTCCCCTCAGCAGTGTCCTTCGGTCCTTCTGCCTGCTCCGCTCACCGCTCTGGCTCTGGTGAATTCTCTCACCCTCCCGCGCTTCTGACTGTACCCAGTGCTTGTATAAATAAATAAATAAATCCTAAAAAAAAAAAGAAAAGAAAATACTTGTTTTAAAAAAAAGAACGAATTTCTGGGCTCTCTCTCTGAAAGTTAAAAGGGAGAAATGCAACTAATAATTCTGTAACTTTGGGTCCTCCCTGGTGGCGCAAGGGATTAAGCACCACACTATGAGGCAATCCCCAGCCTCTGCAGCATCCCCAACCGGCCAGGGAGCAACCCACATGGCACGGCAAAGCGCTCCTGTCTCCCCGCTGCTCCCCTCAGCAGTGTATTTCATCAGTCCGCCTGTTCTGTTCCCCGCTCTGTCTCCGGTGGATCCTCCCACCCCCCGCATCTCTGGCCTGTACCCAGTTCTTGTATGCATAAATATAAATCTTAAAAAATAATAATAATAATTCTGTAACTTTGAGAATGGGCTGGGGGGTCCAGTTTCAGTTTTTATGTTTAAACATTATCTTATTTCCTAGGCGATTCATAGCAACCCCAAATTATTTCAAAACCAGAAAAAGAAACGGACTGGGAGATAGAGTTTAGCTGGCTGGTGCTCCCAGCCCTCGGCCCCAGATCAGTGCCAGACAAACTTGCTTTCACTTCCTCCCAGGGGAGGGAGCTGGGGCAGCGGAGAGGGGCCTTGACAGCGCCAGGAGTAAGGGGACTGGGCCCTCCCAGCTGTGGTTTGGAGGGAGGCAGCGCCTTTGGGCCCTGGCAAGTCTGGGCTTCAGTCTCTCCTCCTAGAAGGGGAACCCCAGCTGCCCAGGAGGGCGGCGCTCAGCCTGTCAGAGCCGGGCTGGGGCCGGAGGCGCACAAGGCAGGGGCAGGCTGCAGGCCCTGCACGACCGACTGTCCAGCCCCTTCCTCCGGGAGGAGGGTTCCCATGTGCCGGGTCGTCCAGGGACACCCTCGGCGCCGGTGGCCGCCGTCCCCAGGGCCCGGCCTAGCCTGCACACAGCATCCAACCGGACAGGCCAGCCGCGGGGACCCGGGCCCCGGCCGGCCGGGTCCAGCTAGTGCGCCCTCCACACTCCGCTGCGAGGCCGCGTCCCCCCTCGGCGCCCCGGCCCGCGCCCGCACCCCTCGCGCGCGGCGGCCTCGGCGCAGCGCGCGCAGCGGCGCGGGCGGCGGCCGGGCTGGACCCGCATCCCGAGCCGCGGGGAGGCCCCGCCCGCGCCCCGCCCGGCCCGCAGGCGCCCGCGGCCGCCCATTGGCCGGCGCCCTCCCCGCGGGGCCGCCGCAGCCAATCGCGCGCGGGGGCGGGGCCGGCGGGGCCCGGGCACCGCCCACCCCGGCCCGCACCTGCCGCCGCGGCCCCGCGCGCCCGAGCCGAGCCGAGCCGGAGCCGAGCCGGAGCCGGAGCCGGAGCCAGAGCCCGAGCCGGAGCCGAGCCGGAGCCCGAGCCCGAGCCGGCCATGCAGGAGCCGCTGCTGCGGGCCGCGGGCCCGGACTACGACACCTTCGCCGGGGGGCCGCCCGCGTCGCCGTCGCCGTCGCCCCCGGACGGGGCGCGCGCCGGGTGAGCAGCGCGGGCAGGGGCGCGGGCTGGGGCGCGGGCAGGGGCGCGGGCTGGGGCGCGGGCAGGGGCGCGGGCTGGGGCGCGGGCAGGGGCGCGGGCAGGGGCGCGGGCTGGGGCGCGGGCAGGGGCGCGGGCTGGGGCGCGGGCAGGGGCGCGGGCAGGGGCGCGGGCAGGGGCGCGGGCTGGGGCGCGGGCAGGGGCGCGGGCAGGGGCGCGGGCAGGGGCGCGGGCAGGGGCGCGGGCTGGGGCGCGGGCAGGGGCGCGGGCAGGGGCGCGGGCTGGGGCGCGGGCAGGGGCGCGGGCTGGGGCGCGGGCAGGGGCGCGGGCTGGGGCGCGGGCAGGGGCGCGGGCTGGGGCGCGGGCTGGGGCGCGGGCAGGGGCGCGGGCTGGGGCGCGGGCAGGGGCGCGGGCTGGGGCGCGGGCAGGGGCGCGGGCTGGGGCGCGGGCAGGGGCGCGGGCTGGGGCGCGGGCTGGGCGCGGGCTGGGGCGCGGGCTGGGGCGCGGGCTGGCGCGGGGGTGGCCGCGGCCCTGCGCCCCCCGCGCCGCGCCCTGTTTCGGGAGCCCGTTCCCGGAGCGGCCGGGGCCTGCGGCGCGGGCGGCCGGGGAGCGCCTGGATCCGCGCGGCGGGCGGCGGCGGCCGGGGCAGAAGCCAGCACGGAGGCAGCAGCCCCCCCCCCCCCCGGAGCGCAGGACCCGCGCCGCGTCTGGGCCATCGGGGCCGCCGCCTCGCCCTGGGGGTTCCCCGGGGAAGCGAGCGGCCGGGCCCCGGGGTCGTGCCCCCCGGACAGCCGCCCCCTGGCCCCCCGTGCGGCGCCCCGACCGGCGGCACTTCCGGGACAAGGGTCCCCCCCAACCGCGCCGCCTCCCGCCAGGCGCCTGCAGAACTGGAGGGTGTTCCTGGCCACCTTCGCCGCCGTGCTGGGCAATTTCAGCTTCGGGTACGCCATGGTCTACACGTCCCCGGTCATCCCCGCCCTGGAGAGCTCCCTGGACCCGGACCTGACACTGACCAAGAACCAGGCGTCCTGGTTCGGGGTAAGGGCCGCTTGGCCTGGAGAGGGGCGGGAGGAGCAGGGGTCCACTGAGCTTTGGCCCAGCCAGGAACCCCCGCAAAGCTTGGCCTGGGGACCCCCTCCAGGGCTCCGGCCTGACTCTCCCCTCATCCAGCCTGGGCGGAGGGGGCTGGACGGGCGGGAGGCCAGATTGTCACTGCTGGGAAATAAGAGGAAGTGAAAGCTGGAGGAGGCCTCCGGAGGAGTAGACAGCACCTCAGTGTCACCACCCCCTGGGCTTGAGGGTTCCGAAGAACCCCCGACACCCAGAGCGGAGCAGACACGCCGCCACGATGGGGGCAGGGACATCAGGTGCTAATGGACAGAGGCAGAGGCCCTGGCTGGGGCAGGGAGGACCCCCTGGGACAGATGGGGCAATTGGAAAGCAGGGACCCCAAGCGTGCCAGGACTGCAGTTATAACCGAGTAGCCCCCAGTGTATGCTCACAGCATCCTTGCTCAGAGCCCGGGAGCTTGCTGAGACCTCCGTGTGCCAGGCCGGGCTGGCCAGGCAGTGCCCAGGCCACGGGCAGGTCCCGCTCACCGCACTCACGGGGAAATCAGCAACTCCCGGAGCATAAACGCCAGGGGCTTCAAGTCACCAAATCCTTCATGCCCTGTCCTGAAGCAGCAGACGTGTGAACATCAGGGGGGACAGACCGTGGTCGACAGGTGCCCCCTGAGCTGGAGTCCCCATGGGGCATCCCCACGAGGGACGCCCACGTGCGCTAGTCCACCTCCAGAGATGGGAGACTCACTCCCGGTCCTGCAGCCAGCTTGCTTCTGGTGGGGGTGCCGGGTACCCCGCCTCACCTGCCCTGTGCCTCTCCTTGCAGTCCGTGTTTACCCTGGGCGCGGCGGCGGGGGGCCTCAGCGCCATGGTCCTCAACGACCTCCTGGGCCGGAAGCTCAGCATCATGTTCTCGGCCGTGCCCTCGGCCGCCGGCTACGCGCTCATGGCGGGCGCCCACAGCCTCTGGATGTTGCTGCTGGGGCGGGTGCTGACGGGCTTCGCCGGGGGCCTCACGGCTGCCTGCATCCCGGTAAGCCGCTGCTCGGCCACTGCCCCTGGCTCTGACCGCGGCCCCATGAGAATGTCTGCCTTTCCCTGTGGCTGCGGGGGGCCTCCGCTCACCCCAGGTTAGCACGGCAGCTGATTTTGGGGAAATCCGACTAACTCTAGCTGCCTCCACTGTAGACACCCAAATTTCCCACCCCGTTTCCTGCAATCAGATTCATTGCTCAATGGGAGAAACTGAGCAGCAGAGAGGAAAGGGAAGCCCCGTCTCGTGGCCTCCCGGCGCCTCTCGTATGTTCCAGCGTCTGGCGGGGGAGCCCGGCAAGGGCAGAGACCCCCAGGGAGCAGAGACAGAGTCTGCCGCCCTCCGGCCTCCCACTTCAGAGCCACGAGCTTCTGCCCACCCACAGGAAATGTGAGCCAAGAGGGCCCGGCCTGAGACCCCGCCAGGACAGGAGTCCCCGAGGAGCCCCACCCCTGCTCCCCCGGGGCTCCCCCGCTTCAGCCCAGCTCAGGAACCGGCACCTCGCCAAGGCCCGGGCTGGTCACGTGTCTTGCAGGTGTATGTGTCTGAGATTGCTCCCCCAGGTGTTCGAGGTGCCCTGGGGGCCACACCCCAGCTCATGGCTGTGTTCGGATCGCTGTCCCTGTACGCCCTTGGTGAGTCTCATCCGGGCACCCCAGGCTGCCTGCTACCCGATCTCCAGCCCCCACTGTGCACCTCCAGGCAGCTCCTGCCCCCCTGCCCCGGTCATGAGCCCCCTCCCTCTCTGGGCAGTGAGGGCTTCCGTGGGGCTCTCTGCACAGCAGCCTGCATCAAATGGTGGTAGGTAAGAAGTCCAGAGAAAGGCTGACTGAGAGGGGGTGAGGGCTTAGCGATAGAGGCCTGCTCTCTGTCAGCCTGCCTCAGTGCTGGAGGCCCAATGAAGATCCCCTTCTATGTGCTGGGCCCCTTGCCAGGGACCGGGCAATCCCTGCAGCCCCTCCTGGTGGCGATCATAGAGGGCTCGGGCAACCAGGGTAGGCTTCCTGTGGGAGGTGACCCCGGGAAGGCAGAGGAGGTTGCTCCGAGGGCCCGTGGAAGGGGCTCGGCGTCAGGCCTGGGCCCCCGCCTCACGTGCTCCTCGCTGCAGGCCTCCAGCTGCCCTGGCGCTGGCTGGCCGTGGCCGGAGAGGGGCCTGTGCTCATCATGGTCCTGCTGCTCAGCTTCATGCCCAACTCCCCGCGCTTCCTGCTATCCCGGGGCAGGGATGCCGAGGCCCTGCGGGCGCTGGCCTGGCTGCGTGGGGCCGACGCCGACATCCGCTGGGAGTTCGAGCAGATCCAGGACAACGTCCAGAGACAGGTGGGGAGGGTGGATACCGGGCAGGCCTGGCCTCTCTGAGCTTAGTTCCTTTTCCTGGAAGACGGGATTAACGACAGCTCCCGCCTCCTGGAATGGGAGAGGTGTGGCCCCAACCCCTGGCCCAGGCCCAGGCTCTGTGGTGGGCACCTGGGCACCGGAGATGCTGGCCATCCAGATCCTGGGGTTCAGGTGGGGGTCCCCTGAACGACTGCCTCGGTGCACAGCTTCTCTTCTGGGAGTGGGAGCAAGGGACGTGCCAGCCAGCCCCACACAGCCCAGGGCAGGGGCAGGGGTCGCCCACCAGGGACGCCGACACGGCCCCCTCAGCTTCGGCCTCATGTCTCCAGAGCAGCCGCATGTCGTGGGCCGAGGTCCGGGACCCCCACATGTACCGGCCCATCGTCATCGCTGTGCTGATGCGCCTCCTGCAGCAGCTGACCGGCGTCACGCCCATCCTGGTCTACCTGCAGCCCATCTTCGACAAGATGGCCGTGCTGCTGGTGAGCACCCCACAGAGCCCCACTCTGCCCCCACGACCCCGAGAGGCTCATCCCCACGAGCATCTGTGCTGGCCCGGGGTGGGTGTCCCGTGCACACGGAGATCTCCGGGGCTCTTAGCTGACTCCGTGCCATGCACCTGTGCTCAGAATAACGTGTGTGAGCAAAGCCGCGTGTTCTTAAACAGGAGAGAGGGGACGGCAAAGGAAGCCAGTTTTATAAAACTGCAGACCCCTCGGGCGTAGTGGACCCAGGTTCAGAGCATCTCCCTCCCGCTGAGGAGCCACTTCCCCTCCAGACCTCAGCTTCCTCCTCTGCAGGATGGAGATAACAGGCAGCGGGCCGCATGGGTGCAGATGGAGCTGAGATGCAGAGATTAGGGTGCTCAGGGGTCATGGGAGCCCAGCCGGGGCCAGCAGTGGGCACGCAGGGGTGAGGGTGCCGACCAGAGGCAGCGCTAGGCACAGTGGCCCTCAGAGACGCCCCTGCTCCTGGGGGGCCGAGGCCCTGGCTGCAGTACCCATGGGCCGGGGCCAGGCAGGGCCCCTCAGCCCCACTGTCCCCCCTTTGCAGCCCGCCAAGGATGATGCAGCCATCGTGGGGGCCGTGAGACTATTGTCTGTGCTCATCGCTGCCCTCACCATGGACCTGGCTGGCCGAAAGGTCCTGCTCTTCATCTCAGGTGAGCTGCCATGTCCAGCGTGTGCCCTCACGCACTGCCAGGAGGCTGCAGCGGCTACGCCTGGCATGGCCCTCACCCTGGGCACCCCTGTGGGGGAGTGGGGCAGCCGCCAGACTCCTCAGCAGCCAGCTCGGGGCCTGGCACCAGCCCCTCCAGAGAGGTATGGTGGGGTTTGTGGCAGCCAATAAGCCGACTGACCCCCATGGAGGGGTGGGGAGACAAGGGGGTGCTCTGTGGGGTCTCCAGCCCCTGACCAGCTGTGGGTGGGGGTGGCAGATGAGATGGGGCTGGCACAGCAGCCAGCTCAGTGCATCCTGGCCCCCGAGGGCCACCTGTCTGTCAACAGCAACCGTCATGTTCTCTGCCAACCTGGCTCTGGGGCTGTACGTCCACTTTAGTCCTCTGGCCCCCAACAGCACCACAAGCCTCGAGGGCATGCCCTTGCGGGGCACAGAGCAGCCCCTGGCTACGCCCAGCAGCTACCTCACCCTGGTGCCTCTGCTGGCCACCATGCTCTTCATCATGGGTAGGGCGCCGGGGGCAGGGCCGCTGGGAGGAGGGCTGGCTCGCGGAGAGGTGTGGAGCGGCCACTGCTGTCCTGTGTGGTCTGGGTGGGTGGGGCTCTGTCCCTCGGCAGCCCAGAGGAAGAAGTGGGGCCTCAGCTGCCGGCCCCCTCTCCGCAGGCTACGCCATGGGCTGGGGGCCCATCACCTGGCTGCTCATGTCCGAGATCCTGCCGCTACGGGCGCGCGGCGTGGCCTCGGGGCTCTGCGTGCTGGTCAGCTGGCTCACCGCCTTCGCCCTCACCAAGTCCTTCCTGCTGGTGGTGGTGAGTGCCCACCCAGGGCCTGAGGCCCTGCCGGCCGCGCCAGGCCACCCCATCACCGCTGCTCAGCCACACGGTGGCGGCCCCTGAGACTAGCTCCACCCCTTTCAGGGGAGACCGAGGCCAAGGACAGCCCAGAGGCGCCAGCACTCTGCGGACACACAAATGGGCTTGGGGCAGGGAGGACCCGGGGTGGCCTGAGGCTGTGGTGGCAGCTCCCTGCAGGCCCAAGCATGGAGCAGCTAAAAGCACAAGGGCGGGCTTCTAGGGAGGGGAGGGAAGAGGGGCCTGAGGCGAGGCTGCAGGGCCAGTGGACCTGGCCAGGGCGAGCTGGGCTGATGGAGGGAGGGGCCGCCGGCCCAGAAGTCCAAGCGCCCTGGTAAAGCACCCTCATTTTCTCAGGGGCTGTGGGGAGCCCCAGGAGGTGTCTGAGCAGGGGAAGAGCAGATGAGGGCCCCCAGGCTGGCTGATGCCAGCATGGCCCATGGCGCACTGCCAGGCGCGAGGGCTCCGGGCCCTGAGTGACCACGCCCCTCCCTCCCCAGAATGCCTTTGGCCTGCAGACCCCCTTCTTCTTCTTCGCCGCCATCTGCTTGGTGAACCTGGTGTTCACCAGCTGCTGCGTGCCCGAGACCAGGGGCCGGTCGCTGGAGCAGATCGAGTCCTTCTTCCGCACCGGGCAGAGGTCCTTCCTGCACTAGGCGGGCCCCGCCGGGGCCTCTGCAGGAGGCAGTGGAGCCTGGGGCCGCCAGAGCTCGACAGGCCCCCAGACCATCCAGCCCGGCGCACACCTCGGGCGGGACCGGCCAACAGACGTGCAGCCCATGCTGCAGCAGAGCGCGCCCGGCGCGGCACCCGCGGCTCCTCACTCCAGTGCCTGGAATGCCCCCGCGGCTGGGAGGGGGACAGAGAGGACAGGGAAGGACGTGGCCCGCTCGGGGAGGCAGGCAGCGCCGCACCAGGCCGTGTGCGCCCCCGGGAACGGCCGACACCCCAGCCCCGGGCAGGCCCGGCGCCCGCCCGACCTCAGGCGAGCGGCTCTGTGCAGACGTGTTCTCCCTGCTGCAGAATAAAGACTCGGGCCCCGGCCCCAGAAAGGAGTCCTGTTCCAGGTGGGGGACCCTTTCGCCCCCAGGCCAGACCCAAATTCTCAGCCCAGGTCACCAGAGCCTGGTACCCCTGTTGGCCAACCCCCACCGCCCCCAGCTGAGCGCGCTTCCCGCCACCCAGTCCTGGCGCGCGGGCGGGGGCGGCGGGCTTGGGCGGCAGAGAACGGGCTCAGGGGAGAGCAAACAAAACGCCACCAGGCTTTATTGCTCAGAACACAAGCTGTCGAGAAAACGGGGTGCACAGACTGTCGGCACCTCCGGCAGGGGCCTGCCCTGCGGCACCGAGCCACTCAGGTCCTGCCCAGGACTACACGGCTGGAGACCGCAACCCCCGGCAGGGCCCCCCGTGCCCCATCTGACAAGGACCCGGCCTCGCGCTCCAGCCCACCGCTGCGTCGGCCCCAGCCCCAGCCCTGCCGCTCTGGGGCGAGGTGCGCTCTTCCCCCCCGGGCCCTCCTCCCCTCTGGGCGGATGCGACCCCGAGTCCCACCTCCAAGATAAGAAAGAGCCAAGAGGGGCAGGCAGGACCCTGGCTCCTCCTGGGAGGTAGACAGGTCTATTCACGGCACACGCGCGCGCGCACACACACACACACACGCAGCTGGCCTGGAGAAGCCTGGCGTCTACAGCCCTTAGACCCAGCACTGGCCTGAGAAAGGGGACCCTGGGGGGCCTCTAAGGCACACGTCCCCACCCGGGCTGCACCCCAGGTTCCTGCCACCCTGGGGTCAGCCTGGGCAGGCTCCCTGGAGGGCTGCTGGGGCGGGGGCGGGCCCCTGCATTCCACACACACCCTCCTCTACCAGTGCCACCAAGCTTGGGTGGCAGAAGCCACAGGCAGGTGTGGATAGGGCAGGTCAGTGCTGGTGCAGCTCCCAGGAGCCCCACCAGATGTCAGCTCTCCTTGCCACAGGCCGGCTCCCCTGCCCGGTGCCGGGGCGGTAGGGGAGCTGCAGGCAGTGGGCAGCAAGCCCTCCAAGGGCAGGGGTGGAGCAGAAGCATTAGAGGCCGGTCAGGCTCAGCCCTGCTAAGTGGTCTCAGCCACTGTGAACCAGGCCAGGACCGTCCCACAGGTGAGCACGCAGGCCTACAGGCCGAGAAGGACGTAGCGGTGGCCAGGTCCAAGAGGGCATACCGGGACTCCTTGTCCTGAGGTCCAGTCCTGGGGGCTGGGGACACAAGCACCCCTACCGAGCTGTTGCTTGCCACCAAGGACAGATGTGGAGCCCCAGCAACGGCAGGCAGCACCATGGACAGGCAGCCGGGGGGCCAATGGCTCAGCTTCGGGCCTCTCCTGCCGAAGGCCAGACCCACCTCCAGACACAGGCAAGCCGGAGTCTCAGCCCTCCTAGGCCTCCAGCTGAGGAGTCTGGAAATCCCCCAGTCTGCCCTAGCCCAGCCAGGCTGGCTGGCAGGAGTGGGGCCCAGCAGCCTGGCACTGCCTGCCACCCCACCCACCTCCACGCCTGCCTGGGCCTGGCGCTCAGGACCAGGAGGCGACATGTGGAGAGCGTGCAGAGGGGCTGAGGGAGCCAGGTGGAGGCCCGTCCCCAGGCTGTCCCCAGGAGCCGGAGAGCCGGGCAGGGAGGGCTGCTCTGTCACAGCTCCCCCTCCAGGGTCTCTGTGAGTTTCTCCTCATCTGCCTGCTGCTTCTGCTGCTGGATCCTGGCGTAGGAGATGGCATCGCCCCTGGGGAGAGAGCGGGTCAGCACCGGCGCAAGGCCAGGCCCGGAGACAGCCCCCCCAGTGAGCCCCTGGCTTCCGGAGCCCCGGAGAGACACACCTTATCCCCACCAAGGGGCAGGCTGTGGGGGGCTATGCTGCAGGTTCTGAGACAGCCCTGGCTGTGTGGCGAGGGCGGGGGAGCCCTGGGGAGCCAGGCCCCTGAATATGGTGCCAGGAGTAGAACCTGGACAGGAGGTGGACCTCAGTGGCCACCGCCCAGCCAGCCCTGCTCTGGGAGCGGGGAGGCCAGACTGGGCCTCCGGGAAGCCCTCGGGCCCTCGAACTAAACCCCGGGGCACCACCGAGAGACTGGCAACCTCTGTGCCTCAGTTTCCCTCACTGGCCAAGCCCCCGCCCCCCAGGCCAGCCGGGCACAGACGCACTTCCTGCCCAGAGCGGCGAGTCCGTACAGCACACCCGTGGCAAAGGCGATGGCGTTACCCAGCAGTGTGGTCAGCGTCAGGCTGATGATGATGGGGACCACGGCCATCCTGGGGGGTACACAGGACTAAGGGCGCAGCCCGCACCACCTGAGGCTTCACAAAGTCCTCGACGCCCTGAACTCGTGTGCGAAGACGGGGTGCTTTCTGGGGAGAAGACTGGGAGCTTCCGTCAGATTTCAGGCTCCCAAGAGAGTGGAGGGCACTGGCCCCCCCTCCCTGCTTACGAGGACGGCGAAGCAGCGACCCCCTTGCCGCCTGCAGCCCCCCCAGCTTTGTGACGCTGGACAAGCCACCCCGCTTCTCAGAGGCATGTCGAGGGGGACCCCGCCTCAAAGAAAATGGGGAAGCAAGTTAAGTCCAGAACTTGGTCTGGATCATCAGCAGGTGCCACCAGCCAGTGGGAGCAAGAAAGGTCCCCGGGGGCCTGCCCTGGGCAGCCACAGCGGACAGCCCCATGCTGCATGCGTCCCCTGGTGGCGAGCGACGCTCGTGGCTGATCCTCGACCCAGCGAGGTGAGTTACCTGGGCAGGGCAACACCAGCGCCCGAGGACCAGCCCTGACACCTGCCGGGAGGAGGCTGCCCCGGCCTCACCTGCCACACACCCTGTAACCAGAGCGCAGGCACAGGGCACCTGGCGGGGCCGGGGGTGGGCCTGGGCCGGGCCAGCTGCTTCTACCTGAATCTCCATTCTGGTGGGACATGTGCTCGTGAGCTTTTACGGAAGTTATAGGACTCCTGAGTAATAAAAAGAATAGAAATGACAAAGCAGGGGGTGAGGGAGAAATCTTCTGTCAAGAATAAAATTACAGGCGAGCACAGGCCGGAGCATATTCGTGGGAGACGCACCAAAGGGTGAAGACGACTTGAATGCAGCAAACCCGGAGCTTGCTAAATAAGACGTCTAGATGCCAGTTTTCAAAAAAGAAGTACAATGAATGAAAAAACACACGGAGACGGATGCGGCCTCGCAGCTCACGCGCCGCCATGGAGACGGTCCAGGGGCCACCCTGCACGGTCAGCCACAGCACAGAGCAGCCTCCACGACGGCCGCTGCCCTGCCCCAGCCCTGGGGGGCGCTGCCCAGAGTCCCAGGCCTGCTCGCCGACCCCCACAGCGCCTCCCCCCACCCCCCCAACCCCAGCACGGCTGGCCCGGCAGCGGGGCTGGCTTCCCAGCGGGGCCGGAGGGTGCACAGCACCCCCTGCCCCACCCTCGCCTGCGGGTGCTGAGCCAGCAGGTTTGGGGTGTGTGCTGGGGACCCGTCACTCACCCGCAGTAGAAGCCGGCCTTCTGCCAGGAGCGCAGGCGGTCCACCCTCGCGGCCACCGTGTTCGCAAACTCGATGAACGGGCAGCAGAAGGGCGCCTCGCACAGCAGCAGCACGAAGGCATTCAGGCTGCAGGCAGGAGCGGGCAGCCGTCAGATGGCTTCCGGGGCAGCGGCCCCCGGCCCCTCTCCAGGCCTCTGCCCAGCATCCCCAGCTCCCTGCCCGAGCAACCTGCTGCAGGAAGGCTGGGTGGGCTCGCTTTACCCTTCCATCTGGGAGGAAGGGCGGCCTCGCGCTGCTGCGGTCGGCATGACCCCTTGACAGGTGCCCAGGCCAGCCAGGGGGCAGACAGCACGGGCATCATGAGATGGCCCCGGCCCGCCCCGTGGCTGCGCAGGGAGGAGGAAACCCTTGCTGGGCCCCCGCCACATTCACACCTGGGGCACCTGCTCCAGGCTTGGCGACCCCCTGGGTGGGCCGTGGTCGGTGACCAGCACTGGGACTCCCAGCCCGGTGACTGCTCGAGCTGCCGCGGGTCAGACACTCAGGCCCAGGTCCAACTGCTCCACACAACTCAGCACGACACCCACCTCAAGCCTGCCCCCACCTGTCACGGCAGCTGGCGCCCTGGGCCAGCCCTCCCCGCACATCTCACCCTCCGCCCGCCACGCCCAGGGCCCAGCGCCCGGCGCTGCCTCCACCCATCCCGACAGCCCCGGGCCCTGCACAGCAAGCCCCGCCTCGCCAGGGCAGGAGCTCGAGGAGGCGGGGCCCACTCGTGGTTCTCTGTGCCCTCCGGGCCAGCCCCACACAGATGAGCGCCCAGGGCACGGCCACTTCTCCAGGCCGGTGGTGGGGCCCACACAGCTGCACCCCCCGTCCTCTCCTCTGGGCCGGAGCTTCCCCGGCAGGAGGGGACAAGGAACTCGCCTGCCCCACGTCCCCGCTGGGCCACCCCCGGCTCCTGACTGCCACCCCCCACCCCGGCTGGCCCCCAGGACCCCACGATGAGGTTGCTGCTGAGGGATGCAGGGCCTGTATTGCACTCGGGAAACACTTGTGGCCTGGCCTGGGGTCTGCGCTGGCCTGGCCCTGATGATGGTTATTAAGAAAGTGGGAATGAAGAGGTGAAGCCCTGCCCGGGTCAGCAACCCACAGACCCAGACCCCACCGGGGCACAGCCCGCGGCCACTCACATCATCCACACGCCGGCCGCGATGTTCAGGGGGTGGATGGTGACACAGTTGAAGAGGCCCGAGATGGCGCACGCTGGAGGCAAGAGAAACGTGGCAGGGATCAGCGGGAAGGGACAGGGCCCCTGGGGGTCTCCCCCAGCACCCACAGCCCCTCTGCCTCGGGTGGTGCCGGCACTGGGTCCAGGTCCCACAGCCTGGGGCTGCCATAGCCTGAAAGGACGAGGCTGACCAGGGCACTGGCCACCCCAACCCATGGCACTTCCTCCAGCTCTAAGGGGCTCCTGGCTGGGCCTGGCCTTGGGGCTGAGCCCTGGACCAGAGCTGCCTACTCCCAGCGCCCCACACCCTCTGTCCCGGGACCTGGAGGAGCCTGCTCCAAACCCAGCTACAGGGCACCACTGCTGGGTAAGGATGGGGCAGATCATGGTCCCGGGCCTCAGGCGGGCAGGTGGCAGGATCGTGGGCTGGCCACAAGGGCTGCCTCCCTGGGGACAGAAATCAAGATGGGCTGGCCCAGGGGGCAACCCCAGCGCCGACTTACACACCCCCAGTGATCACAGGAAGGTCTCATCTCCTCCCCGGCCCACCTGTCTCCTCCAGTCCCACAGCACAGCCCACTGACAGCAGAAATAAAGGAGGCCACACGCAGAGGGGTGCATCCAACACCCTCAACTGCTCCCCAAGAGCAGGGACAGCCAAGCTCACTTCCCTGCTCCACCCACAGCCATAGACCAGGTTCATGAGGACCCGGAGCCGCCAGGCAGTTCCAGGGAGCAAGCTGCCCGGCCGGAAGCCAGCCCAGGACGGCAGGGAGGGGGGCTGCGCCCATGGAGGCAGCAATTAGCAAGCAGGTCATTAACTTTGCAGTAGCTCTCCTGCACCTGATTCCTGACCCGGGCCTGGATCACAGTTTTCCCATGTAACCCTAGCTGGCAGACAGCAGGTGGAAAAGGAGGGAACCAGAGAATGGGAGCCCAGATAGCACCGGAGCTGCCCTCTGGTGCCCCCAGGCACTGAGGACCACATACTTCCTGCCTACTGAGAAGGAGGCACCTGTCCCTGGCATGTCACATATGTGTTCAGGCCGCAAGGTCCCTGGGAAGCCACCAGCCTCTGACCTCCAGCTCCAACCCTACCCCACTGCCCTGCCAACGGCCAACCTGGGCGAGGACCAGGGCTCAGCCCCAAGGCCAGGCCCAGCCAGGAGCCCCTGAGCAGTCAAGAGCTGGAGAAGTGCCGTGGGGCGGCCAGTCCTGGACCAGCCTCGTCCTTTCAGGCGACGGCATCCCCAGCGCTCTTCACCACCCCAGATAAAGGTCCCTGGGGCATAGAAGGGTAACCCTACCCCAACCCCACCCAAGAGTGACGGGCCAGAAGCCCAAGCCTTATTTGAAGGCCGGGTTTCATCTCTAAAACTCCAAACTCTTCCATGTCACAAAGCAGCCACCTCCCCGCAGACCTGCAGGTGACACTGACGTTGCAGGGAGACCAAGCGTCATCAGCAGCCCCGACGCTGTGACCGCCTGGTGTCCAGGACCCCGGCTCTGAGACAGCAGCATAAAACATGCAGCGCCAAGTTGCATCCTGACTCCAAAGTGGAGGGAGGGCCTGCAAGCCGGTCAGGACCCTTCCTTTCTCCCCCACCAACTACTGCCGCTCCCCAGAGCACCCCACTCTAACCAACGGCCTGCCCCCAAGCCCCCCAGGCGATCCTACAAAGTCAGCGACAGGGACAGGGTACGGGCCTTTGTGCGATGTGCGGGGGAGAGGGCTACCCCGCCGAAGCCTCCAGGCAAGGCCAGAGGAGCACACCCCTAGCCCTGCACCCCTGAACTTCCTTGCAGTCTCCACCCTGGGGACCTGGAAAGTTGCTCCTTCCGCACATCTGGTCAGGATCTTCCTGGCCCTCCACGCCAGGCAGGCGCCCGTCAGGGCACGAGGACTCCCCTGAAGACAGGCAGGCCCTTTCCGGAGCCCCTGCCAGGACCCCCGTGGGCGGGCTGGGGGAAGCAGGCGTCCAGAGGGCTCCCCCGGGCTCTGAGGACCCGTCCCTGACCTGCCGCTCGCTCCTGCGGCGGCCGGGCTCCCGGGAGGCGGCTCCTACAGAAAGGGCCGGGCCGGGGAGACCTGGGGTGGGCCGGTGCATGGGATGGGCTGGAGGTGGAAGATCGGGAGCCGAGGCGCTGAGGCGGCGGGAAGGGGGGAACCGACGGCACCGGCTCGCGTGGCCAGCGCGCACCAGGGCGGGGCGCGGTCAGGGCCCCGGGCACCTGCGCCCCCGCGCACCTCCTTCGCCCGAAGGCTGCGGCCCCAGCCACGCCCAGGCCAACAGGTGAGGCCGCCTGGGCCCGGGGCGCCCCGGGCCGCCGCCGCTCTCGACGCCGGGCGGGGCGCGCGGGGGCCGCGGGGGCCGCGGGGAACCGCCGTGTCCAGCCCGCGCCCCCCCGCCGCGGAGCCTCCCGGGGCCGGTACTCACACGCTGCCCCCAGCACCGCCGACAGGCGACACAGCCAGCGGTACCACCACGTCATGCCCTCCTCCGGCGCGGGCGGCGCGGGGCCGGCGGGCGCCGCCGCCCCGCCGGGGCCGCTCATGGTGCCGCCGGCCGCACAAAGAGCCCCGAGCCGCCGCGTCGGCCCGCGCGCTGCCTTGTGGGAGAGGCGGCTCATTAGCATAGGGGCGGGCCTCGGGGCCTAGGGGCCGCGAAGGGCTTATTAGCATAGGGGGCGGGGCTCTCGGGACAGGCAAGGTGAGGCCGAAGGTAGCGCGCTCAGGGGCGGGGCGAGACGCGCCCGCGAGCTCGCTTCATTAGCATACTGGGCGGGGCCGGGGGCGGGGCCCGAGGGGGCGGGGCGCCCGGACGGGGCGCTCCGGCGGGGCCCGCGCCCGCTGGCCTGGGCGGTCCTGACGAGGGGCGCCGGGGGCTCCTCGTGGGCCTGGGGACGGCGCCCTCGGGCCTGGCCACGCGCCGCGGAGAGGGACTGGCGCTCGCCAGCCGGGGGACCCCGCCGCCCTTGTGGTGCTCCCAGGGGCCCGGTGCTCCCAGGGTGCGGGCGTCGCGGGGCGGGGCGGGGCGGGCGGGATGTGCCCGAGGCGCCCGCGGTTATGAGCTTAAGGGATGGGCCGGAGCCAGATTCCCCACCGGACCCGCACGGAGGCCGCGGCGCCTCGAGGCCACGCTCGGTCTGCGCCGCGGGAAGAGACGCCTGGATGGCCAGCAGGATGGTCAGCAGCATGGCCAGCAGGCCGGCGCTGCCCGGGGACTCCTGCCTGCCCTGGGGCGGGTTTTCAACCCTCCTCTGGACAGTTACGTGAGGAAAGCTCACTCAGCACACTGAGGTGTTTGGGTGCATTTATTGGTACCAGAGGGGCGCTGGCTGCTTTTGCGGAGAGACCCCCAACCCAGCCCCTGGCCTGGCTTTGGAGGTGGTCCTGAGGGAGAGAAACTCAAGGTGGGAATCCCAACAGAAAAACTCTGGGACACCAGGGTCAGCTCTCAGGACTGGCCAGGCAGCCAGCGGGTGTCACGGGCGTGAGGCCGCCTCCTACCCCTTCCCGGACTGGGAGGAGGTCAGTTGGATGTACTCGCGAGGAGGCCAGGGCAGGGCACTGCCAGGACCCCGCGCTCCGGGTTGGAGGGTCCAGTAATGGCCCCGCAGGCTGGCGTGTGCTTCCAGGAAGCCCTGGCTGAACTCCAGCTCGGCCTGGCTGCCCTCCGACTCCCAGTACAGCGCCCGTGGCCCATGGAATGTCCTGGTCTTCAGGCTGTGGGTGTCCCGGATCTGGGGGGACAGGCAGACCCCAGTGATGATTAACCAGCACTCAGAAACCTCAATTCGCACGGCAGTACACACTCAGGGTCCCGTCTCGTCCTCACACCACGGCCCTGGTGGGGACACCATCACCCCACCCAGGAAGCCAGCGCTGGGCTAAGCTGTGCCTCTCCCCAAGGACATACAGCCAGCGCCGGGGCCTGAGCCATCGGTCAGGTTCCAGAGGCCAGGCTGCCCCTCTGACTGTTCTCTCAACACACAGCCTCCTGGGGCAGGCGCTAGCTGGGCGGGGAGGCATCCTGGGCTAACTGGCACGCCTAGTTGACCCTTGTGCAGAGCCCAGCAAACATCTGCTGGTGACTAAGTGGAGGAGACACCTCCTATTATTTCACTGTCGACTTTGAGGGTGTGGGTCTGAAGCAAACTCTGGCCCAGTACCCCGTCCCCATCTCCAAGGACAGGTGTCAGAATCACAAAGTCAGTGCGCTCCAGCCCCGTCCTGGTGGCCTCACCAAGATGTAGCTGGAGTTGGTCTCCTCCGCGCTGGGGTGCGTGTCAGTGACCAGGGCGTGGACGGCGAGGCGGGCCTGTGGGGCCACCATGATGAAGACACGGCAGCCCCCCTCCTTCCTCCCACCTGGACTTATTGAGGGGCTCACGATTTCACCCCGGGGTCCAAAGAGTTGCATGTCACATTCTGCAGGGGCAAACAGGTGGGAGAATTGGGGTGGACCACCTCTGAGACTGAGGAGCCCCCCAAAAAGTCTAATAAAGCCAGCGACCAGGGCAGCTCACAGCCGGGGAGTGGAGAGGGGGCGGTATGTGCCACAGTCAAGACAGGGCCTCCCAGGCCAAAGCCCCCACCAAACCCCATCCCCTCTGTGTGGCATGAGGTGAATAAAGGCCATGCAAGCTCTGGGTTCTGGCTCCCACGCGGTCCACCGGGCAGGGCCAAGTTCAGAAAGACTGGACGAGGTCACCAGCCCAAGAGTCCTTCATGCCAAGCCCGGCCCAAAGGTCTCTGCAGTAGGAGGCCCGCCCACCTGCCCACCCGTGGGCCCTGAGGGCAGCCCTGCATGTGGGGAGGGCAGGCAGCGAGGGGCAACACCAGCAGGCAGAGGCCCCTTGGCCCCTCGCACAGCTGGACGCTGAGGGGCAGCAGTGGCGTCAAATCTCTACAGAGGCAAAGACCGCAGGTTCATGGGCAGCCAGGGGGGCCAGAACCCTCTGGAATAGACTAAGGAGCCGCATTCAGCCGGTGTGGGCTGTGGGGTGCAGGCAAGGCCACTAGGAGGACGGTCGGAAGACACGGAGGGACGCCAACCTCAGCCTGAGGAGTGTGAGCAAGTGCGTGTGCAAGCAGACCCCAGCTCCGAGGCTGACGAGCCAGGGTCGAGGTGCACCAGGGCAGGATTGGGGGTGCAGCTCCCCGAAGGGCCTGAAAGTTTAGGACAGCGCTGGGGGCAGGGGATGGGGCCCAGGGGACAGGCTGAGGTGTGGCAGGAGCCCCGCACCCGCCACCTGGCTGCAAGGCCCCAGAGAGGAAGGGACGCCATCCATATCCCCAACACCCCATTCTGGTGGCAGGTGTGGGGATCGGTGTGGGGGGCGTCGGGAAGCGCTGCTGCTTCCCTCTCTGCCCGGCTCACTGCCCTGTTGAGATAGGCCCCATGGGCAGCAGCACCCTCCTGGCCACCCCAGGGGAGGAGAGGAGGTGGGAGTGGGGAGCGCACCTCTGTGGAAGGACCCCGGGGCCGGCTGGCTCCCAAAGCGCAGCAGCACACCCCCTCCTGGCCGCAGGCGGCGCTGCCTCACCAGCAGCGTGTTGGCCCTGGAGCTGAAGGTGGCGCCCGCCAGCCTCCTGCACGTCTTCCTCCATGTGAGCCGCCCCCACAGCAGCAGCATCTCCCCTAGAAGGGGCAGTGCCATGAGGGCCCCGCCCCAGGCCAGCCCTCCCCCACACGCTGGCCCTGCGACTCTAGCTGACTGAACGAGTTGCTTCGTCTCCCTGGGCCCAGTCCCCCTCTGTGAAATGGGGACAGTCGCTCCGTCTCAAGGGGCCGCGCTGGTTACAGGCAGGGAGCACCTGCAGGATCGGGCCCACGGAGGCCCCAGCTCGGGCAGGAGCGGCCCTGGACTCACCGGCCCTGCAGTTGAGGGACCCCTCGAGGACCTGGAGGGTCACCACCTCCCCCAGGGGCCGCCCAATGGCCACAGTGCAGTCAGGCTGGCCTGGGCCTCGCATGTCGATGGTCCCCGCTGCCGCAAGGTGCAGCCTGCCACAGGCACCTGGAGAAGGCAGGGCACAGGTGAGCAGGCTGCGGGTGGGTCAGTGCAGCAGGGCAGGGCGGGGGAGAGGCTGGCGTCCCGTTGGGCATTTTCTCAGCTCAGGGGAGGGACCGCCTGGTGGGACATGACCCTCCCGGCACGGAAGCACCTCTGGGAAGCGCCAGCTCTCAGCACACAGACCTGGGGACCCACTCAGGCTGCCTTGCTTCAGTGGGAACGAAAGTGAACTCGCACCTTCCCAGTGCTGGGCTGGCCTCCTGAGCGCACCTTTCAGTCCACCTGCAGTGGCCCAGGTGCAGTGGCCCCAGGACCACCCCTGGAAATCCCCCCAAGGATCGTGCTCTCCTGGGTAAGATGCCTGGGCCCAGCCTCCTGCAGCCAGTGCCAGGACAGAAAGGAAGAAGGTACGTAACTGGACTCCCTGGAGCTTTCCTGGAGCCCCAGCCCCCAAGGCTGGGGGGCTGGGGAGAGGGGGCGGGCCTGGAGCAGGGGCCACTCCAGAGGAGCCATGGTGGTAGCAGCTGTGGTCGGGCCTGCAGTGGCGGTTTCCTCCTGGGGCTCCAGGCTGGCCATGGAGTGGCCTGGGCAGGGCCCGGCCCAGCAGCCCCGCACGGTCACTGGCTTAGGCACGTGTTGGCAGAAGTCAGCTGGCACGGGCGCCTGGGCCTGGGGTCCGAGGCAGGCATCATGCCGGAGCTGGATGCCCTCCCCGCAGGAGACGGAGCACTGCCAGGCAGAGGGGCGGGTCAGGGGGCCCTCCAAGGGCGACAGGAACGGAATGTGGCCAGTGCACAGCACGGGAGGCGCCTGCCTGCCTTCTACAGATGCAGAGGCCGAGGCTCAGGTCCCTGCGTGGGCGAGGTAGGAGGAGCCAGACCCAAGCATGGGTCTCCATTGCCCTCCAGGCCTCTCTGCCCCTCCAAGCCCAGAGCAGGCTGGGGGTGGGTAGCTGCGGCGGGGCCCCCAGCTCTCCTCTGGCCTGACCCAGATGCCCGGGGCCTTCTGACCGAGGCGGCAACGGTTTTTGTCCCCTCTTCTCCCCTCTGCCCCAGAGCCAGCTCCTCTGGAGGGGGCCCAGGCCTGCTGACCGGTGTCCTGGGACGAAGTGAGCTCACTGCACGGCTGGGTTACCTGCCCTCCTCTTCCAGCGCCCCCAGATCTCTGGCCTCTTCGGGCCCAGCGAGACCCCACGCCCCGGCCGGCAGACCCGCTCCCGTCCTCTCCGGGGACAGCAGGGAACGCTCACCTGTGTCCAGGCACTGACGTGCCACCGGTAGGTGCAGTCGGCCACGATGCAGGGGATGCTGCCCTGCGGCCGCACCGCACCCCCGCAGGCCGCCCCGTCCACCTCCGTGTCCTGGCCCCGGTCGAGCCGCACACAGGCCACTGAGCGCACGGCGGTGCCGAGGCCACAACTGGCTGAGCAGGGGCCAAGGGACGTGACTTTCCACCTGCGGGAAGAGGGCCGAGAGGGAGACCGGGCCTTCCCAGAGCTGCTTTGCCCCGGCCCGCGTCAGCACAACACGGCCAGGACAGCCTTCTTGTGGAGCCAGGATCCCTGACTTTTGCGATGGCTACGTGGCAAGGGGCCTGCTTCTCCTAATAGGGTGCCCCCACCCCTTTATGACTTAACACCCAGAACCACAAGAGCTGCGGGCTGGTCTGGATCCAGGAATGGCGGGCTGACAGCAGGCCCAGAGAAGCATATCTGGCCACACCGTGTTCGTCAACCGGCAGTCACCGCTGACACGCTTGCAGCAGGTCTGGACCCAGGCAGCCTGCACTGGGACAGGCCCGAATCCCCGTGCCCCCCACCCCCGGCCCTGCTCCGGAGGCCGGGGCCGGCAGCGGGCAGACCAGGAGCCCCTCTTGGAGCAGACACGCCTCCTCTGGGACCACCGACAGCTGGGGCCTGATGGTCTTTGTCGGAGGCAGGAGGGGCCCCCGCATACTGTAGGGGTGCTGTGCCCACCCTCGGGCTCCGCCCAGATGCTGCCTCCTCTGCGGTGAAGGCCTGGGTCCGCCCCGTGCCCACACCCTGTCAGAGCCGACAGTGCCGCCCTCGATCCATGTCTGATGGCTGGTCCAGCCTGCGGCTGCCCCTTCCCTAAAGACCATCCTGTGCCTCTGAACCACCTGAGCCCCCCGCCCGGTGCCTGGCCTGGCACATGCAGGAGCCCGGATGTCCCGGCAGCCTGGGGCTGACTGACCTGGGCGGACAGGGGTCTGGGCTGCAGGCCTCCTGCTGCTCTGGGCGGGGCAGCCGCTGGCACTGGGTATCCGGCAGGATCTCCTCGTGCCTGTCCTCCCCTCGGGCCCGGGCACAGTACAGGACCCTCCTCACGACCCCGCCCCCACAGCTCACGCTGCAGGCGGCCAGCTTGTACCTCCACCTGGGCACACAAGCATCAGGGCAGAGGAGCCGGGGCGACCCCTCCGTCCCCTGTGGGCGAGGACCTGCGCTTCTCCCTCTGGGAGTCCTCCTCATGCCGTCCCCCGCCAGGCCCGGGCACAGAGGACGCAGGACACTCCGAAGCCGAGGGGAGTGTGCGAAGGCAGCGGCGAGGGGCGGGCAGGTCCGAGGCCTACCCCTGCCGGCACCCTGCCCATCCCCATGTGTCCGCGACGCGTCCCCATCACCACCCAACAGGCCGCGATTCCCTTGGCCCACAGCAACCCCCCAAGGCGGGGGTGCTTGTCTGTCTGGCTCCTGCTGTGTCCTGAGGGCCAGCCCAGGGCGCTGTGGGAGCCCAGTTGGGAGCAGATGATGGAAAGGAGCCGGGTGCCCCACAGCCTCGCAGACCCTGTGCTCTGACCCCCCAGCCTCGGGGGACCCCTATGATCGGTCCTGTGGTGGGGACACCGAGGTCAGGAGGGCCCGAGAGGGGGGGCAGGGCTCTGGGCTGCAGGGCACAGCCAGCGGGACTGGGCCCCTGCGCAGGTCACTGGGCGTGGGGCCAGCGCACGGGTCCCCCACCGGAGGAAGCAGAGGCCAGCGGCCCACAGGGAGCCCCCTGGGTAAGATTCCTTCCTCCCGGGGCCAGATGGGCTGCCCCCTGCACTTCTCCCCACTCACCCAGCCGGGCACGGGGCAACCTGGCACACCTCCCGCCGGCTCCCAGGCTTGCTGGCCAGGTCACACAGGTCTTCCTGGACAGGTGACCTGAGGGCGGAGTCCACACAGGTGAAGCGCAGCTCCATGAGGCCTACAAGGAAGCAGCAGGGAGCTGGCACCCCAGGAGGCCTCGGCCAGGACCACCAGCGCCCGGCGTCGGCAGGGGAGGCCCATGTGGATGTGCGCCCTGGCTCTGCCCCAACCTGCGGCGTGGCCTCTGCCTCGTGGCGTCACCTCTCCAAGGCTCAGGTTTTTTATATGAGGTGGCTGACCTGCAGGGTCACCTGAGACGCTTGTAAGCCTGGCCCAGAGTGCGTGCTCAGAGGTGGTGTCGATGGCCTGCTGGGAGCAGCCACTGTCACTGCCAACCCTGACCGTGTCTACCAGAGGCCGGTGCTCCCCGAGTCCTCCTGTAGGAGCACCCCCAAGGGAAACTCTGGTCTCCACTCCCAGCAAGCTGAGGCTCCCCTGACCAAGTGGGGAAGTTCTGGCGTGAGCTCGCTGCTTTCTTCAGAGCACTGTTTCTCTGCTCTGGTCCCCAGGAGGCTCAGGGTAGGTTTGGGGCCCACCTGTGCACCCCTCTTGACCTTACGGAAGATGCTCTTGGGGGCCCATTTCCAGGCTTTGTGATCTCTTCCTGTCTTTCAGTCAATCAATGAACACATTGAACGAGGCTGCCCAGACTTTCCCAACCTCCCTGTTTCCGTGTTGCGTCTGACGGATCGGGACGCTCCGTCGCCACCTGAACGCTTTCAGAACAAGAGACGCGACGGTGGCGCGGGGCTGACGGACGCCAGAGCCTCACCTCGACCACAGGAGACCGAGCACGGCCCCGCCAGGGGCGTCCACACGTGTGCCTCACGCTCCCCCAGGCTGGCGCTGCCCAACGGGGAGGCGCCCTCCTCCTCCTCGGCCCGGGGGTCCAGCTGCCGGGGCAAGCGACAGACGGTGGGGCAGGGCTCCCCTTTCCAGGCCCGAGCCCCTTCCGCTCCCCCTCCGGTCTTTTCCCAGGAGAGGGGTCACGAGCACCCCAGCGGCGTCTTTCGGAGGAGCCCCCTCTGCACCTGCAGTGCTGCCGTCTGCACCACCCCGCAGCAGCCGCCGGGCGGGCTGAGGTGCCCAGGAGAGGATTCGCACAGGCCTGCCCTGCGTCCCGTCGGCCGCACCGAGCTGGCCAGCGGTGGTGACAGTCACCCCACCCACCAGCCCGGACGCGGGTGGGAGCCCGGGGCCCGCCGTCTCCCTCCTGTGCTCCTCCTGGGCGCTCCAACAGGGTCCGCGCCCTCGGCCTGCCGGGCAAGGGGAAGCGGCTTCCCAAGAGGCTCTGAGCGCCGCTGCTCGGGCCGGGGATTCCCGCACGGCCGCGGACTGCCTGTCGCTCTGGCCCGAGGCCGGTGCCAGCGCCCCCCGCACCCAGCCACCCCCGCCCAGACACTCACGTGGCCCCCGCCCGGAGGACAGGTCGTCGAGGCACAGGGCGCCAGGGCAGGCAGCTTCGGGTCTGCGGAGCGGGGCTCCGTGGTCACCAGCGCCTCCGGGCCGCCTGTCCCCTGGGGGCAGGTCCTGTTCCCTGTGGCCAGGTGCGCCGCACCCCTGAGGATCGCACAGGACAGGCATCAGCTGCAGGCGCAGCCCAGCTCTGGGTGGCAGGGTCAGGAGTGGGTGGCCCCAGGCACCCGGTGTAGGGTCCGAAGGGGAGTCGCAGGGCAGGAGCCAGTCTCCATGGGAAGTGGGGAGAGGAGGCCTGAGCCGTGGGGGGCCTGCCCTACCCCTCCCCTCTGGGCAGGGGACAAAACCGGGGCCCTGTGAGGAAAGGGACTTGCCCTGGCCACCCATGCACTGGGCACCACTGCATGTCGCCCACCCACTGAAGAGGGCCCGAGAAGGTGCTGGGCAAGCCGTGGCAGAGAGGGGCAGCCTGAGTCTGGCCTGTGGGGCCCTCTCACACTACCTGGGTGGGCAGGGCTGGGAGTTGCAGGCCCCCACCGCGGGGGGCTGCCGGGCCAGCCCTGGCTGCACAGGGACGGCTGGCCCTGACGTTAGGGTCCCACCAACCTCACCTGCCAGGCTGGCAGGTGACAGGCGCCTTCAGCACCACTCCCCCCCCACCCAACCCTGCCCAAACTCCAGCCAGGGCCCTCCCCATCTTGCCAGGAGCACCTGACAGGGCAGTGCTGCCCCACTGGGTGCGGCAGGTGTGGGCCACGCCCAGCTGATGATGCTGTGGCCACATCTACCTGAGACTCGAAGTCCTTGCCTGCAGCTCGGAGGCGGGCCCCGCCTGGAGGGGGGTCTCCAGGGCCAGGGCAAGCCCAGCTGAGGAGGCACTTCCCCGACAGCCGCAGCCACCCCAGCAGACTGGCCAGACCAGAGCCCGGCGGACCCCCCCCCCCCGGGGGCCAGACAGCACTCACCGCGGCGGGCAGGGTCTGGAGGCACACGGCTCTGGCCACGCCGCGGGCGCCTGGCTCCCTCCGCAGCGGCCGGCGTCCACACACTTGCCGCTCGCCTGGTCCCGACAGCAGAAGGTCACCCAGCGGAGCCCTGGGAGGGGAGCGGGGGGCTAGGCCACCTGCGGCGGGGCCGGTGGGGAAGCCAGCCTGGGGCGGGCCCTGCCCTGGACCTCACCTGCCCCACAGCTCACCGAGCAGGCCCCCCGCGCGGCGGCCCAGGCCCAGGCCCGCCTGTGCTTCGGCTGGAAGTAGGTGAAGGTGATGTCTGGGCGGGTGAGGTCGCCGTACTCCTCACCATAGCGCCTGTAAACCTGCGGGCGGCAGACGGAGCTCGGCCTCGCCCTGGGGGTGCCCTGCAGTCGCCAGCTCGGTCACTCCCCAGGGAAGCCTTCCCTTTGCCTTCCTCCAGGCTGGCTTCCCGGGGATGGAGGAGGGAAACCTGGGAGGACTGCGAGGTGGGGAAGGGCTGGCGCAGGGGCCGTGCTGTGAGGGCCGCTAAGCCACCGAGACCTGGGCCCTCCCGCGGGTCCTCAAGGGCTAGTTCCACCTCCACTCATTTCCACCTTCCTCGGCAAAGCACAAATGGGACCCAGCAGGGGAGCCCCAGACACCCCCACACAAAGCCGGGGCCTCTTAGCCAGCACGGACGCAGCACCCTCTCCGTGCCTGGATCTGCTGCCAACACCGCCTGCTGCACGACTGAGCCCAAAACCTGCCTGTCACCCCAGGAGGCGCCTGCAGCTTAGCCCAGTCTACAGGCGGGACAGTCGCACAGGGGCGAGGCGCAGGGTATCCGCAGCAGAGCTGGGGTGAGAATCTGAGCATCCTGGCCTCAGAGGGGGGCATTCAGGTCCAGTTCTGCCCTCACAGTCTGTGCCTTTGTCTCCCGACTTTGCCCCCATCATTAGGATGGCGCACCCCCTTCCTCTGGACTTGGCAGCTTTCTGCAGCTGCAGCCGCCACTCCTGGGAGCATCGTGGGCCAGTCAGCCTCCGAAGTGCTTAATGACGTTATCTTTAAAATAATGAATCCTGGGGCCTCCCTGGTGGTGGGTGAAGCAAGGGGTGAAGCCTCAGCACTATGAAGCTATCTGCAGCTACTGTAGCACGAGTTTGATCCCCGGCCAGGGAGCTACCCACACGGCGCAGCAGACCTGTCCTGTCTCCCCACTGCTCCCCTCAGCAGTGGATTTCAGTAGATCCTCCGGTTCTGTTCCCCACTCTGTCTCTGGTGAATCCTCTCACCCCCCCTTCACCCCAGTTCTTGTATGCATAAATAAATTTTAAAAAAAATGAATCCTCACGATAGCCAAGACACGCAGCTGTGCTTGGTCCCACTTTGCAGACAAGGAAAGCGCCCTGCCACCCCACCCCCAGCCACCCTCCTTGCGCACCCTGACCCCTGTGTTCGCTTCCTGCAGACCTCAGCGCCACTGCCCTCTCCTGGGAAGCTGGCATGCTGCACGGGGCAGCCCCCTTACCATTAGGGCCCCACACACTGGCCCTGCGGCCCCAAGACCATGCGTGAAAGAGCACATCACAGGTAACCCCGGAGCAGCCCGCACTCCGCCGTCACCTGGATCTCCACGTCCTCCCGGGTGGGACCCCAGATGCGGATCTCCTCCAGGCGGGGCAGCCGCTCCGGCGTGAGCGTGACTGTGTACTCCACGCGGCTGTCCTCCAGCGGGGACGGGTGCGTGGTGCTGGGGGCGATGCTGGCGTTCCCGGCCACCACGTAGTGCCCTCCGACCCTCACAGCTGCGGGGAGCGAGGCCGTTAGCGCGGCCCCCACCCCTCGGGAGGCGGGCACCCCTCTCTCACGCTCAAGCCCTGGTTTCAGGGATGGGGTGGGAGTAGAGGAGACAGCAGGGCCAGGGGGACGAGAGGGGCATCTGCGGTGGGGCCATCTGCACGGCCAGCTCCCAGCCTCCTCCCCAGGGCCCCCGGCTCCTGGTGCCTCCACACCGACGGGGCACACTGACTGACCAGAGAGGCCCCCGGGGTGGCGGCTCAGAGCCTGCTTCCAGAGCCCAGAGGGCACCATGGACCTGTGTCCCTCACCAAGGGCACACACTGAGCTCCACAGAGGTGGGGGGCTCCAGCGCCCCAGGGTAAGCACCCCCACTGCAGATTCAAAGGTCAACGTGGGCGACTCGGGAAGAAAAGCCCCCTGTGGCGCAAAGCAGCCCCGAGCCGGCCTCTGTCTCCTGGGTCAGAGGGTCTCCGAAGGGCGGGCCTTGGCCAGGCGGCACCAGCCACCGGAGGCCAGTCTCCCACTCAAACCTTCGATCTGCCCGCAGAGCGACGCCCCAGGAAAGGGGACACGGGGCTCGGCCAAGCTCCCCGGGGGAGAACCGGGAGGTGGAGGCTTTCATGAGAGCCTGGCCAGACGCCCCCCAGGTCTTACTCTGCACCCCATCCCGTGAAGAGCCCTGAGTGCGGGGGGCCGCTATCAGGGTCCCGGGGATCCCCCAGTGGGCTGTCTGAACGGAAGGCAGTCCAGGCCGCCCCGAACTTGCAGTTGGCACCCAAGGCATCTCGGGGACTCGCCCCTCAAGAGCGGCTACTCTGGCGGGGTCGGCAGCTCACCCAGGTGTGTGAAGAGGGGCCGCCGGTTGACGACGTGTATGCTGGTCAGGTTGGGGGGGAGCGTCAGGAAGGTGACATACTCTAGGAGCACAGGGGGGCCGGGCGTCTCAGCCACCACACCACGGCTGCGGAGAGCGGGTGAGGCGGGGCGGAAAAACTGAACCCTGAGAGCTGACTGGGGGCCGTCTCCGGCAGCGTGAGCCCCCCACCCTGGGGAGGAACCAGCCCAGGCTGCAGGGCCGCTTCAAGGGTGCTGCCCGAGCCGGAGGAAAGGCTGGCCCCCAGGTTCCGGGCACAGAGGGCGACCTGGCCGGGATGAGTGGACACATTGCGCCTCGGGACCTCTCAGCACACACGATGCCGCAGCGACCCGCCCTCTTCCACAGGAGATCCAAGACAAGCATGTGTGAGTTGAACACCCTGCCTGCCCCCCGGGGCTCCTTGAGCAGGAGAGGAGAGACCAGCGCGCAAGGGTCACCCAAGTGCACATCCACCCAGGTGGGGGCTCCAGTGAGCGGTGGAGACCCTGGGACCAGGAGGCGGAGCCCGCGAGCAGCGTGAGGCCGAGGGAGCACAAGGCCCTGCCCGCTCCCGGGCATCTGGGGGTTTGGGCCCCCACCCCTACCCCCGGGCCCACCTCTAGCTCTTCCAGCTGTGAAGGAGCCACTGTGTGCGCTGCAGGTGCTGTTGTCCCCGCCGCACACCTGGCACGCGTCCCGCACCTGCGGGGAGCCCATCCTGCCGTCACAGCCGAAGGTCTGCGCGCAGGGGAGGGAGGTGAGCCGGGATCCCACGGGCAGGGCCGGCCGCGGGCACTGCGGCTCGGGGCTCCTGCCCCAAACGTCCACAGAGGCCCGCTGCAGCGCCCCACATCCAGGCCAGAGCACTCGCAAACCCCTCGCCCACAGCTCTGAACCCACCAAAGTCAAGGTCAGTCCGATGCCCAGGAGACACCCGGGGGACTCCCCAGAACCCCAGGAACCTCCCCAGAACCCGACCCCCAAGGAGGCCTCTTGGCCTCCTGGCTCAGATGGAACAGCCTCGGGGGCCCCGGGAACGGAAAGGCCCGCCCCACCCCACGCGCCTACCCTGCAGCTGCCCAACACGCACAGGCTCAGGGCCCCGTCGTCCCGCGGGCCGCTGGGCACACACCGCGTCCCGTCCAGGAAGCTGTCCCCGCGCCTCACCAGGAAGCTCTGGCCAAGGGCGCGGCACAGGTGTCTGCACAGGGCGTCCCCTGGGGGGAGAGTGGGCGGGAGCCCGCTGCCAGAGGAGGGAGGGCGGGCGCCGGCGGGCAGGCCGCTCTGGGGTCCCGAGACGGCCGGCCCTGCCCGGCCCACACCACGCCACTCCAGCCTGCGCTTGGGGTCCGGCTCCCACTCCTCAGGCCCACTCGGGGCGGCAGCCAGCATGAGCAAAACGTGATCGCAGATGTGCTGGAATCAGGGGTGGGAGGGGAGCCCTCCCTGCCCCCGGCCTCGCCTCATGAGCCCTTCCCGGGCCGCAGCTGTGAGGTGCTGCCCGCATCCCCGTGCCGGCTGGGGAGACCAGCCTTAGAGATGGGCGGCTCGGCCCCACTGCTGCCAAGAGGCCGCCTGGAGATGGCCCTAGGTCCGGTGCTCAGCAATGCAACCACCCTCAGCCCCCAGCTGCACCTCGACTGTACTGCACGGCAGCGCCCCAGTGGTAGAAGGAGGTGCTGTCTGGGGAGAGGCGCAGGGGCTCCCCGTCGGTCTGGGCGCACTGCTCTGACATGAATCCCAGCTGGGTCTGCTCACAGGCCTGTGGGAAGCGGCAGAGCACAGGCAGGGGGCCGGGGGACAGGCAGGGGGCCGGGGGACAGGCAGGGGGCTGGGGGGCAGGCAGGGGGCTGGGGGGCAGGCAGTGGCTGGGGGTGGCTGCTCGAGGGGGCCTGACTTCGGGGGATGGGAGCGTTCTGGACCCCGAGAAGTATCCCATGCATGATGCGTGAATGTGCGGCACGTACAGAATGGCACCCTCTCAAGTGCTGGGTGTTACGCTGTGTGAACTTCCGGGGAATTCAGAAGCAAAAGAATCCCTGATGGCCCCTGGTGACCCCTGCTGCTGGGGGGCGTCCAAGGCAGCCTGGCTCCCCCGGCTCCCTGAGCGGCAGTGGGCAGGCAGCGGGGCACTGAGGGGTGGGCTCTGTCAGGCCTGCTGGGGACTCTAGGCCCCGCCCCCATGCCTACCTGAGTGTGGCACATCTCAGCCTGGAGGTCGGCGCCCACACACGCGCGCCCCCCAAAGGCAGGTCTGAAAAAAACCCAAGACCCAGGGGCAGAGGTGACCCACGGCCCCCCCACAGAGATGTAGCACCGCCCTCTGCCCTCGGCCCCTGCAGTAGGTACCTGGGGTTGTCGCACCGCCGCCGCCTGGTGGCCACGCCACCCCCACAGGAGCGGGAGCAAGGACTGGGGCGACCCCAGCTGGACCAGTGCCCGTGCACCGGCCCCACATGGGGCAGCCCCTCCAGGGAGCGGCAGCGGCCTCTGAAGCACCACTGCAAGAGAGGGCACAGCCACTCCCGACCCACACCCGCCCCCCACATCACCCCACAACAGGAGCACCTCTTACAACCAGGGTGCACCCAGACCCCACATGCACCCCTCAGCCGCAGGACACCTCGGGGCCACACGACGCCCCCCAGAGGACTGCCACACCCACAAGCACCCCCCAGGGCACCAGGCCCCTCACCACATGCACCCCTTCACCCACACCCCAGGACACCCATGCCAGCCCAGGGCCCACTGCCTGGCTGATGACCTCCTCCTGTCCCCACCCAGGGGTGAAGGCTGCAGGTGCGCTGAGACACGCCCACACGCACCCACACACACCCACACACACGCCTCCTCTGACCTTGTCCACGCCACACTTGGTCCCGTCCAGGAGAGGGATGTGCAGGCGGCTGCAGCCGCTTTGGTCCGCAGGGTCTATGTGGCAGGAGAGGGCCTGGCACATATCCTAAGACAGGGGCCTGGTCAGTCAGGGGCCACCATGTCCTGCCTCAGCTGCCGCCCCCAGGCCACAGGACACGCTGACACAGCCAGCACACGGCTCTGCAGGCTCCGGGGCCGGGAGGCCGGGGCCGTGGGGCACTCCCATCGGGCCCAGGGACAGTGACCAGGAACCAGAATCCTCGTAGGAGTACACGACAGTGTTGTCCTCTCTTGTAAAACCAGGGGGACCCTCAGGTCAGGAGAAAGAAGCGCGCTAACGTGTAACACTAGCACAGCCACGCCTGCACACCATGCACGAGCGCGCACGTACTTTACAACGCTGCTAAGACATGCCTGGCATTCTGTGAGAAGGAAGGGGCCCCAGAAGTCCTGGGCAGCCCAGGGGCGTCTGTCAGTGCCACCCCCTCCTCCCACGCCCCCACCCACGCAGCAGAGGGCTCAGCGGCAGCCGTTCCTGCCAGCTCCCAGGTCTGGGCCAGGAAGCCCCGGGACTCTGGATTTAGGAGAGATGTGGCGACTCCGGGGTGGTGCCAAGGCGGACTCCACTCAGGCGCGTCGTGGAAGGAGCAAAAAGAATGTCCAGAGGCCACCAGCATCCCCCCTCCCCCCCCCGGGGCGCTCACCACAGTGGGGCCCTGGGTCCGGCCAGGGAGCCAAGGCTCCAGACCGGGGCGGCCCCCCCACGCAGGCAGGACTCACCAGGTGCCGGCTGGCGAAGGTGCAGGCCACGGCACTAGGGCCGAAGGCCACGCGGCACTGCTCGTCGGCGCCATAGTAGAGGCCGGGGTGCGCGTGCAGAGGGCGCCCCGCGCGCGCCGAGGGCAGCCCCGGAGGGTCCTGCACGCAGCGCCCGCGTCCTGCCCTGGAGGAGACCGGCTCAGGCCCCGGAGGGAGCGTGGGCAGGGAGGGCATTTGTCGGGTGGGATGGAGTCCTCAGCCCTGCCCCCCACCTACACTCGACAGGCGCCGGGGGCTCCACCCTGGGGCAGCTCAGGGGAGCAGCAGGGTGGGAATGACTGAGCGGAGGGGGGGCAGATGGAGTCGGCCTCTGGGAGGGGCGGCAGGCGGGGGAGGGGGCAGGTGGGCCTGCAGGGGACCTGGTGGATGCAGCGTGGACTGGGGTGGGGGTACAGGGAGGAGGTGAGAGGAGGAGGAGTGGGCGCAGGGCAGCGGGACAGAATGCGGAGTTGGGGGCGACCCGAGTGGATGGGAGAAGGAGGGGCCCGCGAAGAGGGGCGGGAGGTGGCCAGGGTGGAGGTGAGGGCGGGATGGGGGTTCGTGGGAGGCGAAGGGGCCGTGGGCTGCGGGGGCAGGTGGAGAGGCGGGTCCTGGGCCGGGACTCGGGGCACGGGGCCGGGGTGGGCCCCGACTACCTGAGCAGGCTCTGCAGCTGCCGGCGGCTGCACTCGGACCACGCGAGGCCCCCGGGGGCGGGCGCGGCGCCATCGGTCGCCATCACGTGGCCGCGGGGGTCGCAGCCGCTCCCCGCGCCGTCGTGGTCCAGGCCGAAGCTGCGCGGGAAGGCGGGAGGGGGTCGCACCCGCTGGACCCCCAAGGGCCAGGCCATCGCCCACCTTCCCCTCCGCGGGGGCGCCGGGCCGGCCGCTGCTCCCGCCTCTTCGGGGCAATAAATATGGAAAGTCTCCCAAAATGCTTGAGTCCAACTAGGCGGTGGTGCTGGGGCGCAGGTGGTGCTGGGGCGCATGGTCGTGGCGAGCGGCTGGGGGTGCGCTTCTCCCCAACTGTGCGGCCCGGGAGACGCAGAGTTCCCCCTGCGCGACCTATTGCTTTCCAAGGCTTTCTCTCCTCCGCACACAACAGAGGAATTGACGCGGTGGGGGGCAGCAATCAGGGCTCGGGAGGCTGCAGGGTGCAGGCCATGGGGCCCCCAGGCCGGTCCCTGGAGCATCAGCCACCCACGGAGGCGGGTTGCCCCTGGGATCCCTCAGCCACCGGGCAGGGCTGCATGGCCTGGGCATGGTGCTGGCGGGCAAGGGAGAGGCGGATTTTTACAGCAAGTGGGTATTTCTTTGGTAAAAGCAAAAAATCAAAAAAAGGAAATTCACCGCCCCAGAAAAACTAGTAATGGATTAAAGTAGAGATTGGCCCACGCGAACGAATAATATTCAAGTGGGAAAATTGGGGGACAACTTAAATGTCCCCGCACTGGGGACATTAATCACTTCACAGCCAAGCCTTCCCAGCCCACCTCCCTCACCCCTTCACAGTCCATTGGGTCAAGGAAATAGACTCCTTCCAGAAGGTTCTCCAGGACCCACTGCCAGCGTGACCACCCCTTTTCTGGGCCCTCGTCAACTCCTTGACCGAAGCCTGGGAACGGCTGCTGGGGCCACGTACCTGTGTCCAATCTCATGGGCGATGGTGACCCCCAGGTCGAAGCCCGTATCCTCAGTGATGAGGCAACTCCAGGAGAGGGAGCAGGCGCCCCCCAGCTGGGTGACCCCCCGAACCTGCCGGTTACCATCAGGCAGCTCAAGGTCAAACCTTGGGAAGAGAGAGCAGCCGTGGCAGGCAGCACTGAGGCACACACCTGCCTCTGGGCCACCTGGCAGGCTGCTACCTGGTGACGTAGAGGACCAGGTCAGCATGCCCAGGGTCCGTGTCCTCGGGGGGGTTGACCATCCTGCCCCACTCGCAGACACTCCGCAGGGACGCAGTGATGTTGGTTGTGATATTCGGAGCACCCTGGGGGGCAGTGATAGCACTTAGGGCCCCCCCAGCGCTGCATCTCCGTGGGCTCTCTACATCCTGCAACTCTCCAAGCCGCAGAGGAGGAGGCCGGGGCAGGCCGCAGAGCTGGGACCCAGGCCCCGCGGTGCCCACGCCAGAAGGAGGCAGAAGAGGATGGACACGGATCGTGCCGTGGGCTGGCAGCACGGGCCTACCTGGGGCTCGGTCAGGATGACCATCTTCACCAGGTGCACCCGGAACTGAGCCCCCAGGGAGGGGTCCCTGAGCAGTTCCGACCCCTGTGGAAGGAGAGTGGGAGTGGTGAGAATATGGGTGAGTGGAGCTGGCCCCCAGCAGAGGGTGCTCCCTCAGCAAAGCAGGGGGAGACAAGGGGGCAGCATGGAGGGGGTGCGCATAGGGCTCCTGGAGATGGTGCTCCATTGGCATGGGGGGCTGAAGGGGGGCTCCATCAGCATGGAGGATTGGGGGGCTCCACTTCTACCCCTAGAAGCCAAATGAAGGGGAGGCCCACAGGGATGGGGGTGCCCTCAAGAAGGACCCAGGGAGGCCAGTTTGAAGCTAGCCCCAGGGCTGTCTGGCAGCACCGGCCAACGTGCCCATGAGTCAAAGGGGTGCCAGGGCAGGGGCTAGGCTTGAGGGTCCTCAGGAAAAAGGACCCAAGTGGCAAGAGGCTGTGGGGTGTAGGGCGGAGCCAAGAGGGGTTCCCAGACCTCACTCCAGGTGAGAATGGGCGGGGGGAGGAAGAAAAGCTCAGGCCACCCCTCTCCCCACTCACTCCAGCGGCCCTGAAACCCAGTGTGAGCCCAGCTCAGGTCTACGCCCGCGTTCAACACACAGAGCTCAAGCTGCCAGGGAAGCCAGCCCCTCGGGGCCCCACCATGTTGAGGTTGGTGAGCACGTAGCGCTCCGTGTCCTCCCCGTGAGCTTGGTAGACATCGGGGCCCACAGCCACCAGCAGCTCCAGGTGCAGGATGCTCCCAGCAGCCCTCCTCTGCCTCCAGAGGCCAGGCGGGGGCGGCGGAGGATGGCCGGGCACAGCCGCGGGCAGCACTGAGAGCGAAGGTTCTGGGAAGCACATGGAAGGTGGCTTTGATGGCCCGGTCAGGGGTCCCCAGGGCCCTCACAGGCCTCTGCATCACCCTGGGCTTGGAGGCACAGGGGCTGGGGCCCCAGCTCTGCAGCTTACCACCAGGGCCTTCCAGGAGTGGGTGAGCCCCACCCTCTGCTATCCCAAGGGGAAAGTGAGGAGCATAAAAATACCTGCCAGGGGATGGCAAGGCCTGCCTAACCGGGCCTGCTAGGTCTGTGGCCTCCAGCTCTGCCTTTTCCTCCCGCAAAAGCTGCATCTTGAACCTCCATCAAAGTCACCCCCGCCCTCAGCTCCGCCCCCAAACGCTCCACTCTAGCTCCGCCCACGGTCCTCCGGCTCCGCCCCCGCCCTCCAGCTCCGCCCCCATCCTCCAGCTCTGCTCACATCTTCCAGCTCTGTCCCTGGCCCTCAGCTCCGCCCCTGGTCATCCGGCTCTGCCCCTGTCCTCCAGCTCTGACCCCTGGCCCTCCAGCTCTGCCCCCCTATTCCCCGCCCTCAGCCCCGCCCCCAGACCACTAGCTCCACCCCGGACCTGTAGCTCCGCCCCCAGCCCTCTAGCTCCGCCCCTGGACCTCAGCTCCGCCCCCGTCTTCCAGCTCCGCCCCGGCCCTCAGCTCCGCCCCTGGCCCCCAGCTCCGCCCCCAGACATCAGCTCCACCCCTGTCTTCTAGCTCCGCCCCTGGCCCTCAGCTCCGCCCCCAGCCCTCTAGCTCCGCCTCCAGACCGCAGCTCCACCCATCTTCTAGCACCGCCCTGGCCCTCAGCTCCGCCCCCAGACCTCTAGCTCCGCCCCCGCCTCTCAGCTCCGCCCCATCCTCCAGCCCCGCCCCCGGCCCTCAGCTCCGCCCCCGTCCTCCAGCCCCGCCCCTGGCCCTCCAGCCTGGCCCCAGGCAGTGGTCTCTGGGTGACCCGTGCAGACCACGGAGAAGTGGGATCACGAGTGAGACACCCCAGCATTCTCCCAGCCTGACACAGCGCCCTCCGCTCTGCTCCTCCCCGGCCTCTGATCAAAGTCACCGCGTTGCTACTGAGAAGGAGGCCGGCACCCGGGGGAGGTCCAGGCGAGGCCCCGCGATCCGCAGGGATCCTCTGCGCAGGGAAACCGGCGGGCCCTGCCCTGTTCCCCACGGAAGGAATAATGAGCTACATCCCCGGCCAGAAACCCCGACTGCGCGGACCAGCTGCCCACGGAGGCCCCGGCCGGAAGGAGCAGCTCATTAGTGGCCATTCCCTGGAGGCTGAGAGCAGCTCCGGGGTCAGACCCCTGCACCGCCCAGAGCACCCGAATCAGCTTCTGTCCCTTGGCAGGAAGTGGCGGGGTTCATTGACAGGGGTGCCGCAGGCCCCTGACCCAGCAGCCCCGGAGTCCGTGCTCCGGTCCCGGAGGTTCTGAGAAAATCCCTTGCTAAGAGGACCGGGACAAATACCTCTCCAGGGAGCGCGGGGGCCGAAGTAAGAAGACGCCTCCTGGGGCCCCTGGAGAAACGGCTGCAGGACAAAAGGACAAATGAGGAGCTGGAAGAGCAGAGAGGACGGGAGAGGGAGAGGCAGGGGGAGGGGAGGAGAGGGGAGGGCCGGGAAGGGCGCCCTTCCCCAGGTGGACAGGGCTCTGAGAGGCCAGCCCCGCCCGGGGCTGTTTGGAGCTTCCTCCGGTCCGGCACCTCAAGGGCTGGGTTCCCGGCACCAGACTCCCGCCCGGTCACCCACCTGCGGGGCCTGGGAGAGTCCCCAGCAGCCCAGGAGGAAGAAGGCAGGAGGCAGAATTCCCCGCGTGCATCTTCCCCAGGGCTGAAGTCCCCTCATCCTCAGGAAGGCCCTGGGAGGGAGCCACACCACTGGGACTGTGTGTGGAAAGGGGCAGAGACCCCTGCTGGCAGGGCTGGCTGGGCGGGGCCCGGGCTGGGCTGGCTCTTGGGATCCTCCTCTGGGGAAGGGCCCCAGGCTCCTCCCGCCAAGCAGGACCTGGCTTAGGGCTCTTTGGTTCTGCACACCCCCACCCCGGGGTGCGCTGGCTGAGGGCCCTGTGCTGGGGAGGGAGCGCCAGGGCTGGCCTGGGACGGGGATCCGGGATGCTGTGACGGCTGCTGTGACGGCTTCTGCTCTCCCACTGATCCCCCTTCTCTGGCTCTGCCTGCTCCCCGCCCCAGGGTGGACGCTGGGCCCCTGCCTAGACTGTGCCTCACAGACACTGCTGCGCCTCTCGCCTCCCTTGCCTCTGCCTTTTCCGTGCCCCACCCCCCGTCACAACTCACGGCCCCTCTGCATGGCACCACGGACCCCCGCCGTCCACTCTGCTTCCTGGCGGGCTCCTGCTCCCACCAGCCAAGCTCTGCCCTCCCTCGCATCTGCCCCAAGCTGCCCGATGACTAGGGGAGATGACCGCTGAGCTCTGCCGCCTCGCCCCCGCCCCTCATTCTGGGCCAACCCACTGCCTGTCGCAGCCCAGACCTGCTGAGGTCCACTTAGCAGGCTGGGGGGCTCCCTGCCCGTCCTGCAATTCCTCCCTTATCTTTCACAGGCAGACCCCCCACCCCCACCCCAGTCTCGGAGACTGCTTCCTGCGGACCCCACCGGGCACGTGGCCCTAGTCCCAGCTGCAGCTCGGGCCCGGGCCTCTGGAGCCCCTTCCTATCCGCTCTCCCTGCTCTCCCACCCGCCCGCCCTCCTCTCTGCGAGTGGCAGTATCTTGTAAGAACTTAGGTCACGCGGCTCCCCGTGCCCGGGAAGAGCGTGTCCGGACTCCATCCCCCGGCTCTGGAAGCCACGCGAGCCCCTGTGCACTCGGGGGGGCCCTGGCCCCCTCTCTCCCAACTTCAGCCACTGCTGTCCTGCCCCGACCCAGGTCTCACATTCAAGTCTCAGCTGAAATGTCTCCTCCTCAACGTTCTTCCCTCTGGACTCATGTCACCGCCCCCCAGAGAGGTTTCCACGTTTAGGAAATAAAAGTCAAGCAGAGACTCAGCCCGGGCCCTGCAGATCTGTTCTGTCCCTCCAGGCCCACACCCTCTCCCGCAAACAGCCCCCGCAGATCCTCAGTCAGGCCGGGAAGCAGCCCAGCCCCGGCCCCTGTGTTGACTGGAGCCGTGTGTCACGCGTCTGCTTGGCTCAGCCCTGACGTCAGCGGGGGCAGGGAGCACCACCCCGAACCCTGGAAGGAAGTGGGTCCCCACGATCACTACAAGCTGCACTCGGGGCATGGAGATGGCAACGACTGAAAAAAGCAGGTCCAGACCCTAAGGGACACATTTCACTAGAATGTTGCTTTACACGAAGGTCGCCCCGAAGCCGCTGCCCGATTCCCACCTAGCCAGGGAACCTTCCCCTCGAAATGTACGAAATCACGTTGGTGTGTAGCCCAGGCCTGCACTGACTGGTCAATAAGTATCTGCAACTTGGAGGCGGAAAAAAGAAGACACCCAGCCAGTTAAATATCAAATTTCAGATAAAAACAATTTTAAAATGAGTTTTGGTATCTATACACCCAAAATATTGCAACTATGGCATAGGACATGCTAATACTGAAATTACCTGGCCAATCTCTACAACGCCTCATTGTAGCACTTCCATTGACGTATCATCCAGTTATCTGGTTTATGTTGTGTGCTTTCCTGAGCAACCTCCCCCACCCCAACCCCCACCCCCCACGCACACACACCCCGTGGAAGCTTCAAACAAGTAGAAGCTGGGGCTGCGTTGTAGGCCTGGGAGTTCTCAGGTGGAGGCCTCGCAGGTTGGTGGTTAATCCTTCTTGATATAAATCAGCCTAGAACAATTACTGCAATGTTATCTTGTTACCAAGCAATGGTCACAAATCTCTGCTTTGCTCTCGATTTGCACGGACCAGATTACCATACAGGGTGGTTTGTTTTGATTTTTTTTTTAGAACTGGGGTACAGGCCAGAGGCGCAGGAGGGTGAGAGGATTCACCAGAGCAGAGCGGGGAGCAGAACAGGCAGACTGAGGAAATCCACTGCTGAGGGGAGCAGCGGGCGAGGCAGGAGAGGTCTGCCGCGCCATGTGGGTAGCTCCCGGCCGGCCGGGACTCGAACCCGCGCTGCAGAGGCTGCGGACAGCTTCACAGCGCGGCGCTCAACCCGCTGCGCCCCCGGGAGGCCCACGGTCCAGGGTTTCGAGAACAGAACCTTTACTGCAAATCGGTTGTCAAGGCGGGGAGGGCGAGGCCTCGCTCAGTCGCGGGGCCGGCTGCGGGGGCGGCCTCCGGGGCCCCTCCGGGCGCGCGTCCAGGGGCCTCGGGCTCGGCTCCGGGGCGCCGACAGGCCTCGGGGCGCTGCTGTGCGTGGGCGAGTCCCCGGGAAAGCTCAGGCCTGGCGCCACCGCCCGGGCGCGGCTCGCGGGGCCCCGCGCGGCCGGCGGGGCAGCGCGTCACCGCAGGCTCCGACGGGCGCGAGAACGGCCGGTGCGCGGGCGCCACCGCGGGACGCCGCCCAGGGGCCCGGCCGCCGGGGGCGGGGTGCGGTCGGGGGGGTCCCCGCGCCTGGGCCCGCGCCAGAGCCGGGGGGCGGCGAGCCCCAGCGCCCCCTGGCGGCCGCCGCGCCCCGCGCTCGCCGGCCCAGCGGCCGCGCCCCGCGGACGGCGCCCGTTCCCTGCCGGCGCCCGCCTCTGGCGCCCGCCCCGGCCTCGGGCACCCCGGGCCTGCCCCGCCCGGCCCTCGGCCGCCGCCCGGACGCCGCGCGCCGCCGGCGGTGAGGCGCCCGGCCCGCTCCCGGGGGCGGAACGAGAGGCGGGGGCCGGGTTTCCCGCCGGGCGGCGGGAGCCGAGCACTTCCGGGGCCGGGGCGCACGTGCCGGGAGCGCGCGGGGCCGCTTCCGGGCCGCTTCCGGGGTCGGGCCCGGCCTGTGCCCCGCGGGATGGCGAAGGCGCGCGGGCCCACGCCCGGGCCGGGCTCGGGGCCGGCGCCGGCCGGGAAGCCGACTCGGAAGAGAAGCAAGAAGAGGTGGTTCTGGGAAAACCGAGCGCGAGAAGCCGGCGCGCCCCCGGGACGCGCCCCCGGCGTGGGCGCGGGGCGGCCCCCGAAGGCCCCGGAGGACTTCTCCCAGAACTGGAAGGCGCTGCAGCAGGTGGGCCGGGCCGGGCCGGGCCGGGGGCGGCGGGCGGGGTGCGGGCGCGCGGCAGGCACGTGCTGTCCGGGGCTCCGCGTGTCTGCGCTTCGTTTAACACCCTCCACGCCCCCGCGGCAGCGGCGAGTCGGACCATCCTCTCCGCCGTGCAGGGGGGATAGGCCGGGTCAGGCGACCTGAGGTTGCACCGGGAGGACAGGACCTGCCCTGACCTCGGTGGCGGCGCTGACAACCACCGCCTTCTGGGCCTCTGTGGGACAGCGCTTTAGGGCTTGTCCTGTCACACTCCCTCCTGCGCCTCACTCAGAAACCGCCACCTCCCCGGGGGTTCACTGCAGACCGTCCAGCTGATCTCTAGGAGAGGAAATTGAGGCACAGAATGATGAAGGCACTTGGCCCAAGGTCATCCACCTGGTAAACGATGCGCTGGGCGCAGAGTCACACAATTTGCTTGGGTCTGTGCTCATTGCCACTGCTGGCTGTCAGTCTCCTCCGGAGGCAGAGGGAGCCTGGAGGACAGAGAAGCGCTGCCTGAGCCTCTAAATACAGCCCACAGGTTAGGAAGGGGAGGCCTCACCGTGGACCCAGAAAATCCCCACGGCAATCCCAGTACCTGGCCACATGCGGATCTGGGCTGCGGTGATCAGCCATGCTGGGGTTTGCATACCAGGGAGACAAGCTCAAAGAGCCTCCTCCCCCCTCACCTCCCCAGGTGAGAATAGAGCTGCAGCAACTACCTCTAGTCTGACAAAAACTTCCATTAAGACACTCCTGCCTCTCCTGAGACTCCCAGGGAGAGCAAACCCAGATCTGGCAGAGGAAGTGGCTCCGTGCACCAGCGTGTTGGCCTAAACTGTGAGGGCAGTCACCCTACAGTGAGCTCCAGTGCACTGTGAACATGGAGAAAGCCTGTCCCCCTGGTCAGCCAATCCCAACTGAAGGTGTAGGAGGGGAGTTTGAGCAGTGAGGAGGCAGACATGGTGTTATGGGTCTAATGAGATAAGCAAAGGTCATTTTTTTGCAATCGACTTAGAGGCAAGACTGGGAACGGACTTTCCCCAAGCCACTTGAAGAGAAATTCCAGTGGCGTGATAGGAAGTACATGTGGGTGTGATTGGTGTGTTTTTACATACACACCTGTTTTTAATACCTTGTGCATGATTTCCAAATTAAAATGTCATGTGTTTTATTTTGGGCCTCATCAGCTGCTGAAACAAAAGTCACAAGTCCTAGAAAAGCCTCTCGTTGACTCCCAGATGGATCCCACAAAGCAGCCCAAAGTTGCCCAGCACAACAGAAGGGTCTCAGGTAAAGCGAAAAGAGAGGAAGTGGAATCAGAAGACCCAGAGCAGGCTGCCCACAGGGGCTCAGCTCCTCCAGGATCCCTGCCGAGCAGGAAGGGGCCGGCACTTCCCATCCAGGCCAACGGAGCCACGCACAATGAGCCGGGAGTCCAGAAAAGGGCAGACAGCAGCCTTTCTGCAAAACGAGGTGACATCAAGCACAAAAAAAGGAAAACTAAGGAGGCTCCTGCAGCCCCGGCTCCGGCCCCACCTATTGAGTAAGTCCTGGCGTCCCTGCCTGAGCCGCCTGCGTGGGGCTAGCACAGCCTCCGCCACCCCATGCTGCAGGGCCAGTGCCGAGAGGCCTGTGTCCTCGGGAGGCTCAGGCTGGCATCATTCCCGCAGTCCCTCTATCGCCTCCCACGGTCCCTTTGTCAGTCCGGGCACAGGCTCTACACATAGCCGGGCATCGCCCCTGGGGGCTGTGACCGGCCCGTCGTGCTTGCACCTCTCCCTTTCCCGGTGCACCTGTCACTTTGTGAGTGAAAGGAGAGCACAGGGTCATGGCACCTGCAGGCAAGGGGTCATGCGTTCCCCCGCGGCACCTAAGTTTTGGACAATGAGCGTATTTTCTAAGACAGAACCGGGACAGGATCGGAGTCGCCTGTGCAGCGCCTTCAGCTGCCTTTCTCTCTCTGCCTCTCAGGGACGCCATCTGGTTTGACGACGTGGACCCAGAAGACATCGAGGCGGCCATAGGCCCAGAGGCCGCCGAGGTGGCCAGAAGGCAGCTGGGCCAGAGCCAGCGCCAACGCGGCGTGACGCTGGTGAAGGAGCAGGCCTTCGGCGGGTAAGGGCGGTCGGGGCCTGGGAGGGCAGGCCCTGCGCCTGCAAGCTGTGACCCCGGGAGCATGCCCAGGGGTGTGGGGGGCACCAACTCAGCTGGACCCGTGGCTCCCCTGCAGCCTGACGAAAGCCCTAGCCCTGGACTGCGAGATGGTGGGCGTGGGCCCCAAGGGGGAGGAGAGCGTGGCAGCCCGCGTGTCTCTCGTGAACCAGTTCGGGAAGTGCGTGTACGACAAGTTCGTCCGGCCGACCCAGCCGGTGACAGACTACAGGACGGCGGTCAGCGGGATCCGGCCAGAGCACCTCGGGCAGGGTGGGTCTCCCGCGCGCCCCACGTGGGGGGACCGCGCAGCGCCGGCCTTCTCCCCTTTCTCCCTGTGCTGTCCCGGGGCACCCACCAGAGCCCGCCACCCCTCCCGGGGGGCCACATCGGACACCCTCGCTGCCTCGTCACCGACCCAACGACAGGACGGTGTCTAGGCTTGCTGCGTGTTGGCAGAGGGCCCGCTCCAGGAGGGCAGGGACGACAGGCCGCAGCGTCCCACAGGCCCTGGGGAGGACTCTCATTAATGCTGTGAGCCAGAGTGGCCTGCTCTGGCTCAGCTTCTGGCAGGTTCCCTGTAGCTTTGGGGGTGGAAGTAGGGAGCTGAGCCGTGCTGACCGGGTCGGGGAGGTGGCCTGAGAAGCAACGAGATGTGGCCAGCTCCAGATGTACCTGGAGGCCGTCCGAGGGTCCACTGATGGGCCGGCGGGGAAGTAGAGAGCATTCAGGAGGACCCCCGGGGCTTGGACAGAAGCTTTCGGGTTCTGGGTCACTGCTCTGGCTGGGGCCCCTGTGGGCGCTGCGCCTCTCGGGCTGTCTTGCATGGTGTTCCTGCCACTCCTGTCCCCGGACCGCCTAGCCAGCCTCTAGGTCCCAGGCCCTGCCCGCCCCCTGCGGGAGGGGAGGAAGGGCTGTCCCCTGGGTGTCTGCACGGGAGCGGAGCCAGGGCCCTCCAGCAGTGCTCCCCTCTGCGCCGGAGCACCAGCCTCGGCTGTTTGCGGCCGGGGAGACGCGCGGCACCCGGCCTGGCCCGGGGTCCTTGCCCGGGTGCGGGTGTGGCTGAGCTCGTCTTGCGTCTCCAGGGGAAGAGTTCGATGTCGTGCAGAAGGAGGTGGCGGGCTTGCTGCGGGGCCGGATCCTCGTGGGCCACGCGCTGCACAACGACCTGAAGGTGCGCCGCCGTCTGTCCGCGCCGCGGGCCTGATTCGTGGCCTTTGTCCAGAGTTGGGGATGTTCTGGTCACAGGCTCAGGCCGACCGGGTGGGACGGGAGCCAGGGAGGTGCCCCCGCCGCTGCCCCTGCTGGCAGCGGCGGCGTCCGTGTCCCCTGGGCCGGCGATGAGCCGGGCGCCTCGAGGTGCGGGGGCAGCCGGACCCAGTGGCCCGACCCCTGCAGCTGTCACCCAGCCCGGCAGGGGCTGGCTCTGCCAGGGGCCGGAGCCCTTCCGTTGGGAGGCGTCCCCGGTGGCTGTTCCCTCTCAGCCTCCAGGCCGACGCGGCTCTCAGCCCGTCGGGGTGGCCACTGCGGGGAGCTGGGAGGCCCGGGTGTGTCCTCCAGCCCCTGCTTCTTGGGGTCTCTGCTGTGTGCAGAGCTGACCCGCCTGTTCGGCTGAGAATTCCAGGGCAGGCAGATGTCAGACCTTTCTGGGCCTGGGGCTGTTCAGTGTTCCGTGGAACCCCTGCATCTTCAGCTATTTCGGGGACCACTAAATGTTGGCCTTAGTTGCCTTTTAAAGTGCATTTTGAACTATCCTAAAAGCCAGTCCTCTGCCCACTGAAATGCTTTGTCTCGTGGGCACTGTCCCCTCAGAGGCGCCATGTCCCCAGCACGTGGGGCTCATGTTCCGCTCCCCAGAGACGCCTGCGGGCTCGAGGTGGACTGTCACTGTCTGGGGCACCGACTCAGACGCTGCAGGTCTTGGGGACTCTCGCAGCCAGCACCACCTCTGGTTGGGGTGAGGACAGAAGTCCCAGCTCCTGGCAACACCCTTTCTTAGTGTGGTGATGTTAACTTTGGGGTTCCTTGTAAGTGGTTGTTTGAAGAAAAGGGGAGTTTCTGCTACTATCTAAACAGGGGTGACGTCACTGTGCTCTCTTCCAGGTACTGCTTCTCGATCACCCAAAAAAGAAGATACGGGACACCCAGAAATATAAACCTTTCAAGAGCCAAGTGAAGGTGGGTCATGGGACCACTGCGTCCAGCCAGGGACGGCCGACGTCCTGGTCACGGGGGTTGGGGTGGGCTGGGTTTTCCTTCACGCTGACCTTTGAAATTAAAGGTAAAAGGAAAAGCAGAGTCCACATGGCCGAGGAGGCTTATTTCCAAAGACCCCGGGTGGGGGTGAGGAGCTGCCTCATAGCTGGCCCTGAGGGTACCCACGTGGGGCCTCCCCAGTAGTGAGTGGGGGCTGGGCCGGTAGGCGGGGCGCAGACTCCTTTCCAGCTGGCCTCTGTCACCAGCCCCTTGCGCTGTGGCACCTCCTAGAGCAGAGCTCTGCGAGCCGCGCGCTCACCCACCATGTCCCCCCACCCACTCAGAGTGGAAGGCCGTCTCTGAAGCTGCTTGCCAAGAAGATCCTGGGGGTCGGCGTGCAGGAGGCGGAGCACTGTTCGGTGAGTGTGTCCTGGCGTGGTGTCGCGCGGGCAGACACGGGCCCAGGCGACTTCCTCTTTCGGGGGTGCTGGTCCGTGAGAGAAGGAGCGGGTCACACAGTGTGAAGTGCGACACATTTCACGACACGAGAACAGCTGTGTTGTGGTTGTCAGAGAGAACCCCAGTCTAGGTGGAGGGCCCTTGGCCTCCGTGGCACCCCATGACAGGTGAGGGGCCCCCCACCCAGGTGTGGCCTGAAGCCACCAGGTTCCCAGCCACCCTGACTGCGGCATGTTCCCGGCTGGCGCCACGTCCGCGCTGGGTCCTGCCGCTGTGGCCATGCCCGCCACCTGCAGAGACAGTCACTCCGGGGCTCCCTGTCATCCAGATCCAGGACGCCCAGGCCGCAATGAGGCTGTACGTCACCGTCAAGAAGGAGTGGGAGAACACTGCCCGAGACAGGCGCCCCGCTGCGGCCGCTCCCCGCAACAGCAGAAACGACGCCTAGGGGGACCCACTGCTACCGTCCCCCACCTCCAGGCAGTGTCTCTACTCGCAAGCAGCTGTGACCAGATGTGTCCCTTGGAAGACATTCTTTGTCCCAGGAGGCGACAGGCAAAAGCTGCTTCCTGGGTCACGCAGCAGGAGCCTGGGGGCTGCTGGAACACTCTGCCCCTCCCGGTTTAGAGACAAAACCTGTCCGGCCAGGGGTGGGGCGCGCGGGCCAGGTGTAGGGGGGTGTTGGCCAGGAGGTGGGCACGGAACTGAAGCGAGAGCTCCTGGTCAGGCCTCAGCACAGGACGCTCATCAGGCTGTGCGGACAGAGTGGTCACTGCTGCCATGGGGCCTCGGGGACTCGCTGGGTGCCGGGCGGGGAGACTTGGGCCCAGTGGGTCTCGCTTTCCCGTAAGGGGACATTAACGGTCTCCGGCCCTTGGCAGTGAAGCCAACTCCAAGAGCTTTCCGTGGCTGCCTTCGGGCTGAGGAGGGTCTTTCTTGTCCCTCCTTCACCAGCCTCCCCCCAAACCCCCAAACTTGAGGTCACAGCCCACAGCATGGCCTTGGGCGGCTCAGGCTACCAGCCTGCCACAATTGTTGTACCTGTCCCTTGTCCCTGCCTGGAGGGACTCAGGCTGTTGCAGCCTGGGAAACTGGCTCCCATGGGCCCCGGGTGGCCGTGGCCTCGGCCTCCGCCTGGACCCCAGCCAGGCTCGAGTGTGGGGAGCCGGCAGCACCGAGCGGCTGGACAGACCCGCGGATATCACTGAACAACGTGTGCAGGCTTTTAATTCAATTCAGACAGTACGTGGGCTCCGTGTCTGTCTTCACCAGAACATTCTGAGGATCAGTTTGACTGCGTGCTGCTCCTGGCATAGGCTCCCGGGTGGCGCACCCCAGGTCAGCCAGGGCCCTCTCCCGACACCCCGTTAGGAAAGGCTGAGAGTGGAGCCAGAGCAGGGAGGGCTACTGGCCTGAAACACGTCTGTCTACGAGGGGAGAGGCCCTTCCCCGCCGACACGGACCGCACAGGGGGGCTCAGCTGCCCTCAGTGCCCGGAGGGCCTCTTCTGCATAGGAGACCAGCTTCTGAGAGGGGAGATGGGGTCATGCCTCCGAGGCCAGTGGGCCCCAAGCTTTCTGAAAGGGTGTGATCACCCTCCCCTTGGGGTGGTTACAGCTCAGGGAAAGCCCCACATGGCCCCGGGCAGGTCCAACAGAGGCTGGGGCCGCCCCACTCACCAAGCTAGAGGCAAAGCGCCCCTTCATTTCCAGGACCAGGGGCTCCATGCCGCCAGACATCATCTCCCATGCAATCTCCTCTGCGGGGGGAGCAAGCAGAGGCACCTCAGGCCTGCCTCAGCTCCCCAAGCCCTGCACCCCCACATGCCAGCCTTGGGAGGGGCTCACTGTAGGCCGCCAGCTGGGCCAGCAGCATGCAGATGTTTTCCGCCACCTCTGGGTCGTCCCTGTGGACCTGGTAGGTCCCTGCGATGAGTGCCAGGCCGCTGCCAGCCTCTCCGGGCAGCACCATCTGGAAGGCTGCCAGCTCTGGGGGGTGGGGGGAAAGGGGGCCCTGCTGCTGCTGTGCCTTCAGCCCCCAGGAAGTAGGGGCTCTGTGGGTGCCATTCCATTGAGCCTAAACCCTCCTGAGCGCCCTGACTGTGCCCCGGGGAGGGAGTGCCCTGTCCCTCCAGCACACGGCTGAGGCTCCCACCAAGAGCTGGGCCTGGCCTGGGGGTGCAGTGCCTGCAGGGAGGGCCAGGGTGCCCTTGGGCTGGCAGGAGCAGTGAGGCCTGCCTGTGGCATGGTCAGACTCCTTGGGTGGTGTCGCTGAGGGCAGGTGGCAAGGCCACAGTTTCACTTCCTGGCCCTGGCCCTACTCCCTTGGTTCTGACTGCCCTCAGGGTCTGCCTACCTCCTGCCTCTCACAGACCTGTTTTGGGGGGTCACAAGGGCAGAGTTCCACCTGAGGAAGTCCCTCTGCTCTTTGGCGCCTGTCTTCTGGGTCTGTCGACCCCCCCATTCCAGGCAGAGGAGCAAACAGGCCAGGTCCATTGGCTTTCCTGCCCAGGCCCAGTTGAGTGCCCCATCCTGGAGCTCAGAGATGACCTCAAGGGAACTGCACCCCTGCCCAGCAACCACCTTGGTTCCCACAGGTCCCCACTGGGTGATGGGCTGGCCCCGGGCCTGGCTGAGCTCCGCCTTTGGCCAGACCTGTGCAGACTGGCTGTGGGTTCCGGGACACATGTCGCCTCAAATAAAACAAGTGTCCCGGGACCTCCCTGGTGGCGCAGCGGTTAAGCGCTGGGCTGCGAAGCTGCCCGCAGCCTCTGCAGCACCGATTTGATCCCCGGCCACCAGCGAGGGTCCCACATGGCGCGCAGACCTCTCCTGCCGTGCCCGCTGCTCCCCTCAGCAGAGTACTTCGTCAGTCTGCCTGTTCTGTTCCCCGCTCTGGCTCTGGTGAATTCTCTCACCTCTGGCCTGTACCCAGTGCTTGTATAAATAAATAAATAAATCTTAAAAAAAAAAAAAACACAAGTGTGTCCCAGAGGTGGGGCTTCAGGCGGGAGGACTAAAGATGGTACCCACGCCTTTGGGACTAGCCCTGCCGCCTGCTCGCATGGCTGTGGCCAGCTCACCTGACACCGCGGCGAGGCTGGCCAGCCCCCGGCAGGCATTGATGACCAGCAGGACCCGCTCGGGACACAGCCGCACGCTGCGCAGCAACAGCGCCACTACCTGGACGGACTGCTCCTCCTCCACGCAGCCTGTGGGTGGGCCATAGTCACCAGCGCCACGGCCCCCACCCCACCCCACCCCCAGTGGCTCACCGTGCACGGACAGCAGCCAGAGCACCGCACAGCTGGCTTCGGCCATCTCCACGTCCCTGGGGTAGGCGGCCAGCACCCTGGCAACGAGGGTCGAAGCCTCCGCCAGGGGGGCCTTGTTGATGATGACGGCTGGGTGGGGCAGGACGGGACGCCCAGCCCGGTTGGTGAGGGGTGCCTGCCGCACACGGCCCAGGTGGGGAAGAGCTCGGGCCTCATAGGGCGATGTGGAGGGCGGGGTTCAGCCACACCCCAGAAGAGGCTTTGGGGTGCACTTAGGATGTGGAACCCCCCCTTCCTTGAGCTCCCAGGCATGTCAGCACAGGGTGCCGAATGCTGGGGCTCCATCTGAAAGCCGGGCCTTGCCCAGGAGGTCCCAGGATGGTGGCGCTGGTGGGGCTCCTGGATGGGAGCTAAACCTACCCACATCCCCCACCCTTGCTTGCTTTTCCTCCCCTTCGTTGCCGGCCCTTCGCAGGCCGTGAGGTGTCCTGAGGGGCTTCAGGGCAGGTCGTGGAGACCCTTGAAGGCGCTCCGTGACTGGGAGCAGTGGAGAAGGTGCCAGCCCCCTGCCCTTCTCACCATCCACCAGAAGGGTCCAGAGCAGAGTCAGGCAGTTAACGCAGATGTCCCTGTTGTGGGAGAAGCTATCCAGATGTTCCAGGACATGCTCAAACACCCCAGCCGCCTGCAGCTCCTTTGAGGCTGACTCTGTGGGCAGGCCCTGGGTTTAGCACCACAAAGAATGCCTCCTCCAGGAAGCCTTCCTGGACCACCTCCCTCATCTGTCATCCGGTCCTGCACCCCAGGCATCCTGCATCACTGGGCACCTTCTTGCCCAGGCTCCTGCCCAGTGTGGGACCCAGAAACAGGAAGACATGGGTCATTCCTGGGCCACCAGCCCCACTATCTCCCTGGCTTCAGCACCTTTCCTCCTGAGGGGCCTGGCCTTGCCCCTGGGGCCACACAGAGCAGGCCTGAGCCTTTAAAACGAACACGGGGTGCGTCCTGGTGGAGCCACCGGACTGTGTGGTTGCCCCAGCCTCCGTTCCGAGGCCCCCTTCCCCCGACGAAGGGCAGCGCGTGGCACATGGCGAATGATTTGGTCCAGGCAGCCGAGAGCAAGCGCAGGCCCCGCCGCGGCCCTGGGGTTCTCCGACGCTGGCGTCCGCGGGTGGAGAGGACGATGTGACCAGGTGAGGCGGTCAGGAGGAGGGGACAGTGTGGCACGCCGGAACCCTGTCCGCCCCGCCTGGCCCAGGGCCTCAGAGTCCTGTGCTCTGTGACGTGGGGCGAGTGAGGCCCCAGTTGGTGCCACGTCTGTGGCGGGAACGAGCGGCCACGGGGCTCTCCAAGAGAGGAAGGGAGAAGGACAAACGGGGGAAGCAGAGCGGCGAGGGCAGCAGCGAGGGCCCCAGGCGCAGAGGCGGCACCCCAGCCCTCGCGCACCCGGTTCCGGCCCGGGCCGGGGGAGGGCGGCACCCACCATCCCCGCAGATCATGGTGAGCAGGCTGTAGACCGGCCCCAGGAGCGGCTCCGCACCGGGGTGTGCCCGCACGGCGCGCAGCAGGGCCAGGGCCAGGGAGCTGTCGCCGGGCATCTCCACCGCCGGGTCCCGCGCCAGCGCTGCTCGGGCCAAGGGGAGAAGCCAGGGTCACCCCCAAAGCTAGGCACCAGGGAGTGGGCGGCTCCCTCCCGTGGGGCGGCACTGTGCTGGAGTCCCCGGGTCCCCGCGGAGCTCGAGGGAGGCGAGAAGGGCCCAGGGGAGACCCGCCCGCCGCCGCGCGGGATGGAGGGCGCCACGTGGCCACGGCTGGTTTCGGGGGCCCTGCTGTGTCTGAGCGCATTTAGCAAGGGAAACCCTGAATGGAAATCACCCCTGCAGGCCTAGGACAGGGAAGTGACCACTCGCGGTAAAGACCAAGGACCCTCACACCGTTTTTACCCCGAAGACTTGAGCAGGAGCCAGGCCCGGCTCTCGGCTCCGGGTCCTCCCGCCGCCCTGCCGGCCGCCACGCTGCCCACTGGGGACACAGCCCAGCCTCTGAGCGTCCCCCCGAGGACCTCGGGTGGCCACGTCCTCATTCCACAGCCGGGAGCCAGAGGAGCAGGGGCTGCGGGACCCGCGGCTCGGGAGCGGCGCCCTCGCCCTCAGCTCCAGCCCTGTGCACTCCCTTCGCCCCGGGATGCAGTGGCCACTGGGCAGAGCAGGGCACAGACTCCACGGAGGGTCAGATGCCCCAGGGGTAACTGGTGTGTGCGTGTGGGGAGCACCAGCAGCTCCTAGCCGCGCCCACCTTGGCCCAGGACCGACTGCAGCAGGGCGCAGGCGCGCAGTTGTATGTCAAGGAGCCTCTCGTGTTGCTTCATGATGGGGATCACCAGCTCCACCAGCTCCATGGGCCACGGCAGACCTGGCACGGGCGTGGGAGTGGCAGTCACGTGCACATGGAGGGTGGCCCGGGATGGCCCCTCCAGCTCTGGGTAGAGTTTCCTGTGACTATGGTGGGACATGGGGCAGGAGAGCCACGGCGCCCCCCTGGACCCAGCCTGCCTAGCTCAGGGGCCCTGGCAGTAGCTGCCCTGAGGGGGGCCCCCTGTGGTTCCGTGGGCGGCCCTCTGCGTGGTGGGCTGGGGTGGCGGTGAGTGGCACGGCAGGCGGTGGTGACAGTGACAACCAGGGAGCCAAGCCACCACCTGCTCGCCCCAGGCCGCCTGAGGCAGGGTGGCACTGAGGGGGCGGGAAAACCCGCCTTGGGACGTGCGCAGCCCCAGGGGCCAGGCCTACCTCGCTGGGTGTCACTCATCTGCAGGAGCTTCTCCAAGGCGCTGAGCTGGACCTCGGGCTGGCCGGCCAAGTTCTTCATGACCTCTGCGGGGACACAGAGCACGGCAGGCGCCTGGGGGCGTCCTTGGCCCCATCCCGGGCCAGGCCTTGCCGAGCGCTTGTTGGTGGGCATAGGTGGCTCTCATCGACCCCACAGCCCCGCTGAGGCCGGGGAGGCCCACGCCCTGCCCTGCCAGGGTCACCACTGCCCAGGACGCCCCAGCCGCAGCCCAGGCCCTCCGGCCGCAGCCCCGCCCCCCGGACCAGCACTGGCAGGCAGGCGTGTCTCCTGGAGCGCAGGAGCCCACCTTGAATGAAGAGGCTGAGGCTCAAAGGGCGACTCGCTCAAGGCGCTCGGCTAGTGGGTGGGGGGGTTTGAATGGGCCCCACCATCTGTCTCCAAAGCCGAGCGGTGAGAACCCCACGGGTGCCCCTTCCCACCTTCACCCTCCCCCATCCTTTCTCCAGAGGTGGGGGCAAAGTGGGGAGACGGGTTCTCTGCACGGGCACCACAGGAGTCCCAAGGGAGAAGAGGGGCGCCAGGAGCCAAGCGGGATGGGAGCGTGGCACCAGCCTCAGGCCTTCGAGGCCCACGTCTACCAGACTTGGCTGTGGCCAGTCACTGTGCTGGGGCCCCAGGGCCCTCCGTGGGGCATGCAGTGGAGCCCAGCAGTCCCCTATGGCGCTGCATGACCCGCGAGCCCCACCCCAGGTGCCTGACACCGCCTGGGCGGGATCTGTGCCAGAGGCTGCATCCCCGGCAGGACAGCACCTGTGGGCCCAGGGTCACCGCTGGGCCTGTTGCATGTCCCGCGCCAGAAAGAGCTGCTGAGGCCTCTCCGCATCAGGGCCAGGGGATGGACACAAGAGGGCAGCGGGTATGGGGTGAGTCAGGGAGTGGGCGCGCAGCTCCCAGGAGGACGGAGCAGCAGTGGGGAGGGGACGCTGGGAGGAGGGGTGCTGGCGTGGGAGCAGCGCCCTAAGTGGTGCTGGAGACAGACAGACGGGCGGGGGAGAGGCCCTGAGCGTTCCTGCCCCAGCCCTGCAGGAGGAGCAGAACGGGGTCCCTCCAGGGAAGGCCGCGGTGCCGCAGCCGCCCTGCCCACCTACGACGCTGGCCGTGCTGTTCTCCAGCAGCATGCTGGCAACGAACATGGGCACGTCCTGCGGCCGCTGCATCGTCAGCGTGATGTTGGGTGACCTGAATCCGCTGTTCTCGAAGGTGGCCTGGATCACGTCCCTGGGGAGGAGCAGGAAGCCTGGCCCTGCCGCGGGCTCCCTGCCCCTGGCCGAGGGGCCCCAGCGGGCACGTGGGGAGGAGGTGCCGGGCCGCGCCTGACCTGGGGACGCCCCCACCCCACGAGGCTGAGACATCAGACGCCACGCCTGTGCTGGCCGCATCCACGGCACGGAGGGTCCTTTTCCTCCCTTCTGATACTAAAATCTAATGCAAACATTTCCGGAGCCCCGGAGACGGCGGGGCAGGCAGGCCTGGGCAGCCCGGAGCGTGGGGCGGGTGCTGGGCCCTGCGACGTGAGACCCGGAGCGAGGAGGCTGAGAGGGGTGCGCGGAGACCCGCCCTGGGCTCACTGGATGGCCATCCGCTGCCCGGGCTGGACCTGGAGCATGGACGGCAGCAGGGCGCTGAAGGTGCTCGCGGCGGGGACGTTCCTCTGCTCCGCGGTCCTCAGCACGCCGCTCAGCCTGTCCGGCAGCTTCCGGATGGCCTTTCGCAGCTGCATGGCGTCTGTGGCCTGGGGAGACGGGACGGCCTGGGTTGACAGTGCAGAGCCTGCCCTGCGCCGTGGTCCGGGAGCGGAGGGCTGATGGGGCCGCCGTCAGGCCGCCTCCCACAGAAGGGTGGGCGCCCGCCATCCGTGTTGGAGATGCCGGGGGCTCTCCCGCCCAGATCCAGCGCTGAGAGTCTGGGGTCCGGGCGGGAGGGGCGCACCAGGAACTCGTGCTCACACATGGGCTGGCAGGCACGCGCCGGCCCTCCCGCTCACCCTGCCCTGTCCTCTGCGCGTGAGGAGCTGAAGCCACCAGCTCCCCAGCCCAGCCCCCCGCCGGAGGAGCGCCGAGGCCCCAGGGTAGCGTGGCAGCGGGCGGCAGCCCCATGGCTGAGTGCTCCGGCTGCGCAGGTCCAGCCCCTGCAGCCCCAGCACCTTCGCTCAAACAGGGAGAGCCGGCCCCACCCCCGCCTGCGGGAGCAGGTCAATGCAGGCTGGCAGGGACCCCCGGGGGCTGCAGGGGGCAGAGGTTTGAACGTCACCATTGTCACCTTCCAGACCCGGGACCCCGCAGGGCCAGGCCTGAGTGCGGTCCCCTCCAGTGCTGGGGGGGCTCCCAACAGCTCCGCGGAGGCAGCAGAGGCAGGAGGCGGCAGGGAGAAGAGGGCACTCTTGCCAGCTGAGGGGACCCACTGCCCGGGGGCGGGCGGGCGGGGAGCGGCAGCTCACGTCCATGAAGGAGCAGCAGACCATGTCCAGGATGATGCAGCCGAGGGACCAGATGTCGGATTTCTGGCTGAAGGAGAAGTTGAGGGCCTCGGGGGCCATCCAGGACTTGTGGAAGGGGTCTGTGGACAGGCAAGGCAGCGAGCACTGAGCCCCGAGCCGCCTGGGAAGCAAGCAGCTTTAAAAAGGAGCCCCCCAGGCATCCTTCAGGGGAGAAAGGCACGTGCTGTGCCGCGGAGGGGAGGGAGCAGCGGCCCTCGGTGGGCAGCCGGTGGGCCACCATCTGGCAGGGCCTCAGGTCGGCCTGCTCGAGTGGGGGTGTGTCTGCACCGAGTGCCTGCAGAGGCGGTTGGAGACGCTCCCACCGGGAAGGCTAAGACTTGCACCCTCTCTAAACATCTTGCCCCCTCTTGAGGCAAAATTCCGGTTGTCCTGCCTGGTTTCTCAACCTAAACTTCAGATGAAGAGCAAAGGCCGGGTCCTCCCTCCAGCTCTGCAGCCCCTGACAGGTATCGGGCAGCGTCCCGCTCTGGACGCCCAGCCCCAGCAACAGCAAAGGGGTGGGCTTCATGGAACCCGGCCGGCTACACCTCCAGGAGTCCCACCCCCACCTCCCACCGCTCCACCCACCCACCATCCACGCATCCCCCGTGCACGGAGGACAGGGCGCTCCCCACACCCCCCTCCCAAGACTCCAGCATCCCAGTGTTACTGCCCCATCCCTGACGGCCACCCCAGCCTTGAGCCTGGCTCCCTCTGCCCATTATCTTTTCAAAGGAAGGAGAGTCCGTGCCCCCTGCTCCCGCCTCCACCATCTTGAGTCCTTTCAGGACGCAGGAAGGTGCTCCGCGTCGGCGGGCACCTGACAGCCTCTGTCCGCACGTCAGTTTCCTTCCTTCTCGGCCCTTTCTTCTCCCTCCAGGGGGGGGTAACATTTTCTGGGGTACCACACCATTCCTTTCGCAGGGATCTTTCTCGCAAGTGTGGGTGACCTGGGACCCAGGTATCCTGCTCAGCCGCAACCCAGGCAAGGGGACTCTGGAGCCCACACAAGCCAGGGTGGGTGTGTGGGGACCTTCCGAGCCAAGAGGCCTGACGTCGCCTTGTCCCCGTACACAGTGGCCGCTGCCGCCCTCTGGACTCTGGGAGGGAGCCCCCTGGGGGCATACCCGGCCCCGCGGCCCTCCAGCCGCCCTGACCCGCAGCCGGGAGGACCCCAGCCACCTTCCTCGGCCCGGATGTTCCACTTGGCCCGGTCGCTCATCAGCGTGTGGGAGCTCAGGTCCTGCAGCCTGCAGTGGCCGGGCCCGACGAGGGCGATGTTGGAGGGCTTGAGGTTCCTGAGAGCGAGAGGTGGGGCTCTCGTGGCTGTCGGCGCCCGTCGGGCCAGCGTGTGCCCTGGACCTTACCCCCATCCCCGCCCCACCCAGCTCCGCCGCAGCCCGCACGCTGCCTCTCCTCAGTGCTTTAAGACGGTTTCCTATGAGCGTAAGACACACCGTCGTGTAAAACTGGAAAAAGCAAGTCAACTGCGAGTAGGAAGCTGCCGCCCTCCGGCCCAACAGCCCTCGTGGCCTTCCGGGCCTCGGCTCAGGCGTCTGGCAGGGATTTCCCACCCTCCCTGACGTCCAGCGGCAGTAGCCACTTCCTGTGGACACGTGGTCTCTCCCCAGGGTGAAGCCGCGTCCCGCCCCTCCGGGCCAGGGGCACAGCTCAGCGAGCCACGCCGGCGGGTCAAAAGCTCAGCTGGGGCGCGGGCCAGAGGCCACGCAGCGGCCTAATCTTTCCCGGGAGCTCCGCTATCTGGTTCTTTCCTTGCACTTTAGAACCAACCCGCCCGGGCGAGAGGCTGATCCAGGGAGGTGACGTGGAGGCTGACACCGTGCGCCCGGAGGCATTGGGAGGGTGGCCGCCCAGGGAACCCCGGGCCTCCTCGCCCTCCGCAGCCGCCCTCACCTGTGGATGATGTCCAGGTGATGCAGGTATTCCAGAGCGTCCATCACCTGGCCCAGCACGCTGAGCAGCCACTGGGGAGGAGCGAGAGACGCAGGGACTGAGGGGGTCCCTGCAGCTGTTTGAGGCAGGTCAGGGACCACCCCTGGCCGACCGTGGACGGCGGCGCCTGCTCTCCCTGTGTCCTGAGGCGGGCCGGTAGCCAGCTGGAGCTCAGAGCCGGCTGGGGGAAGTCATCTCTGCTGCAGGCGCCTTCCGGCCGGAGCACACACAGCTCTCTGGGCCGAGGAACTGTGCAGTCAGGCCGGGCCTCGGTTTCCAGCCATCTCCGCCCTGAGACCCTGGGTGCCCTGGGGCTCCGCCCGTGCTCCTCCCCAGAGCCAGGAGCTGGGGCCCCAGGGTCGAGGGCATCGGAGTCCTTGTGCCTCAGCGCTTCTCTATGTCATTCAAACCAGAGAACGGCGGCGGAGAACGCATTTTGGATCAGAAGCGAAATCCATCTAGTTCCCAGGCGGTGGCTTTCAAGCCCTGTTCCTAGTTACCTGGGATTCCACCCGGGGTGTCGGGAGGACTCTGGCTGCTCCTATTCTACTTTCCACTGCCCCTGACCTCCAGAGGAAGGCTTCCTCCACGAATGGAAAGTCTGAAACCCACCGGGCCTGCCTCCGAGGGGGCCGGGAGGGCTGTGCGCCCTCAGAACCCTCTGGGAGACGGAGCCCGAGCTCAGAGCGAACACAGGCAAAATTCCTTTGGGGGGATCATGGATCTGGATGTGAACATGAAAGCAACCGGGCACAGAAGACAGCGGAGGGAGACAGTTTCTCAGCCGTCAAGCAAGAGAGGCTTCTCCAGAGGGGCTCGAAAGGCACCACACAGGAAGCGTCGGCAGGCCGGACTCCTGCACGGCTGACAACTGTTCCACCAAAGACACTGTAGCGAGCCTGGACTAGCAAGCTTCCAGCCAGACACTCCGAGCCACGAGATACAAAGATCGGCACAAATCAATAAGAAAAAGCCGACCACCCAAATGTTTCAACAAGCAACACACAAAAGAAGTTTCTAAAATGGTCAAAAAGGACACACCGCGATTCCACATTCTATCTGAAACAAAAGCTTAAACTGTATTTTTCATTAAAATGTAAAAGACTGGCAGGAGGCCATCCATGCCGTGGCAGGATGCACAGCTGGAGCACTCACGGCCGGCGGGGAGCGTGGATGCCAGATGCCCAGCTAGCCGAAGCAGCGTGTCCTCCTCCCGCACCCAGCCGGCCCTGGCAGCAGGGAAAGCGACACGCAGCCACAGTCCCGGACAGCTTGCTTGTGACAGCCCCGGATGGAGAGCCACCCAGGAGCACCCGGTGGACTGGCGGTGGACTGTGGCGTGGCTGTCACAGAGGACTGTGGTGTGGCTGTCCCCCGTGGAAAGGGACACTTGCGACACCCACAGCGTGGAGACCACGGCGCCGAAGCCGCCGGCTGAGTCCTGCACGTGAACTCCAGCCACGTGGCAGGAGCTCTGGCGTCCTGGGAACGTCTGTGCAGTTGTCCCCAGGGGCCTCGGGGGTTTCGGGACCCAAGCTCACCCTCTGCCCCGCAGACACCGAGACCTGAGCCCAGGTCCCTAGAGTCCAGACGAGCTGCCGTCAGCTGCTGGAGCCTGTGGACGCAGGGCCCGGGCCTGGGCCTGGAAGGCCAGCGCCATTAACTGAAAAACATCCGCAAATGCTTGGACCGGTGCTGTCCAGGGTCCAGTGACCCTCAGCTGGGGAGGCCAGGCAAGCGCGGGCCTGCACCTTAAGCTGTGTGCACCACAGCATGCAAGTGTCTCCACACCAGACGTGAGAACAACAGGGCTCCGGGGTACCACCTTCCCTCCTGCACCCCGAACACCCCAAGGGCCAGGTGGCCCCAGGCCCAGTGTCCTGGAGGGTGTCTTACCTGGGCGTCAATGGCTGCCCTGTCCCTCCTCTTCCTCTCGATGACCTTGTGGAGGCTGCCCTCGCTGTACTCCATCACCAGGCACAGGGCCAGCGAGGAGCGCTACCAAACGCAGCCCCTTACCTGTGCTGCCCCCCAGGTCTGGCCCCTCCCTGCAGCCACTGCCCGGGCCTTCCATGGGGCCCCACCCCTCTCTCCTCTTCCCTGCCCAGCTCCACCTACATTAAAGCCACTGGACCCTTCTGGGGGCCTCTGGGCCATGGCTCGCTCAGATTCCTGCTCCTGGGGTCCCAGCACTGCCTGGGGTAACTGCTCACCTTTAGGGCTCATCTTAGATCAATCTCCTCCCTCCAAGGACCCTGCCCCGAGGGGGTCCCCAAGGGACTGGGTCAGGGCCCCACTCAGGCTGTCAGAGGGCCTGCAATCCCCCCCACAGGAAGATGTCCACTTGGCTTGTCTGTGTCCTTGAGAGTGTTAGGGGGTGCTCATCAAATATTTAGGGTGCAGCCAGGGAGCATCACTCCCCAAGGCTTTCCTCAGGGCCCAGCCCTCCAGGCTGCAGGGGATCACAGGTCACTGCCCAGAGGGGCCACGGCCCCCATCAGGGTGGAGTCAGGGAAGCCAATCTGGGGCACTGCCTTGGCCACAGAAGGGGGTACAGAGGTGAAGGGGTGCTGCAGGTTCAGTCCACCTGGTCCTGCTGCGGCCCCAGGAGTGGACTCAGACGCACCTCATTGACCCAGATGATGAATAGCTCCCGGTACACGGAGATGTGTGCGTGCTGGAGCTTCAGCAGTGGCATCAGCTGAGGGCAGGACAGTGCATGTGGAGAGACCCCAATGAGGTCCTGCTGTGCCTCTTCCCTCAGACACATGGGGTGGGGGCGGCATGGGGTGGGGGTAGCAGGGGGCTGGAGCCAAGACAACTGGCGAGGGGCCCCTCTGGCATTTGGTGGCTGTGTGACTCAGGAGAGGTTCCTCAATCTCTCTGAGCCTCCCCACTCATCTGAGAGTGGCGGTAACTGTGGGTTCAGCCCCCGGGGGCAGAGCCAGCGGAGGCAGCAGAGTGCCCGGGGCACAGGAGGTAGTGGAGCAGGCTGGCCCAGAGGCTGGTGGGGCCAAATGGCTTTGAGAAGGACTCAGTTAGGACTCGGAAGTGGCTGCCGAGCGACTAAGAGCCAGGTGGACAGAAGCTCGGGGAGGGGGGAGGCGCGTGGAAGGGGTGGGGAGTGGGAGCAAGGTGATGGGGCTGCTATGGGGCGAGAGCTGTTCGCTGGCAAAGCTCAAAACTGGCCAGTCCAGAAAAAAGACAGACCAGTGACCATTAGGTAGGAGAGGACACGTGTAACTCCAGGGGAAATTAAAAAAAAGCAGAGGAAAACCACTCAGAGCCTTTGTCTCGTATGCGGGCGCTCCCAGAAGCTGTTACTCCAGATAGGGACGTTGTCGTGGTCATTTAACTAGCAGATTTAAGGAACTGACGTTTTCCCTGTTAAACACCTCTGTGTTTTCTACACTCTCTATTGTGCCTTTTACAACTCAAGGGGGAAATCCTTGAAGACAGCCCTGGCCAGGGAGGGCAGGGCCCTGGCCCGCGCTGGAGCTTTTTCTTCTCTGGGGCCACCATGTTAAGTTACCAGCACCAGGGTCTGCGATGACTCTTGGACACAGACTGTTCTTAAGCTGAGAGATGGGGGTCCTGGCTTCACAGCAAAGGGCACGACCCTCCCTGGCTCTACCCAGGCGCCCACCCAGTCACGCCACCCGTGTGCAAAGTGCATCCTGTGTCGTGGGACCCGCCCAAGAGTTACCTCCTCCAGGGCCTCGTTGGCCTGGTGCTCGTCAATGCATTCCACCTGCAGGAGCAGGAGCAGCGCTCAGGTGCTGTCTCCATTGCACCGCCAGCAGCGCCCGTAGCGCCAGCACCGTCGCCCTCATGACCATCATCATCATCACCAGCCCCGTCACAACCACCACCACCACCATCACCACCACCACCATCACCACCACCACCGCCATCACCATCATCACCACCACCATCACCATCACCATCATCACCATCATCACCATCACCACCATCACCATCACCACCATCACCACCATCACCACCATCACCATCATCACCACCATCACCATCACCACCACCATCAACACCATCACCACCATCACCATCATCACCACCATCACCATCACCACCATCACCACCATCACCACCACCATCACCACCATCACTATCACCATCACCACCATTGTTCACCAGGGTTGCCAGGCTCCTACCATTTATTCCCTACCACATGGCACCAAACCTGGGGAGGTTCCTACGGCTGGGATCCAAAAATCTTTGATTTCTGCCGTTGGGAAGCCGGGGAGATCCCCACCAGTCCGAAGACATCAGCTCTCATTCCCCATCCCTTCTCCCCTTCCTCAAAATTGTCTTCCCTCCCTCCATGCAATTGTCTGACCCTAAAAAAAATCTGTGAGATCTGTGAGCAAGGAGACATCTTTGCTCCTGTGGCGAGGGTAAGCCTAGGTTGGCATCACACAAACTCCAGGGAATCATGAGCAATGTATTTTCAGACCATCCCGAAAGCAGGCAAGAAAACAACGTGTCAGCCCCAAAGCCACCCGCTCTGCCCCAGCTGGCAAAGCATCAGCCGCGCCAGTGTATCCTCCTCTGAGTTAGGAAGCGCGCCGGGCACGGGACTTGGGCAGCAGGGGAGGGGCAGCCGGGAGAGGGGCAGCAACAGGCTGGGCGCCAAGCCCGCAGAGCCACGCACACCACACCGCACACAGCTCTCACCCGGGACTATCACTCACAGGACCAACAGGTGATAGGCCCGTGAGTGGGGTGATCGTGGAGGGAAATGCAGAGGTGGTGGGTTACCCCAGATCCGTGGGGTGACCCCAGATGCCGAGGCACTGGGGGTCTTTCCCTTCCTCCCTTCTCTAGGAGGTTTGGGCTTTGATGAAACTGGCCCTAACACACAAAAGCCTTAAGCGTGTCACAAGCGTGAACATCTTGGAATTTCTCCCAAGGAAGTCACTAATCCTCTTAAAAAATGGACTTACTGCTACAGAGTGGACCGCAGAGAACAAGCTAAGGGCTGCAACTCACCAGGCGTGGACTGGTTCAGCACAGGAGCCGCCGGAGCCGTGGGAGGCAAAAGCTGGGCCAGCGGTGCTGGGTGAGGGTCGCCGGACACACGCCGGACACCAAGGGGGAAATACCTGCCCAGCCTGAACATGATGCTTGCACAAGGGAGCTTACAAATGCCAGGAAAAAGGACTAGGAGACAGCTCCCGGTGCTCCTCCTCCCATTATTTTTCAAAGAAATCGTGACTTATTAAAATGTGCTTTGATTACTCAGAAGGTAGGCAGGCCTCCTGTCCCACTGGCCCCTGAGATAATGGGGGGACTCCACAGTCAGCAGACACAGAAGGTCAGATATCTGGGCCAGGAGACCCCGGGGGGCCGGGGATGAGATGGCAGGGAGGGCACCAGTGGTTGCTGTGGCCAAGGTGAGTCCTCCACCTGCACAGTCAGCCCTGATTCCGCTGCATCCCAGCCAGCCGAGTGGTCAGGCTCTCTTCCCCGGACCCCCGTTCATCTGCATCACCCTGTCTTGCACACACAAAGGGCATCCCCTGCAGGTCTGCACCCCCACCCTGCCAGGCCAGCCCTGTCTGCAACCCCGCCCTGACTTGGCTCCGCATTGCTGGCTGGAAGGGACCCTCACTGAGGGGCACCGAACATCCCCTCTTCATGGTGGGGAGGGAGCGAGTGCTCAGGGAAGCCAGGAGCCTCAGGCCGCCCCCCACAATTCCCCCTCCCCTCTGCCTCCAGGTCAGCCTGGCAGAGGGATCCTCCTCCATGTGGGTCATGAGAGGGGACGTGTGGGGAACGGCAGCCCCTCGGTGCCATGGATGCGGCCTCTTTCTTACCTGCTTTATCACCAGCTTTTCTTTGGTTTTTGAGTCCTCCACCACCAGGTTCACACCCAGGGCCCCAGGATTCAGCTGGTCCAGAACCTGCCGGGAGGAGAGAGCGTTCAGGAAGACCAGGCCGCCTTTCACCCGCCCACTGCCACGCTTCTCTGCTCTCCTGACGCCCCTGCTGCCTGCGCGGGAGCTGCCGGACAAGGCCAAGATCCTTTGGGCTGGACCTGCTCCTGGGCCCGCTCTGGAGAGCCTTCCACCTGCCCCGGCCCCTTCTCCCTGGCAAGGACCAGGGCTAGGACCTCCCAGGCATGCCCACTCCCTCCAGCCCCTCAGAACCCCAAGGCCCAAACAGAAACCAACCAGCCTGCGGCTGGCCCGGTACTGTGTCAACTGCTCTACAAACACCAGATCCCGTTGGTGCTGCTGCCACTTCCAAGGTCACACCAGGGGAGGCTGAGGCACAAGGAGCGGGTGCTCCTCTGGGGTTAGAGGGCAGCGCGGGGCCTGGATGGAAGGGTGGGTGGCGCGCAGGCCTGACACCTGAGATTTGGCCACCAGCCAGAACTCTGTGCAGGGAGGCCCAGGGCTGGGTGGGGAGGGGAGGTTACATTTATCAGAGCGGAGAGGAAGGGGGTGCTTTTTTAAAAAAAAAAACATTTGCTGGGCCTCCATGGTGGCGCAGCGGTTGAGCGCTGAGTTGCAAAGCTGCCTGCAGCCTCTGCAGCGCCGGTTCGATCCCCGGCCACCAGGCGAGGGTCCCACATGACATGCAGACCTCTGCTGCCGCGCCCGTTACTCCCCTCAGCAGTGTCCTTCGGTCCTTCTGCCTGCTCTGCTCCCCGCTCTGGCTCTGGTGAATCCTCTCACCCTCCCGCGCTTCTGATGTACCCAGTGCTTGTATAAATAAATAAATAAATAAATAAATCTTTTAAAAAAAACAAAAAACATTTGCTTATATATATTTTACATCATTCTTCATTTTAAAACAATGTTTGCTTTTTTTTGTTTTTTTGAAAGGGAGATTCTTGAAGACCAGAAAACTCTTTAGATTCTGTAATCTGTCCATGCGGGTGGCCTGAGCCGCCTGAAACTGGCTGAAGACGGCACCAGCCTCCGGCCCTCTCAGGTCGCGGGTGGAACAGTGAAACCCACGGGAATCTTGGAGCCAGCCCTTTCAAGCATTTTCCTGAAAGAGTGACTTACTAAAATCGCCTGGGTAACTCTGTGCTGACACCCTCTCCCCCAAGGCCCGTCTCCCGGGTGAGGAGCGCCTCACCTGCCATTATTTTCAAGTTGACACATTTTTACAAAAACGGAATCTAATATTTTATAAAGTTGACATTTACTCCAACATTCAATCCCTTTTACTTTGCAGCATTCCTTTGGTTCTGCAGAATCGGGCCCCCAGCATTTTCACATCCCTGGAAAAGGCCCAGGCCCCTCCCAGGCACTGCTGATGGGGTGCTGCGGGGTCTGGGGTCCTCATTATTAATTCCTGGGCACCCCAGTGTCCTGCGGCCACCGGCCCGGCGCTTGGGCCGACGGGGCAGCAGGTCCTCCCAGCCTCCAGCCGGGGCTGAGAGTCCTGACGTCCCCCCGCCACTGTCGCGGGGACCCCGAAGCGGAGGGGCGCGGGCCCGGCGGTGGCCGGCGGGGCGGGGCGGGCCGGGCCGGGCCGGGCCGGGCCGGGCCGGGGTCTGGGCCGGGCGGGGCAGCGGCACCTGGTACTTTTCCATCGCGCTGAGGGCGGCTCGGGCCTCCCTCCGTGCCCGCTGGCCACGCTCGCGGTACCGCCCGCGGTGAGCGCCCCCGCCCGCGCCCCGCCCGCGCCCCGCCCGCGCCCCGCGCGCGCCCCGCGCCCGTCCCGGCGGGAGCCGCAACCGCCGGGCCCGCGCGCAGAGGGAGGCGCGAGGCCAGCGCGCGGCGGGGGCCGGGGCGGGGCCAGCGCGCGGGGGCGGGGCCGGGTGCGTGGCGGGCGGGTCACAGCGCGGGGGCGGGGCCGAGCGTGCGGGGGGCGGGGCCAACGGGGCCACCGAGCCCGGAACGCGCGGCGCCCAGGCGAGAGGGCGGAGAGCCGGGCCTCAGAGCGCGACGGTCGGCCGGCGCGCGGTGGGCGGGGCCAGGAAGCGCGGCGGGCGGGGCCGGAGCGCGGCGGGCGGGGAGCGGCGGGCGGCGCGGCCCCTTTAAGGCGCGGCCGGGGCGGGCCGCGCGGCGCGGCCCCTTTAAGGCTTGGCCTACGTGGCAGCCGCTGGAGCCGCGGACGCGGAGCGAGGCCGGCCGCCGGGCACTTCCTGTGGAGGCCGCAGCGGGCGCGGGCGCCGACGCCGACGGGCCGAGCGCCGAGCGACGAGCGAGCGACACGAGCCGAGCCCGCCGCCGCCATGGGCCAGAACGACCTGATGGGCACGGCCGAGGACTTCGCCGACCAGGTGCGGCCTGCGGGCCCGCCGCGCCCTCCGGCCTCGCCCGCGCCCCGGCCCCGGCGCCCCCGAGGCCGGGCCGCCCTCGCCGCCCCCCGCCCCGCCGGGGGCGCCGCGCTCGCCAACCCCCGGGTCGGCCGGGACGCCCCAAGCCGGCCTGCGGGCCCAGCCCGCCTCCTGCCCCGACTCCCCGGCCCCGAGCCCCAGCCCGGCGCCCCGCTCGGGGAGCCCGGCCCCCTCGGAGCTGCGCCGGGAGCGGCCGCCTCCCGCCCCCGTCCTGGGGGTCCTGGGGGTCCTGGGGCGTCCTCGCGGCGCTCGGCTGTTGGCGGCCCCCGCTCGCGCTTCCTCCCCCTCGGGGGAGGCGGGTGGGCAGCGCCGGCCCCTCCGCCCGGGCTGGTGGGACGGGAGGCCCCGGAGGGCACCCCAAGTCCAGAGACCGCGGCTCCCTGCTGCTTCCTTCCCAGCGGGGCCGGCCCTCGGGGTCCGCTGACCCTCCCCGCATCTCTCCCTCCCTGGCTGGACTCTGCCCCGGCCGCGTCGAGCGGGTGTCGGGACCTGGGAGGAGGGGAGGCCGCCCTGCCCGGGCTGCTCCTTCCGGAGTGCCCAGGTGGCCGGTGCCGCCCGCCCGCCGCGGTGGGCAGGTCTTCGGGCCGAGGAGGACACGGTCCCGGGCCGGGGCAGGACGGAGCGCCCGCCCCCCTTCCTGGCAAAACCTGCCCCTGCGGCCGAGGTGATGGTTGGGTGGTGCGCCCTGAACTTTTACGAGTACCCCGGTGTGCCTGCAAAGTAGCGGTCCCTGCCCGCAGGCGGACCTTGCCTGGCCCCGCGGCCGTCCTTTCCTCGGTTACTGAGTGTGTGGCTCCCCACGGTGAAGAGGGGCGAGGCTGAATTTTTAATTTCTACGGGGTGGGGGTGTGTGTGTGTGTTAAGCAATCGCGCCCAGGCCGAGGCTGGTTGGCAGGCCTGGAAGAGTGTGTGGTTCTGAAAAGCCCTATCTCCTGATCAGCGACCGGTGAACAAGATTTTCCGCCGTTCCCTGGAAGGCTGGTGTATTTTCAGTGTGGTTGTGTAACTGGGTTCTCAGAACCCCACTTTCCTAGGAGCCGGTATTTTACAGCCGGTCTGGAGGGAAGAGTGGATGAGCTCGAAAAGAGAGACGTCCCTAAGGTCACGGCTGGTGTCTGCACAGACACAATCTCAGAACCGCATCCCCGGCAAAGTGGTTCTCATCAGGGGCTCGCGAGCACCTCGTCGTCGGCCTTTGTCGGCTCGCGTTGACATAATTTTAGTGACCCAATTTTCCTTCCCCAAGTAGCAGCTCCCCAAGAAGATGGCTCCTTTTAGCCTCACGGCCTTGCTCTTCAGTCTGGAAAGCCCTGGTTTTGCAAGTGAATTTCATAACCCCATCCAGATGAAAGGACGGCAGCCCAGCGGCTGCCAGCCCCGGAGCCGTGGCCTCACCTCCTGGAAAAAAGTCCAGGCTCTTTACACAACCACCTTCTTTTCCTCTTCGCATTTTGTTTTAAGTGAAAGAAACAAGTCTTGGAGCTGGAGGGGCCACGTGTGCTCCCTGAGGCACACGCGAGAGACAGTGCTGTCACTCTGCACGCCCCCCCACCCCAAGCAGGACCCCAGGGGGCCAGGGCGCTCTCTCAGGCGCTCTGTCAGGCCCTGTTGGTGGCCCTCCACGCCAGGCCCCTGGGTGGAGGTAGAGGCCCTTTTGCCTGAGGAGGGTGTGGCGTGGGGGGCGGGACGCAGCCCTCACTCCTCACTGCAGGCAGGCCCAGGACAGGGTGCAGGCCAGGGCTGCTCTCCGTCCCCGTTATCCACACAGGTTGGCCCCGCCAGTGAGTGTGCTCCAGAGTCCTGGGGACACTTGGAAGTCACTGATCCGGTCTGGTGACTGCTCTTTTTTCCTCATCCGGTCTTCAGAAAACAAAACCAAAAATGAAATGATAGGATTTGAACCAAGAGTCTGGGCACTGAGGATGGTACCTGGCAAGGCCCGTGGGCACCCAGCCTGGGCAGCGATGACACGGAGCCAGGCACCAGGCGGGTCCTCCATTGTCTCCCCACGTCACCCTGCCGTGTCACCACTGTCAGCTGTGAGAAGGAGGTTGGCAGCGGCTGGTGTCTAGGTCCCACGGGCTGGGCTCCTCACCGCAGCCTCTCCTGTCAGTCCGTAGGGCGAGCCCCAGGCTCAGGGCTTCTCCGGCCGCACCTCTGGCATCACGCTCCTTGTCCTGGGCAGCAGGGTGCAGGCGCCGGGAAACTGCTGAGGGTGCTCGCTGCAGGAGGGAGGCCTCTGAGCCCTTCAAGACCAGGTCAGAGGGGGCAAGGCCCGGGAACTCCGCAGTCCAGAATTGCCTCCCAGCTGGCACAGGCAGCAGGTCACATGGGCACATTTATACCAGCAAACAGGAGTATTAGCGCTTAATGGGTTCTGCCTGATGGCTCATCACCACGGTGACAGATAAGCTGCTGGGGCTTGCGCTCAGCGTGGCCTAGCATTTTCACCTGGCCCGGGGGCTGTCACCCAGGAGCGCCTCCGCCTAGGGTCTAGTGTGGGGCAGCGAGCATGGCCTGAGAGCTCACAGCCTATGGCGTGGGGCTCTGGAGTCACAGCACGTGGGTCGCCAGAGGGGCCCTGGTGCCCTCAGTGGGCTGGGGGCATTTCCTCTTGTGGCCCCCCAGGGCTTCCTGCCCGGTGCCCTAGAGGAGAGGGTGCAGGGAGAGGAGCTGACTTACCTTTCCTTGTTGGCCAATCTGAGACGGGAGGTTAAAAGCCCCCCCACCTCTCCTGGGCAGGGGAGACGCCGGGGCGCCGGTGGTTTGTGAGGCTTCTCCCGGAGGAAGGTGTGGCGTTGCGCTCCCACCTCGGCGCTTTGTCCCGCCTGGGTTTAGTGAAGAAAGCCAGGTCATCTCCACAGAGGGGGCGCACGCGCGAGTCACCCATCTGCACCCACCGACTCACTGACGTGGGCCCGATTGGGCAGTGCAGAGGCGAGTGGGGGGCCCTGCCCTGGGCCAGCAGGGCCGCGTGCCCTGAGCACCACAGGGTCCGTCTCCATGTTGTGGGGCTGCGGGCGGCTTGTGGTCCTCTGGCCTGGCGCCCTGTAACGAAGTCGCGGACGCTCCCTCATGTGCTGTCACCACGGAGGAGCCAGGAGGCGGCGCACCGGGCCCCCGCTGCTGCCGGCTCTGCCACCCAGCCTGAGAGCAGCGCACACTCAGCAGCAGCGCCTCCGAGTTGAGGGGCTCCCAGGGGCCTGAGGTGTGGGGAGCCCCCTGAAGGGGGCTGTGCTCCTCCGAGGATGAGTGGGGGGACAGGGGCCGCGGGTCGGCTGGCTGCCAGGTTGGCCTCGCTCTAGGCCACCAAGGACTTTGAAAATCAGACCCACTCCGCCCCCTCCCCCCATGCAAAGCGCCGTCTCGCCCGCCTGTCTGCAGGGGAGGGGTCCGTTGTCTGCAGGATGGGGCTCCGGCACCCTTTAATCCTCTGCGCCCAGACACTCAAATTAAGAGTCCAGACTTGGAGCTGCTTAACCACGGCCTGTGCCTGTGGGTGGGGTGGGGGAAAGAGCGTGTGAGCTGAGGCGGTGAGACCCGAGCCCATACCAGCTGGCCAGTGCCTTGGGGCACAGCGAGGGGGAGACGTGGCGGTCGGAGGGTACGTTTTCCATGTGTCTGCTGCCTCCTGGGGTCTCCCTCCCTCCCGTCTCTGGGTCTGCCTGCCTTCTCGGGGCGTGCTCATCCTCACCGTTGCTGCGCCCGGGTCCGGAGGCAGAAGCAAGGCCCACGCGGTGGCCAAGAACTGGCCACGAGGGCCACTGCCTCAGCCAAGGCCGTCTGCGCTTCCTCATGGGCCAGGGGTGGCACCGCTGCTGGGTGTTTCCAGAGCATCCGGGCCGTGAACGAGGAGGCTGCGTGGCAGCTGCCCTGCTCCTCGGCTGCTGCCCGGCCGGGTCGGCCCAGAGGACTCTCGCTGCTGCGCGCGGTCCCTGCACGCACCAGACCCCACAGGGGCATGTCCCGGGTCTTTTTTTGAAAACGAGGTCTTCTCCTTCCCTCTGCCCTTGCTGGTTGAAGTCAGAGGGCATCTCCACCGCCGCCGGTCGGCCTGTGTCTGTGGCCACACGGGGCCGGACGGCGGGGAGCCTGGCATCTGTGTCTCATACTGTGACTTCGGCCACCGTCCTTGGGGACCAAGGGCTGAGCAGGCCTGTGCAGAGGCTGGGGGCAGGGGGCAGGGGGGGACACCTGGCTTGTGGTACCCAGTTCTCTCCCTCCCCACACCAGTCAGCACCGCCCTCCACCCCCCACCCACACCCGCCCTCCGCTGTGGCCCGATGCCTTCTGGCTGGGTCTGCGTGGAGGTGTGATGTTAATCTGAATGACTTTTCAAATACTCCAAATGAAGAGACTTCTTGCATAGTCTTCCTCCCAGGATCGCCTCTTCAGCCCTAGCCGGGGTGTGACGTTCCTTTGACAGGCCCTTGGTCAGAGTGACGACGCCCTTTAGACTCTTGCTTCCTGACACATCACTCCGTGGGCGGGTCCCCGATCTTTCCCCCCAGCTCCTGCTGTTATCATGTGGCCCGGGTGTCTTTGTATCTCGGCTTGGGGCAGTTGGTAAGAGGAAGTGTGTGGGGTACACCTGAGTGACACCCGTGCCTCGGGTGGACCCTCGCTGAAGCCGCCCCCGCGGGCGTGGGTTATGGACACCGTCTCTGGCATCTGCCAGCGGTTTCCCTTGCTGCAGTTTCTCTATTGAAACATTTGTCAACCTCATTTGTTAGCGAGTTTTTCATTTGCTTTGAGCTACACAGACTTAAAAACCACCCAGAGCTTTTGAGTGGGAGTCAGACTATTTCATGCTTGCTTCCGACCGCGGCGCAGGCCCACGCCCGGACCCCCAGCTCGGCTCTGGAGGCAGGGTCGGGCTGGGGCCGGCCCGACTGGCCGTGCGTGCGGCCCAGCTGGCCTGGGGGCCCACCGTGTGTCCAGCCTGAGGCCCTCGGGGCCCGGGGCCCTGCTTGTCACCTGAGTGGACTGTCTGTCGTCTTGGTGATGTGCTCAGCTCTCTGTAATCCAGGGGCTCCGAGTATGGCTGGGGGGTCCTCGGGGCCGAGCCTGGCACAGTACTGGGTGAGCCCCTCTGACCCCGGGGTTCAGCTTGCCTGTTGGTAAGAGAAGCTGGACCAGACCAGGGTTGTCTGCGGGTGGGGGAAAGTGGTTTTGCTCCTTGGGGGCATGTGGCCAAGTCTGGAGATGCTTTTGGTGCTGACAGCTGGAGGAAGCGGCCAGACCCCGGCAGAGAGGCGGGAGCGTGAGGCGGAGACTGGCGAGGTGTCCTGGGATGGGGCCTCACCTGAGCGCAGCAGCTGCGTCTCGCGCCCTCCCGCCTCCGAGGCGGCATTTGCCTCCCGAACCCGCCTGCTCCCCGGGAGAGGAAGTCGGGCACACGGGCACCGCCACGGGGTTCGGCGGAGGGCCGGGGGTTGGCTGACGCGCACACCCAGACCCCCTCACCCCGGTTTCCGTGGCCGCAGTTCCTCCGGGTCACCAAGCAGTACCTGCCGCACGTGGCGCGCCTGTGCCTCATCAGCACCTTCCTGGAGGACGGCATCCGCATGTGGTTCCAGTGGAGCGAGCAGCGGGACTACATCGACACCACCTGGAGCTGCGGCTACCTGCTGGCCTCGTCCTTCGTCTTCCTCAACCTGCTGGGGCAGCTGAGTGAGTGGCCCCATCCCCTCCTGTCCTGCCTGGGCTCTGCCAGCCTTGGCCGGGGCTCGGCGGAGGCCTGGGCCCTGCCTTGCAGTGGGGGAGACGGGAGGCGCGGTGGCCAGTGAGGCGCGGGGCGCCGAGACGGAAGCACCCCACAGGAGGCCAGCAGAGGAGGCAGCGCGGGGGCTGAAGGAGGGGCGGGGGGCCTCAGGTCTCACGCTGGTCCTGGGGGGCAGAAGGGACTGGCACTGCCCAGCCTGCCCCAACGCTGGCTCTGGAAAACGCCACTCTCTGTCGCAAGGAATCCCCTTTCCTGGCCCGTGGCTTTGATAAGTAAACGCCAGTGCGCGCGCCGAGGGTGGCCTGTGCCGGCCATTCATCCTCGCAGAGGGGGTGTCTCGTGGGGTAGGCGGCTGGTGCCTGGTGCCGTGGGGTCCCCACACCGCAGCCCCGACCAGCGCCCTTCTCCTTTGCAGCGGGCTGCATCCTGGTGCTGAGCAGGAACTTCGTGCAGTACGCCTGCTTCGGACTCTTTGGGATCATCGCGCTGCAGGTGAGGGCGCCAGGGGCTCCCCTTTGCCGCTCAGGGTGAGTCAGGGCTTCTGCAAAGACATCTTCGAGGCTTCGGCATCGCTGTCCCTCTGCTGCGCTCCGCCTGGAGCTCCTCTGCTGGGAGAGGCTGAGGTCCCCCGGGCATGTGAGGGCTGCCGAGTGGGTCTTCCGCCACTTTCCTGGGTGGCCTTTGGCCCGGGAGCACATCCCAAAGGCCGCCAGGACCCTGGGCGGGCTGCCCACTGGCCGCGTGCTCAGAGCCGCGTGTGCGCCAGGACACCGGCCCGGTCCGAGGCTCTCCCCAGTCCCTGAGCCGGGGGCGGCCCCGCGATCATCTGCAGCCTTGTTTTCTCCCCCGCCTGGGAAATTGGCCTGACGCTGTTGAGTCGATGCAACGAGAAAGTCATTGAAATCACTGACCCAGGTTTCCCTCTCACGCCCCTCAGACGATCGCCTACAGCATCCTGTGGGACCTGAAGTTTCTGATGAGGTAGGCGCGGCCTGCGGGGGGCGGTGGGCTCTGCTCCAGGCTGGGGCTGGTGCTGGGGGGGCGGGGGCCTCCTGGGCCGACTGGCCCCTCTCGCGCGCTCCCACGACATTAGCAGGGGTGCGAGCGTCTCTCCCGTGCTCCGTCTCACAAGGTGGGGAGCGAGTCAGTGCAACCCCACTTGCTTACTGGACCCAAAGGCCACAAGCAAGTGAAGACCAGGCCCTGCCCGCTGGGGGGTCAGGATGCACTGCGGCTGGGGGTGAGGCTTTCCCTAGGCGACTCGAGGCTGGGGTCCCGCGGACACCCTGGGCCGCGAGGGCCTGCGTGGTGCTAGGGTCTCCGGATGTGGTCGGGACCCGCATCTCTGTTCTCAGGAACCTGGCGCTGGGAGGAGGCTTGTTGCTGCTCTTGGCGGAGTCCCGCTCTGAAGGGAAGAGCATGTTTGCGGGTGTCCCCACCATGCGCGAGAGCTCCCCCAAACAGTACATGCAGCTCGGGGGCAGGGTCTTGCTGGTCTTGATGTTCATGACGCTCCTGCACTTTGACGCCAGCTTCTTTTCGGTAAGGACCTTGCTCGCTGGGCCGCCTGCCCCTGCTCCCTCCCGTCTCGTGCTGAGCAGCCCTTGGAGCGGTTTGGCTCAGAGGACGGGCCCCTGCCCCGCTAAGGGAAGTGGCCCCAAGCAGCCCTCGCACTGAGGAGCGCCTTTGCCATGAGGAGCCAGGCCCTGCCCACCTCCTGCAGGTCGGGGTGCACGGGCCAGCCTGAGGCTCCCGACAGCTTCTGCTCAGACGCCTGGCCTGTCTTCCTCTCCATCAGCACCTTCATCGGGTACTTTGTGCCCGGTGTTGGGGGGCAGAGTTGAGGTTTTGTCCTCACGCCCCCAGCCTGTCCCCCTTGGTGCCCTGGCTGGGGAGGTGCCTGGGGCTTGCTGTCCAGGCAGGGCTGGGGACACATCTATACCTTCCCGGTGGCCCAGCTCCAGGCGCCAACCAAGCCTGGAGGTGGGCAACCACAGCCTGTGGACGAACCACAGCTTCGTCCTCGCCTCACCCTCCTGCCCCACTGTGACTCTCCTCCGACACCCCTGGGGCCACAGCCACCTGATGGGGCGCTGGGATGTGCCCCTTGGTCAAGCCAGCCGTGGCTCTTCCTCACGTCTGTCTTTTCGTGCCTCGTGCCCGTGCAGATCCTCCAGAACATCGTGGGCACGGCGCTGATGGTCCTGGTGGCCGTCGGCTTCAAGACCAAGCTGGCCGCCCTGACCCTGGTCGTCTGGCTGTTCGTCATCAACGTGTACTTCAACGCCTTCTGGACCATCCCGGTCTACAAGCCCATGCACGACTTCCTCAAGTACGACTTCTTCCAGACCATGTCGGTGATCGGGGGCCTGCTCCTGGTGGTGGCCCTGGGCCCCGGGGGCGTCTCCATGGACGAGAAGAAGAAGGAGTGGTAACAGGGCCTCGCGCCTGCTGACCGCGGCCGACGAGGACTGGTTCGGGTGGATTCGAGAAAACTGCCAGCATTTATGTTTCCTCCTCCCTCCCTCCCCTGGTAAAGGCACAGATGTTTTGAGAACTTCACTTGCAGACACCTGAAGTCGATGGCTGCGTCTGCCCTGGCCCGGGCTGGTTTTGAGCCTCGCGCGGGCGGGGCGCCTGCCCAGGCCGGCCCCGGCTCCTGGGAGCCAGCAGCTCGTCGCTGCTACCTCTCAGTCTTCTTTTAGTTTCTCTTCGTTGGGGGGTGGGGGGCCTTCGAGTGTACTGTGAGCAGATACATTTATGTATCATTCAACGCAGTCTCCCTCTTATTTTTTAAGTTTACGTTTTTAGCTAAAACTACTAAAAGATTCGGGACGGCCCGGCTGGACACCCGCACTCAGACGCCCGGTGGAGACTCGCGCCAGCGCAGCCCAGTGCTCCCGGCCCGGCCGCCAGGCTGCGTGGGGACGGCAAACGTTGAGAAACCCCAAACCCAAAGACCGAGGGCGGTGCCGGGCGGCCGGGGCTGCTGTCCGCGGCAGGTCATTCCCGAGTTGGACAGCTGGCTGGGACTGGCGCCCAGTGTTTGACGTGTAGCCTACCTGAGAGCTTTGGCAGCTTGGGGTGGGAGTGAGGGGGTCAGAAATCTTGGGGAGCCACCTGGCACCCTACCCCTCATGCCCCGGCTTGCAGCCTGCCTTTGCCACTGACGTGCTTGGGAGGAGCAGCCACCGTCCCGGGCAGTACAGGACCGCAGGCCCAGCTGTTACCTCACTTGGCCTTTCCAGAGCCGCCGACAGCGCAGAGCTCCGCCGGCGAGCGCCACCCTGTCCGTGGCTGGCAGGGCCTCCTCCCAGGCTGGGCGCTCAGCGCCCCATCTCCACGCGGCCTCCACGGCCTGCTGGTCAATTTGCCATGCTGAGCGCAGCCACGATTACTTTTTACGATTTGTGATGCCTTACCGATTGGATCTGAATCCTGTATTTAAAGTTTTCTAACATTGCCTTATACTGCGTTTCTCTTCTTGGGGGTCACGGGGTGAATGCTGCGTGGGGACTGTGCCTCTAAGGGGCCCCCACGCCCGGCTTTGTGAGTTGCATCCTTGGAGGTCAGCAGCTGCCTCGCCTCAGAGCTGCTGCTCTGGTCTCATCAGCCGGGTGCCCCAGACAGGGCCGCCCGGTTTCGCTGGGGGTGTCAGCCAGGGTGAGCTGGGGCGCCCCCATGGCCCAGGGCTTTGAAAACCTCACCCGGGTGCCCATCTCGCCCAAGAGGAGCCATGGTCCCCCTGCCTGACACCCACTTGTGCCCCAGCACGGGGAGCCCCACCCTGGTGCCTGCTCCTGGTCTCCCAAGTATTTATAAGGTGAAGAGCTGCTCCAGGTCAGAGGCAGGGGACCGGGCCCCGCCGGCAGCGAAGTGGCCTGCCCGCCGCGCCCTGCCCGCCCGCGTCCTCCCCTTAGCTTGCGCCAGCCCGCAGAGTGGCCTCTGCTCCTGGCTGGTGGCAGCCTCGCCCCGTTCCTGGAGGACCTTTATTGACCCCAGGAGGCGTGGAGGACCCAGCCGGCGCCGGAGCACTCCGGGCTCCCCGGCCCTGCGTGGGGCTCGTCCAGGGCGGGCGGGCGCCTGGCCCGAGGAGGGGCGCTCCGCCAACTCGGACGCGAGCAAGACGATTTCTGAAAACTGCTTTATGTGGGAAATAGGTATAAATCTCCTTTTATGCTGTATTTTATCTTAGTTATGTTTGAAAACATTCTGATTTTGGAAACATCAAAATAAACGATGGCATTTGTTGTATTCGGTGCAGTCCCCTGGCAGCGCCCGGCCAGGTGGCCAGGGCCCTGAGGCGCGGTCGGCCACGCGCACCCCCTCGCGTTGCTGAAGACACGCAGAAGCCACATCCAGACAGAATTCTTGGGTCCCTACTGCGTCCTGGGTGTGTGGGGCACCCTGGCATCTGTGAACGGCCCCTCCTGCCCTCAGGCAGCACCTGAGAGTGGGCGCAGCAGAGCAGGGACCCGGGTAGGCTGGGGGACGCCTGCAGGCGGCGGGGGGAGGAGGAGGTGAGACCTGAAGGAGCTCACAGGCCTTCCAGGCGTTTCTCCAGCGGCCTTCATTAACCCGCCTGTTTAAATACAACCCAGCGCGGAGGTTTGCGGCCGCAGCGTCCGAACTTCTTCTTGCAGGCGCCCGACTGCTTCTGCAGCGAGAATGGGTCGGTCTGTCGGCGGGGATTGGCCCGGCTGGGGTGAGGGCGCGCGGGCCCAGGCTTCGGGGAGATGCCTGGGTCGGTCCCTGCCCCGTGCCCCCCACTGCGGGCTCCATGGGACGCCACGGGTTTGCTGCCCCCTCTGCCCCCTGGCTGAAGGCCACACTTGTGACCCCCCGACCCCACCCCCACTCCACTGCTCTGCCACGGGGGGTGGGGGGGGGAGGAGCCGTCTCGGCCTTAGCAGAGGCGGCAGAGGGCGGGTCTCGACGTCCGGGCTTCCTGGCCGGCCCTCAGAACAGTGGTCTGCAAAGTGCCACCCGGCTTCTGGACAGGGGCTGGCGGGAAGCAGCCCCCCAGCTTGGGCGTGTACCCTCAGCCTGGGATGTCACTGGTGAGAAGCTTCTCTATTTTTCAAGAAGTTGCAAACGGCAGGGAAGCTGCCGCCACGCCAGCTGTCCCGGGACCCACTCACCTTCCTGCGCTTGAGGCCCACTCCTGTCCCCTCGCTGTCCCCAGGGCCCTTCTCTCGAGGGCACCTGGGCCCCTCATCGTCATCTGTCAGAAAGTCCTCAGCGCCACCCTTGGTGTCTCCCGGGTCCTTTTCGGTGAACAGCTCAGCTGCAAGGGACGGGGTGGCGGAGCCGGCTTGGGGCTAAGTTCACACCTGCCCCGGGACTGGGGGGCAGCAAACCAGGGCCCGGGCCAGAGGCCAGGCGGGCAGCAGGTGCAACCTGCTCGCTGCTGCCGGGACGGCCCCGGAGCCACAGCAAACCGCCCAGGCCAGGAGGGACACGTTCCACTTACGTGGGTACAGGTCTGTCATGCTGTCGTCGCTGTCACTTGCGGCTGCGTCGTCGTCACTGGACGTGGGTTCCCAGAAGGCCTCTCCGGGGCGAGGGGACCCGTCGCTGTCCATCTGCCCGTCCTTCCTCCTCCTCCTCCTGTGCAGGAGGCAGGCGGGCACGTACTCCACGCCCTGCTTCTGACACTCGTCATCTGGAGGGGACCAGCACGCTGCCTGTTCTCGGGGGCTCCCACAGACCCCCCGCCCCAGCTGGAGCTCACCCCCCATCTGCACAGGCTTCTCCCATCCAGGCCCCTGAGGGAGAGGTCGGCTGATCCTCACGGTCCTCACCTGCCTTCACCCCCTCATGGTGGCTGGGCCCTGGCCTGACACCACGTCCCTCTGCCCACGCCCAGAACCCTGTCTCCTGCTTCACCTCTGCCGCCCACCCTGGGGCCCGACAGTGGCCTGTCCGCCACCAGGACCACACGGGTGTCCTCGCAGAGCCTCCGCCATCCCCAGCCCACCTGGGCAGCCTTCTCCACTTCTCCTCACCCTCCCTTCAGGAACACGTCACCAGGGCTGGCCCTTTGCTCCTTGAAACCACTCTGTCCTGAGGGGGCTTGCCCCCTTCGTGCCCCCCAGAATCCGTGGGCCCGGGAGCACCTCTGTGCTGAGGATTCCCCAACCGCCCCCGCACCCTGACACCTGTGCTTCAAATGTCCCAGGGACTGGCGGTTTCCCTGGAAGGTCGCTCTAGGGCTCACTCTCTCCAACCCGACGAGGCCCGCACCTCCCAGTTCCCCCGCGGGGCCCCTGGGGAACCTGGCCCCCCTCCCTCTCTCCCCTCGCCTAATTCTCCCTGCTCCATAGCTGAAACCCGGCCACACCTGGGAACAGGGCACCGCCCCCTGCCCCTGGTGACCCCAGCCCTGTCCTGCCACCCGGCCCCTGCCAGCCCTGAGGCACAGGCTGAGCTCATCTGGCGCCTCCTGTTTTACCGCTTCAGAGCAGGCCCACTTGGCCGGGTCGCCCCTCTGCTGACTCTGTCCCCACCGCCTTTCCAGCCCCTTGCATGGTGGCGTGAAGCCGTCATCGGGCGTCCCACAGAGCCCAGGGACGGGGCCCGACCCCCAGAGCCCGGCCTCCACGGCACTCCTAGCCCATGTGTGGAGGGAGCTGGCCCCCCTCTACCCTCGCCCCTCTTGTCACTGTGCCGGAACCCCCACGCTTCCACTGAGTATCAGCAGAGTGACCACTTCCGCCTTCGGGGCGCTCTTCCCGGGGGAGGGTGGGCAGGCAGGCACCCCAACACCTGCGAGCTACTCACACTTCTGCAGGGCCCTCCGGTAGCGCCGGCCCTGGGTGTGCCTGCACACGTGCGCGGGGGACTTGTTGATGTGCCGCAGGGTGAGCCGGCAGAAGAGCTGGTGCCTGCGGGCAGGGAGAGCTGGGCTGCGGGGCGCTCCCGTGGGGGCCCAGACCAGCCGCACCCCCCAGCTGCATCCTGTGATGGGGCCTGAGCACCCCCGTCGTCAAGGCTCCCCTGTCATTCCAGAGGGAGTGTCTGGGGGGAACCACGGACCCAGACCCAAATGGCCTCTTCTCCAGCACCTGGAAGGCAGCCTCTCCCCGCAGCCTGGGCGCGGCTGGGGCCAGGGGGGCGCCTGTCACTCCGTCAACCCCGCTCCGGCTGCACCACAGACCCGGGAAAGGATGGGAAACTCACCTGGTGCAGCACCCGGGCCGGCCAGGCCGGGCCGGGCGCTGCGCTCGGCGAAGCCGGGCCCGGGGTGACAAGCCTCCTCACAGAAATGCGAGCGCGCGGGGGGTGGGGGCTCACCGGGGGCCCCTCCTGGACATCGGGGTCTCCAAGGAGGGCGGGTGGGCGCGGCAGGACCGACGGCGCGGGCGAGGGGGGCGCCCGGAGGGGCCACGCCTGGCGGCGGCCGCTGGACAGCAGGGCCGTCCCTCCCCCTCCCGCGCCCCGGCCGGGCGCCCGCGCGCACTCACGGGTTCTTGGTGCTGGGCACGATGTGCGGCTCGAACGCGGCGTAGTCGAAGGCCGGGTCGGTGCGGGCCAGCCGCCGGTACTTCTTGCCGCGGGTGTAGACCTGGAGCGCCGGCAGGCGGCAGGGCAGCTCGTGGCCGGTCAGCGCGCACCGCACCTGCGGGCGGGGGCGGTCAGGGCCCGGGGCCGGCGCCGGCAGGGGGGCGGTGGGGGACCCCGGGGGACCCCCGCACCTGGCGCGCCCCGGGCTGCAGCCGCAGACTCGGGTGCTCGCGCAGGAAGGCGCGCAGGTCGGCCGGCAGCTCGCTCATGGCGGCGCCGCGGGGCGGGGGCGGGGGGGGCGCGCGCCGGGGCGGGGGGCAGGAGCGGGGCGCCGGAGCGGGGCGCCGGAGCGGGAGCGGGAGCCGGGCCGACCACGTGGCCCGCGCGGCCCGGAAGCGGAAGCGGAAGCGGCAGCGGCCGGAGGCGCCGGCGGCCATGGCGGCGGCGGGGGCGCGGCGCCTGGGGCTGCGGGGCGCGGGCCCGGGGCCGCTGCTGCGGGTGAGCGCGGCGGCCCGGGGGGCCGGGCGGCCGGGGGGGGCCCCGCACCCCGGCCCGACGCGCTCGGCCGCCGCTCCGTGTCGGCAGGCCCCGGCCCGCGCCGTCGGAGGGCGCGTCCTCGGGGCCCCCCCGCGCCCAGGTGAGCGCCGAGTCCGGGCGGGGCGCGCGCCCCGCTCTGCGGGAGACACCCCGCTCCCTCGGCCTCGCAGCCGCCGCCCCGGAGGCCCGCGCCCGCCCCCCGCGCCCCCCGCGCGCTCCTCGCCGGGAAGCCGGTGTGGACGCCGCCCCAGGCCCTCGCCGCGCTCGGCGGAGCCCGGGGTGCGGAGGGGGCCCCGGCGGGAGGGGTGCCGGGCGCGGGAAGGGGGGCCCCGCAGGCGGGCCGGGCCGCCGCCTCCCCCTCGCGGCTCGTCTGCGGGGCTCCTGGGGGCTGTTCCTCTCCAGGGCGAGGAGCGAAGGGAACGGGCGGGGGGCCCCGGGGACGCCGTCGGGAGGGTGGAGCGGCCTCTGCCCAGGCGGAGCCAGTCCCCGTCGTGGGCCTGGGGAAGGCGGGAGGGGGTGAAGGAAAGCCCCGGTCAGGGGTGGCGGCCGAGCAAGGCCCGCACTCAGGGCTCCTTTACCCGGGCGAGAAGCGGCTGCTGCGAGCGCCGGGCTGCACGTGTGCTGCTGGCTGGCTCCAGACCGGGGCGCGGCCGTGCACCCCTTACTGGACTGCCTCGCAGCCTCGGCAGTCTTGCTGAGGAAGAGGCTGCTCCAGTTCTGTCTGTTCTAGGGCTTTTGACGCCATGCCGGGCGGCGCACTTCCCCGGGGGCCCCCCACGGCCCCACAGTCGCGGCAGCTCGGGCAGCTCTGCAGAAGCGCCCCCCACCGCGGAGGCCGAGGCCGACTCCTTTCTCCAGTGGTTCCTGCTGCTCATTCCGGCCACTGCCTTCGGCCTGGGCACCTGGCAGGTAAAGCCTGGCGTCCCGCTCGGGGCTGAGCCCGTGGCCCTGCGGCCGCTCTCAGGCTTGTGTTTCTGCAGGTCCAGCGTCGGAAGTGGAAGCTGGGGCTGATTGCAGAGCTGGAGTCTAGGATTATGGCTGAGCCCATCCCTCTGCCCGCAGAGTGAGTGTGGGGCCGCCCCCAGGCGGGGCGCTCTCGTGCTCCATCTGAGAGCCCCCCCAGGTCCCTGGTCCTGCTGGTGCCTGGTCAGCCCGGGGCGACTTGCTACACGGAAAACTCTTTGACCCTGGGTTCACCCTATCATGCCAGTGTACCTTCGGGCTCCCCAGCCCCATGCGGATGGCCCCGGGAGCAGTTCTGAGCTGGTTGAGTGTGGCATCTTGAACGCAAGTGGTTATTTTGGAAAGTGCCCGATTCTAGTGTCCCTGCCTGTTTACAAGCATCTCCTAGAGGGGCGCTGTCCACACTGCAGGCCGTGCCCCGCCTGCTGCTTGTTAACTGCACACAGGTGTCTGGGTTCTTAGGTGCTTTTTTCTTTTTCTTTTTTTTGTGGGACCCTCACCGGCGGCCGGGGATCGAACCGGCGCTGCAGAGGCTGCGGGCAGCCTCGCAGCCCAGCGCTCAACCACTGCGCCACCAGGGGAGGCCCCGGTCTTAGCTTCTTTTGACCACTGGCCTTGTGCCAGCCCAGACCCGCACTCCCACTTGGCACTGAGGGCCCAGCTCCACTTCAGGGGACACTCGTGAGCCAGCAGTCCCCTTGTGCCCGCGTCCCCTGTCCTACTTCACACCTCAGGCGGTGGCGGCCCTGGAGGGTGTCCTCCTGCCGCAAGACTTGCCTCGAGCTCCACATCTCCCCTCTGCTGTGTAGCCCGATGGAGCTGAGAAACCTAGAGTACAGGCCAGTGAGAGTCCGGGGGCACTTTGACCACTCCAAGGAACTGTACATGATGCCTCGGACCAGGGTGGACCCAGCGCGGGAGGCGCGGGAGGCCGGCCGGCTCTCCTCCTCGGCAGAGACTGGTGCCTATGTGGTCACCCCCTTCCACTGCACCGACTTGGGGTGAGCAGGACATGCAGGGAGCAGAGCGGACTGGCAGTTGCAGTCAGGGCACCCTCAACCCCTCACCTTGAAAGGCCCCCGGAAATCCAAAATACTCAGAGGGTAGTTCTGACATCAAGACACTCATTTACTTGCTGCTGAGCAATTTGGGGAGGTTGAAGGGGGTGATCTGGTGCCACTGTCCCATGGCCAACACAGGACATGATGGTGGCGCTGTGTGAGGAAGGGCAAGAGCAACTTGGGGAACCTCCCCCCCCAGCCCCTGGTCTGGAGGTCAGGGAAGGCCCCATGGACAGCTTGTGCAAAGAACATCCCAGGGATGGCAAGGCCCCCATTGGGTGGGCCAGGGTGGGGGGACAGCTGGGGGTGTCCTCACTGGCTGTGCATGTGGGCCACAAAGGTTGCTAGTGACCCTGGATTCCCACTTCCAAACTGGTACAGAAGGCAGTTCCTACCCATGGCAAACTGGCCACTAAAAACCCCTGGCACTATGCAGTTTCCTGGAGATGCTAAGTTTTCAAACCTCCCCCCCCACCCTTTCTGAAATGGCTTTTGCGACCCTAGAGTCACCATCCTGGTCAACAGAGGATTCGTCCCCAGGAAGAAAGTGAACCCTGAAACTCGGCAGAAAGGCCAGGTGAGGGGCACGCTCTCCCCTCAGGTGGCGGGAACCCCACCACCTCCCCATAAGAGGCACTCACACCTTCCTTGCAGATCCAGGGCGATGTGGACCTCGTTGGCACAGTGCGGTTGACAGAAACCAGGAAACCCTTTATCCCGGAGAACAACCCAGAGAGGAACCACTGGCATTATCGGGACCTGGAAGCCATGGCCAGGCTCACAGGCGCAGACCCCATTTTCATCGACGCAGACTTCAGTACGTTGGGAGCGGCCCACCCAGACCAGCAGCTTTCCAGGACAAGTCCTTCCTCTGCAGGGAGGGGGGGCAGGGTGCTGGCTGCCAGTGACTTGGTCTTCCAAGTCATGACTGACTAAGCCAGGTCTACACTGAGAAGCTGGCCAGGCCCTGACCCGCTGTCCCTGCAGGGAGCACGGTCCCTGGAGGCCCGGTCGGGGGGCAGACCAGAGTGACCCTGAGGAATGAGCACATGCAGTACATCCTGACCTGGTGAGTTGGGCCCCTCTGGCTCCCCTTTAGGCTGTTTAGGCCTCCCGCTGAGCTTCACCTTCTTGCTACCTGAGGTATGGACTCTGCGCAGCCACATCCTACCTGTGGTGTAAGAAATTCCTCCGCTGGACCCCGGGCGTGATGAGATGAGCTCAACTGGCCCTCCCCCGAGTCCTGCGGGATCCCTTGGGTACACTTCGGGAGTGTTCCGTGCTGGACCACACTGCTGGTGTTAATAAATGAATCTTCATACTCCACGTGCTTGTTCTGCCTGTCTCCCCACCTAAGCGAGCTTCTAAACTGGTCCGCGTGATGTCTATTTGGGTTCACTGTTCAACCAGAGCTTGTGAAAGCCAAAACACAGCCCTCTGACCCGGCCCCTGCCCTAAAGGGGAGACAGGAGCCCTAGATTGAAACCTCACTCCCTAATGGTAATAAGCCACTCGTAATGGTAACAAGTCACCACCAACACGAAGTACCCCAGACACCGGTTGAAGCACGAAGCTTATGGTTTTTATGTACACAAGACACGACAGCACACGCTCAGCCCAGCTTGGTGGCCAGTTCCTTAGCCTTCGCCTTTTCCAGCTTGGCGATGCGAGCCACGGACTTGGGACCCAACACGTTGCCTCCCCAATGACGGCGGATCTGCAATGACAAGGCAGGCGGTCAGCTCCTGCTGTTCTATTCGGTCCCCAAGTTGATCACCAAACAGAAGCACCCAGAAAGCTGTGTAGGACCTGCTGGCCACGTGCTCTGCTTACCTCGTCGTATCTGTCGTTGTAGTTGGTCCTGATAGCTTCCACCAGCTTGGCCAGGGCGCCCTTGTCTTCCCTAGAAGGTAGGGGGAGAATGGTGGGCCGCTGATCTCACCCTCCCAGAGCGGGGATGACTTGATTTTAGGCAGCAAACGAGCCTTTTGCCTCAGATACAACATGACCACAAGGTTTATTCAGGTGAAGAAATTCTTGACCATCACTGGCAAAGGCTATATCTGGTTTTCAAAGCACCAGGCAGTCCCGTCCCCATACTTACGAGTTAACCTGTGTGAAGGCGACGGTGGTACAAGTCTTCCTGTGGACCAGGCGCCCCAGCCTTGCCTTGCCCTTGATGATGCAGTAGGGGACCCCCATCTTCCGACACAGGGCAGGCAGGAAGACGACCAGCTGGAAGAGAGGGGATGCTGGGGCGGGTTCTGACCGGCAGCAGTTATTCATAAACAAGGTCGGCAGCAGTTGCTCAGGGTTAAAAAGCTCATTGATGTTGCACTTCAAGGTGTGATTCAGGAAGGAGTTCACATCATCGCAACGCCGCTCAGCACTGAGCTCTACGCCGGCCACGGCTCAGGCTCTGGTTTCCAAGCTTAGCAGTGAATGCTCAGAAACAAGCCAAAAGGCTCTCAACCTGGACGGGGCAGGGGCCTCTCTCTCCTCTTTCCTGGCAGACCTACCCTCTAAACAGAAAAAAAAAAAACCAAAGGTACCTCGATGGGGTCCACATCGTGTGCAATCACCACAAGCTGGGCCTTCTTGTTCTCCACCAGGGTGGTGACGGTATTAACCCCTGCAACACAGCAGCGCGGGGCACTCAGGGGGCCACTCTAGCCACAGCACAGCCCTGCAGCGGCCCAGCTATGACTCGGTTAAAAAGCTCGATTTTACTCTTCACGGTGACTCCAGGTGAAGAAACTCATACATCATCGCCATCAGCCTGCCCCACAGGCCACCTGCCTTATGGAGGGCCCACTGACCTGCTCGAAGGACAGGTGGCCTCTTGGTGGGGACGTCCCCTTTGCCAGCAGCCTTCTTCTCGGCCCGGGCCAGCAACCGCTGCTTCTTCTCTTGCTTGGTCTCCGGTCTGTACTTGTGGGCCAGCTTGAGCAGTTGTGTAGCTGGGAAAACGTGCCAGTCAGGCTCGCCATTCAGGCAGCGGCGGCGCTGGGCCTCCACGCCACCGCACCGCGACTTAGTTTAAGCAAGCGATGGAGCTTACAGAAAAGTCGCAGTTCTGGAAGCCACTCGAGGCGCCCGAGGCCCACCCCAGCCTACTGGTAAGGACCCCCGCCCCCTTAAATGCTTCAAAGAAAGGTGATCACGTCCCTGCCCATTTTCCACAGCCACCCCTTGCAACTGGTTTCGTGGCACCGAACCTACCGGTCTGGCGGTCCAAGGCCTGGGTGAACTGGTTGATGGCGGGGGGCACTTTCAGCCGCTTGTAGAGAATGGCCCTTTGCCGCTGCAGCCGGATGTAGCGGGGCCATTTGACAAAGCGGGTGAGGTCCCTTTTGGGCTGGATGTCCTGTCCTGAGGAGGAGACGTGAAAGCCAAGGCTGTGAGCGAGGCGAACTCCAGTTCACCTTTAGGGCCGCGGCCAGGCTGTGCGTGCATCAGCGATCTTGGTGGTTTAAGGCGTCATCACGACCGTCCAGATAGCAAATATTCTCTCACATCATCTGCACGCCAGCACCGCGGAGACCCCTCACTTCGGCGGGCGAGGGGTGCGGCAGGCCCACGGTCTGCGCCTCTACTCGGGCAGAGCCGGTTTTCCAGAGCAAGCTGCACCCCGAGGGTAGCGGGCCCCGAGGCCACTCGAGGGTCAGAAAGCAGCAGCATCGCGGCCCCCCTCAGGGCGCCACCAGGCCCGCGGCGGCCACAGCCGGCAGCCCCTCCCAGCAGGCCGGCTCGCGACCCAGAGCCCTCCGGGCGGAGGGGGCCCCCCCGTGCCGCCCCCCCGCGGGCGCTGCCCTCGCCCCCCCCCACACTCACCGATGCCAAAGTTCTTGGGCCTCTTCTCGAAGAGGGGATTTACCACCTTCTTGGCCTCCTGCTTCTTCACGACGGCCGGGGCCGGGGCCACCTTCTTGCCCTTGGCCTTCTTCCCCTTCGGCTGGTGAGAGAAGGACCGGTCAGGCCACCCTCCCGCCAGCCTCTGGGGAGCGGGGCCCGAGGCGCGGGGTCTCGCGCGGGCAAAGCTCGCCGGCGCCGGGGGCTAACGCCCAGGCAGGCGGGGCCGGGCGCACCCCCAGCGGCAGCGGCTGACCCAGAGGCGCTCGCCCCGGCCCCGGGGAGCGCCTCGGCCCCGTCCGCGCCGGGTTCCGCACTGCGGCGCGGCGCCCCCGCGCCCCGCTCGCCCGGCCAAGGCCTCTGTGCCAGGCCGCGCGGGGCGGCCCTCGCGCGGGGCGGTGGCGGCATGTCCGCGCGGCCGCGCCGCGAGGCGGATGGCGGCGGATGGCGGCGGATGGGGGCCGACGCCGCGGCCGCGGGGCACTCACCATCTTGGCGACGGCAGCAGAGAGAAAGGAAGGAGGACGGTGCGTAATTAGTACGCGCCGCCGAGGCCGCGAGACCTGGCCGGCGCGGGATTTCGCTCTCAGAGCGACGAGACTCCGCCCCCGGGTCGGGGCGGCGCCTGGCGCGGCGGCGGCGGGAGGCACCGGGCGGCGCGGGGCAGGTACGGGCGCCCGCGGGGCCCGGGCGCGTCTTTCTCCGGTGGTTTCCGCGGCCCGGCGAGGGGGCGCGGGGGGCGCGGGGAGGGCGGGCGCGCGGGGCTCGCAGGGGGCGGGACCGCAGGCCGGGCTGGCGCCCGCGGGCCCCGCGCGCCCGGAGGCCGAGGCCCGGGAGGGCTTGGGGGGGCCTGCGCCCTCCGCCGAAGTGCGGGCTCGGGGGCGGGGGGCGCGGCCGGCTCTGCTCACACCGCTTGGGCCCCAGGTGCCGACGGGGCCGCGCCCCCCCGCTGCCCGCCGAGGCCCCGCCATGGCGCAGCAGCGAGCCCTGCCGCAGAGCAAGGAGACGCTGCTGCAGTCGTACAACAAGCGGCTCAAGGACGACGTCAAGTCCATCATGGACAACTTCACGGAGATCATCAAGACCGCCAAGGTGGGCGCTGCGGCCTCCCGGCCTTGGGCCGCCAGGGGAGCAGGGCAGGGTCTAGAGAGGGTCCAGAAGTGGGCGGTGGCGAGCAGCGGTTGGCCGACTTCCCTCCAGGGGCTGCGGAGCTGCGTGCCTGGGCTGGGGTTCAACTTGCACCCCTTGAATGCAGAGCGTGTGCTCTGTACCAGCGGTGGGGTGCAGCGGTGAGCCACAGGCCAGGCTCTTGTCCCCACGGCCGGACGGTAAACAGATAAATAAGCACATAACCCGGTTAAGTGCAGATCCTGGCGTGGCATTCTCGGGGCCCTCGCGGAATTGCGGGTTCCAGGGGTGCCCAGCACCACTCACCGGCAGGCTGGGCTTGGACTGGAGGATGCCTCAGAGTCCTCCAAGTCATCGGTCCCTGTGATGAGGGACGTGTTTACCTGTGTAAAGTGATGGGGCCTGATGTGGTAGCTGTTGTGAGGGAGGGTGAGTCACGGAGGGAAGCTGGGGAGGCCCCTGCAGGTGGGCAGAGTGGTCAGGGTCCACCGAGTGCTGCGGCTGCCCCAAGCTGGCTGAGCTTTGCGGGAGGCCTGCTGACCTGGGAAGGCTTGTGTGTGCAGTTCGGCTAACGGCGAGAGCAAGAATGTCTGAGCCTGGAAGAGTGAGTTATGCCGCTAACAGTTGGCAGGGGCAGGATTCGCACCTAGGAAGTCTGGCTCTTAATCACTTGGGGTGCCCTGACTCCCAGACAGCATCCTAGATCTTAGGGAAGCCTAGGCCAGGTGGATGCGGCTGAATCTCCTGGACTTTGAGACAGATGACTGCAGGGGGCGCTGTTGGCTCCAGCTTTACCATCCGAGGCCTGTCCCAGCCCCAGTGGTTGGCTTGTGAACCCGAGTGGTGCCCAGTCTCCGGGTCTCCGAGGAGCAGGTGTTCTGTAAATGGTCAGTCGCCTGCTGTTGCTGTCCTCCACTCAGTAGTGTGCTGATTGCCTTCACTGGTAACAGCGGGCCATGAGAACAGTGCTCCATACCCCAAAAGACTAGACTGAGGGCACCCTGTATCTGGCGCGGCAGCCCAGCGGGTGGGATTCCACCTCTGCTGGCGAAAGTGCCGGTCCTCTCCTTCGCACAGGACAAGCAGTGCCCGGCGTGGGGGGCTGATGGGTGATGGGCATGAGTTGACAGCTGGCCGGTGTGCCCCAACCGACCCTGGGCTCCCTCATTTGTCCTCCAGATTGAGGATGAGACGCAGGTGTCCAGGGCCACCCAGGGCGAGCAGGACAACTACGAGATGCACGTGCGAGCTGCCAACATCGTGAGTCGGCAGGGGGAGGGGAGGCGCCGGGAGCTGTGGGGCCGCCGAGGGTTCCTGGGCGGGGGGCAAACCACTTCTCAGGAAACACCCCTCAGGAGGCGCGTGCGTGGGCAGCTGGCTGGACACATCGCCATGGAGAGTGCAGTGCAGTGTCAGAAGAGATGAGTCCCAACCCTGCAGGGACAGCAGCCAGGGCAAGTCGGGAGCCGTGCCCCAGGCCCCTGCGGCTGCCCTAGGTGTCAGGGACCCCCCCCTCCCCCAGAACGTAGCCTTCAGGTCCCTCAATTCTGACAGCCCCTCTGTGGAGGCCGTGCTGGAGCCCCACCTTGCAGGTGAGGAAACAGTCCAGGGCTTGCCCTGCGGTCCCCGCTCACTGCAACTTCCCGGCTCTGGTGGCCACAGGTCCGCGCTGGCGAGTCCCTGATGAAGCTGGTGTCCGACCTCAAGCAGTTCCTCATCCTCAACGACTTCCCGTCGGTGAACGAGGCCATCGACCAGCGCAACCAGCAGCTGCGCGCGCTGCAGGAGGAGTGCGACCGCAAGCTGGTCACCCTGCGGGACGAGGTCTCCATCGACCTGTACGAGCTGGAGGAGGAGTATTACTCGTCCAGGTACAAATAGCCGCGCCCTGTGCGGGGGTGCCTGCGGGCTCCACCAGCCAGCATGGCCCGCCCGGCCACCCCAAAGGCCCGTCTGCTTTTCCAGGCCTTCCTGGTCTTGGCCTTAGCCTGCGCCCAGGTTCCAGAGCTGAGCCTGTGGCCCGCGCATTCGATGGACTGACAGTCGCCACCATCTCCCGGCCCGGGCAGTGCAATGAAAACAGACCTCGGGGGTGGGGAGTCTGGCAGGGGGAGGGCAGAGCTTCTGATCGGTCTTGGAGCAGGGCTTTCTGGGCCCAGATGCTCTTAGCTTTTGGGTCAATGTATAAACATTCCAGTCCACCCAGGCCACGGCCAGGATGCCTGGGGTGCCATTCTCTGTGGGCATCACCCCAAACCTCACAGTGTATGGTGGGAAGAAGGACCAAAAACTCCAAGCCAGATCAGGGGACTGTGACCCCCAAGTTCCCATTCAGCAGGCTGTCCATGGATGGAGCTCTCCCCTGCGCCAGGCTTACGCAGGCCCACTTAGAATTCTGGCACCTGAGGCTCTTTGAGCTCGGGGCCCTCAGAAGACAGAGTCCACATGCGGTTTACAGAGGGGGACACTGAGGCTGCATATAGGGAGACCCCGCAGCTCTGTCCCCTGGAAAATCCAGACTCAGTTCAGCAGACATGGAGTCCACGCCCCTCGCCCTCATGTAGACAAGGCTGGGGTGGATTTAAATGCTCCTCTGTCCCACAGAGGCTGCCGGCCTGGTCTGTCGTCTGGGGCTCGGTTTCCTGACCCTGGACTCAGTACGCCTCACGGTTCCAGCCCATCTTCTTCTCCCTGGGGAGGGATAGACTGTTCCTGCCCTGCTGGAGGATTCCAGACTTTCCCAATGGGCTCTGGCTGCTTCTAGCCCCTGGTACCCGTGGACTCAGTTGGCTGGGGTGCAGCCCCACACTCAGCCTGTCCGAGAGGGCCCGCGAGACCCTGGTGGTCTCAGGTCTTGTGGGACCAGGTCCACAGCCCTGTTTGGTTGGCGGCAGTACCCTTCCGGCTCCCCATGCTTGTCTCCAGGGGCTGGGCTTCTGGGAGCCCCAGGGCCTGAGCACCAGGCTTCCCATGTCTTGCCTTCAGTCTCTGGTTTGCTCAGAGGGACTCCTGGGCCGGCCCCTCCCGCCATGAGGGTCCTCTGCAGGCCAGGCTCAGCTGAGCCAGGGGTGGCAGCTGTATGCTCCTGCCTGCGGGCCCTCAGGTTGCACGTGCCCCCGCTGGCGCTCAGTCAGTGCTGCAAGCCCCGCCGGCCCCGCCTCGCTGCTCTCTGCCCCTCGCTTGCTCTTCCTCTTCCTCATGTCCTCTGCTTTCCTTGGGTCACCTCTGTGCCAGCATAGTTTCCGAGACCCAACGTTGAGAATAGGACTCAGGAGAAAAGTCAGATGGGTGGAGGCAGATCTGTGTTCAGGGCACCCCCTGGCACTCCCAAGTCTTCCAGCAGCCCGTGAGGCTGCCGCTGTCAGCCCCACGTCAACGATGGGGAAACAGTCTCGGGCCTGCTGGGGTTCACCCAGGTGGTGCAGGACGGGACACCTGCAGGGCCTCTGTCTCTAACTGGCACCCCCATCGGTCTGAGCCCCAGCTGTGGGAAGACCCAGAGTCACCCAAGGTCTCGGCCTTCAGGGCCTTGCCAAGTGTAGTCACCGTGGGTAGTGCAGTGACTCCAACTCTGCCCTGCAAGAGCCAGGGCGGGACATGGCCAGCAGTGCAAGGGCTGTGACCGGCAGTGGGATGGGACCCCTAGGAACCCCTCGACCTGCTCTGGCTGGTCCGGGAAGGCGAGCTCTGGGGAGCTCCGTTGGACCCTGAGGCCAGGCCAGCCCCACAACGAGGGCAGCCCTGAGAGCAGAGGGGAGGAGGGGAGAGGCAGGTCTGGGGTGCTGTTGTGTCTCCTTAACTCTCCTATCTCGCTTTTCCTCCCTTGGCTTCCATCTCTGCCTGCTCCTGTCTCTCCCTGGGTTTCTGGTGGTGGAAAAGCTCAAGTCTTTGCGAAGCTAATGACCTGCCTCTGTGCGAAGCTTATTGGAGGCTGGACCTCGACTCAGACTCGGCCGATGGCCTCTCGGCCCCTCTGCTGGTGTCCCCGGAGCCCAGCGCGGGTCCCCTGCAGGCTGTGGCCCCTGCCCACGCGCACGCCGGCGGCCCTGGCCCCGCAGAGCACACCTGAGCCTCCCAGGCTCCCTCCCCCGGCCCGCGGGGTCTTAGGAAAGCTGCTGCTCCCCTCTGGGCCCCCACAGCCTGGCTCCGCCTGAGCCCCTGTGGGCAGCTCAGGCAGCGCCCACCCAGGATTGTTGGGGAGATGCTTCCCCAACCTTACTACGTTCCTGGCCCGCTGGGTGGCCGTTTCCAGCAGTTTGTTGCATGGAGGACCTCATGGGGCAGGGAGGGCGCCTGATGTCTTCCTGACCTGAGCGTGCTGTTTAAAATCGGGGTGGCGGTATGGGGGATGGGGCTCTCACGGAGCCTGCGAGCCGCGTCCAGAGAGTACCCTCAGGCCGGGCTCCCGCGCAGAGCCACACTGGCTCCCCTGTAGGCTGAGTAGCAGGGGCTATGTGCTCCCACAGGAACAGGGGGTCCTCCTGATTCTGCGGCGCGCCCTCCCTCCCCCGTTCTGGCGACTTTTGTATTACCTGTTGATTAACGTGAATAAAATCAATGCCACCCTTTGCGTAGGTTGGCTCCTCCTGTTTGTCAGCCTGGGCCACTGTCAGTCTCCCGGTGGCTTCAGGACCCCAGCCCCGGGTCTCCCTTCTCCTGGGAGGGGCCTGGGCAGGCAGACACCAGTTGGGGTCCCGGCTACATTCCTGTTTCATCCAGCTGCCTGGAACGAGGGCAAGCTGCCTTCCCTGTGGGCATCAGGTGACCAGGGCCTGACCTGCTTGCCAGTCCTCCCAGGCGTTGCTGTGGTAACCATGTATCCTGGAGAGTGGGGGTGCTGCTGTCACGGTCAGCCTGGAGGTGAGTGCAGGAGTCAGGGCTCACCTGATGGAAGCCGGGCCCCATCCCCAGCCTACTTCCTCCTTCCCCAAATACAGAGGTGACAGCCCACAGGCCAGCGCTGGGCAGGGAAAGCACAAGCTGACCTGGAGATCGTCACAGCCGGACAGAAGGAGGGCGCCTCGGGCCGTCAGTGCGAGGTGCAGCTAGCTGTTCCTCAGGCAGCCCCCCCCCCCGCCTCCTCCCTCTCCAGCCCCCCTGGCCGAGCCCGCAGAGAAAGACTGCCTGTTTCTAGTTCTCTCTTGAGCCAGTGTCTGCCACACTATTAAGGCCCCCGTGGCCATGTTTTAAACCCTGGTCAACCCTCAGGCCTTTGCACCTTTTAATGCCCAGCATTTCATCCTGAGAATATTCAAGTACAGGGGAGACCTCCAGGATGGTGTGGACAGTCCCCAGCCCTTGCCTGAGGGCCTGCGCTGCTTGTGTATAAGCGATCTGAGTGTCACTTGCCCACCGCCTGACACCTCGCCCCTAAGCACCATCCACACGTCCCTCCAAGGAGCAGGGCTCACCAGGTCCCGTGCCTGCTCTGAATCCAGCAGCTGTATGGCATTCTAGTTCCCCCAACTGTCCAATTGTCTTTTTTTTTTTTTTTAATTTATTCAAGAACCTGGGTACAGGCCAGAGGTGTAGGGGGTGAGAGGATTCACCAGAGACAGAAAAGGCTGAGTGACCAAAATACACTGCTGAGGGGAGCAGCAGGTGAGACAGGAGAGGTCTGCGCGCCCTGTGGGTTGCTCCGTGGCTGGCGGGCACTGCAGATGCTTGGGACAGCTTCACAGCGCTGTGCTCAACCGCCTGTGCCACCAGGGAGGCCCCTACTTGTCTTTTTACCTATTTCTATTTTGCACCACAATAAATCCTCACTGTGACCTATATGGATCAGGGTGATGGTGGAGTGGAATTCCCGATGGACTGGAGGAAGAGCCCCCAGTTTGCTTGAGGACTGGGCAGCTTCAAGGGCTGGTCTGTGAGCCTGGAACACGGGGCTGCTTTCTTAGAGACTTGGAGGGCAGGCAGTGGGGGTGGCGGGGCTCCTCACCCTGGAAGGAGCAGGAGGTGTGTTAAGTGTCCCGATGTGGGTGTGGCCTTCGGGGCACCCTCAGCACAGGCGAGTCCCCCAGAGCCCTCAAAGGGGATTTGGCAGAAAAGCACTGGGGAGAGGACCAGCTGTCTGGGGTCCCTGAAGCCACGTGCGGACATGGTCTCCAGGAAGGGGGCGGCCCATGGTTGAGACCTCAGCACCCCGCATGTGTGCCTGTGTGCAGGAAATTGTGAACTACATTCAGCAGGTTTATTGTTCAGCTTTTGTTATGCTAGAACTACCTCGTGGTGTTCTCAAGGAACGGAAGTAGCGGACTGTGGTTCCTTAGGAACTAGGATGCTCAGTGTAAGGAAAGAAAACATAAAAATTAGAGTTGGAGATATGGACATCAACTTCTACCTTAACATTTAAAGAAATTAAATACAGTTGTCCCAGCTCTGTCCTTTGTCCTCTGCAATGTCCTTAAGAGAACGTCTCCCCCGTGATGTTCCTGGCACCCCAATACTGTTTCCCAATAGACATCCCCCACACAAAGGAACCTGGGGAGGGGGAGGAGCAGCAGCCGCTCCCAACTCAGCTGCTTTTGGTCCCTGCTACGGGACACCCTAGTGGCGGCTCCCCAACCTCCCACCCCCAGGGAGCCTCGGCTGGCCGGCCCTTCCTGGGGATGGAGCAGCAGGACGGGGCCGCCCTGGCCAGCCTGGTGGACTGCGGGGGCCGCTGGGGAGGAGTCGTCACCCTGAGCCTCCGCCTCGTCCCTGTGTCACTTTGATGGGTGGAACGGAAGGCCCAGCAAGTCTGGGAACTCCCCGGTTTCCAGTGCGCGCCCCACGCCCTCTGCAGCTGCCCCCCCCATCTGCCTGGCCTTTCCAGGGGTGCGAGGGCCCCAGCCTCAGGCCCGTGACTGCCCCCCGCGCCCCGCGCCCCCGCGGGCGCTCACAAAGCCAGGCCTGCTTGTCTGTCCTCCTGCTTCCAGGCAAGTCACCTCCCCAGGCGGCCTCACTGCCCTCCGCACCCGCAGTCCTTGGCCCCGCGTCTCCTGGGCGCACCCCATCCTCCCGGGCATCCTGCTCATCCCGGCTCGCCCCCCAGCGGGTTCCGACACCTGCGCTGTCCGTCCTGACCGCGGCGGCCCCCCCAGCCCGGTCCCCCTCCAGGAGCCTGTCCCGGGCCGGCGCCGGGGCGCGGGGGAGACGGGCGACCGGGCGGGGGGGCCGGGGCGCCCGAGGGCAAGGCTGGGGGGCGGGGGGCGCCCCGGGCCAGGTGCCCCTGGGGGCTGTCAGAGACGGCTCGCCGGGGGCAGGCACTGCGGGCGCCCCTCAGACCAGAGGTGGGGGGCCGCCCCCGAGCCAGAGGTCGCAGGGCTCCCGGGCCCGCCCCCGCCCCGCCCCGCCCCGCCCCGCCCCGCCCCGCCCCGCCCCGCACGCCCCGCCCCGCCCCCGCACGCGCGCCCTCCCGGGGCGGGGCCAGGCCTGGCTAATCGAGCGCGCCGTGGCTCGGCGCTCGGCCCTGCGCCTGCGCACCGCGCACTTCCGGCGGGCGGCGCGCCGCGCCGGGGCCCCGCACGCCCGCCCGGCATGGCGTCCCTGCGCGCCAAGGACGCCTACCTGCAGGGCCTGGCCCGGAGGATCTGCGCCCGGCCCAGCCCGGAGCCGCGGGGCCGCAAGTCCGGTAATAGAGCGGGCGGCTCGGGACGAGGGGCAGCCGCGCCGGAGAGCCGGCGGCGCGGGGCACGTGGGGGGTCGGGAGGGAAAGAAGCGGGGTGATGCGGGGGGCGCTCCTCGGGGGGGCCGGGGCTCGGCTCCGCCGGGGCTGGAGGCGAGCCGGGGGCGGGCCGGCCAGCGCTGCACACCGGTGGGAAGGCGGCTGGGAGCGGAGGTGTGTCGGGACCAGCCTCTTCGGGCCTGGCGCCGTGGGGGGACAGGAGAGGGAAGGAGGGGGCCCCCCCACCCCTGGGCGTCTACGCGGCCCCCGAAAGTGGACCCACGAGCCCGGGAAGCCGGGAGCTGGCACTGGTAGGTGCTGCCAGCCCCGGCGGAGGGGAGAGCAGCAGGGTCTGCGTGGAGCTACTGGAGGAAAATGCTTTTTCCTTTTTAGTAGGAAGGTGTAGGTAAGGGAAAGTCGGGAAAACTAAAAGAGGCTTTTATCAAGGTTGCAAGGTAGGCCTGTCGCTCTAGTTCTTTTTGTAATTTTTAAAAAGATTTGTACTTATTTACGCAGACAAGAACTGGGGTACAGGCCAGAGGTGGAAGAGAGAATTCACTAGAGACAGAGTGGGGAGCAGAACGGGTGGATCTACTGAAATCCACTGCTGAGGGGAGCAGCGGGGAGACAGGAGAGCACCCTATGGGTAGCTCCCTGGTGGCGGATTGAACTCGTGCTGCAGTGGCTGTGGATAGCTTCATAGCGCTTAGACTTAACTCCTTGTGCCACCAGGGAGGCCCCCCACCCCTCTTTTTATATTTTCTTGAAACAGTTCAGTTTCTTCCTTACATACCCTGTTTTTTCTACTTAAAGTGTAAGATAGTGACTACTCCGCATGTTGGAAGCAGAAATGGAAGCCTTTGGGTCTGTTTCGTGCCAGCACCAGTCTTTCCTTGTGGATGGATTTTCAAGTTTTCCACCTAAACAGCACCGTGATGAGCATCCTGGGAGCACGTCTCTGTGCCAGCCCAGGAGGCGTCCTCACTCGCAGACAGCTAGGCCAGCTATGAGACTGCTTCCCAGGGCTTCGATGTGGGTGTTCATGTGTTTTCTCTGAAGTTCGTAGTACCGAGAGTCCATGGCCATCTTGGCATCTCAGCATCCTTCTGGGGTGGAAGCCGTTGGCGACGCCCCTGCTGTTGAATGGGTCGAGGAGAGCGGGATGTAGCTCTCTCTCGTTTTGTATTTCAGGTGGCAAGACTCGGGGCACAGAAGCCACTGGGCCCCCAAGTAAGAAGAGGAGGAAAGCACAGAAGAAAGTCAGGGAGCGGAAGGAGAAGGCTGTGGAGCCCAAGGCCCAGCCCCTGCCAGAGAAGTCTCCAGTAGATTCTGGGGCCAGGAAGCCAGCAGCAGCCAAGGACGAGGCATCCCAGCCCAGGGGGACCCCTGCAGGTGAGGGGAAGTGGGTAGGCAGCCCTGATGGGATGCCACAAAGGTCCTTTCTGGGCATAGGAAGAGACTCCGTCGAGCACATTGGGACAGCTCCAGGCTTCCCAAAGGGCAAGCTCTCAGAGGACAGACCCCAGGAGCTCTGTGGGTGGGTGGGTTGACCCCAGGGAATTTGTGGTGGTTCTAGGATGGCAGGGGCAAGGCCACATCCTGCTGAGGGCCATGGACAGCTTCTGTGGAGGATTTTCCCTGCCCTCAAGTCTCTAGGCCACCATGAGAGCCAGCTTGTTCTTGGGGTTCCCAGGCTGCAGAACTGGGGAGAAATGGGAGGCAGGTTTGACTTCCAACTTAAAGCACAGGAGTCTTGTTCTGGAGGGCCGTCTTGTTCGGAGCATTGATTGAATGTGCTGGAACTGCCCTGCGGATCCACCAGGGGGCGCAGCGCGAGCAGGCATGCTTGGCAGCTGGGCCCTGGGGAGGAGTCCCCTTCGGTACCCTGGGTCTTTCCTTACAGGTGGTCTCGCCACAGAGCCGGACTCCCTCTTCGCCCTGGATGTTCTGCGGCAGCGTCTACACGAGAAAATACAGGAGGCCCGAGGCCGGGTTGGTGGGGAGCTTCCTGGGGGCCTGGGCAGTGTCCCCACCCTGCCTAGAGAAGGGGACGCCTCCACACCCAGCACTTCAATGAAATGGCAGGGCTGGCTAGAGGGCCCAGTCACTGTCCCCACCCCTGCCTGCATCCTGCTGGGCCCTGGCAGGCGTAGTCTTGTTTGGGGGAGATCCCACTCCAGGGTCACCCACCCTCCAAACTGCTGGCTCCTCTCCAGCAGCCTTGGCATGAGCCTCAGCCTCTTCCCCCGAGCCCCCCACTAGGTCTGTCTGTTTAAATGGTCACCAGGAGGCTGGCAAGGGCTGAGACAAGGTGACAGCCCTGGAAGTGCTGAGACTGGGACCAGCTTCGGCTCCTTCTACTGGCCGGGATCACCCAAGCCCTCCACTCCGGCCCCCACCTGCCCTTTCCCTGGGCACAGACCCTGGGCCTCCTGGGCGGCGGGTGGGGGGGTATCTCCCAGCTTCTCCCCGTGCCCTCCTGGGCAGGCCCAGTGCCTGGTTCCACAGAACTGGCCGAGGCACGGCGCAGGCCTGGGTGCATCTGCTCTGGAGCTCTTTTGCTGCCGGGAGGGAAGAGGGGCCAGGCTGCTGGCCATGTTGGCAGCAAGCAGTGCCATTGGCGTGGCTAGGCTGGTGACCTGGCTGAGCCAGCCCGTGAAATGCTGGAGGACGGCGTCTCCCTTGTAGGGCCGGGGGGCGATTTGGTGGACTCAAGCTCCCGTGTCCCTTTTGGGGGGACAAGCCGTCTCAGTGGGACGCCTGTGTTGCCCGAGGTCTTGCTCCCGAGCCGGGCCGGCTCCTGAGCACCCCGCTGTCCCTGTCCCGCAGGGCGCCACCGAGGCGCTGTCTCCAGCCGTTTTGGAGAAGCGCCGGCGGAGGAAGCAGGAGCGGGAGCGGAAGAAGAGGAAGCGAAAGGAGCTGCGAGCCAAGGAGAAGGCAACCGCGGCCCCGGAGGCCCCCCAGGCTCCTCCAGAGGCGCCCAGTGACCAGGCGCAGGGGCCGCCCGGGCTGCTCTTCAACAAGGTGAGGGCGCGGGGGCCTTGCCCGCTGGGCGGGGGGCAGGGTGGGGAGCGCTGCCGACCCGCAGGCCTCTCCCCCCAGGTGGAGGTGGGCGACGACGGGCCGGCCAGCCAGGCCCAGCGGAGGAAGGAGAAGAGGCAGAAGGTGAAGGGGAACCTGACGCCGCTGAGCGGGCGCAACTACCGGCAGCTGCTGGAGCGGCTGCAGGCCCGGCGCGAGCGGCTGGAGGAGCTGCGGGAGCGGGACGCGGGCCAGGCGCGGGCCCTGGAGGCCAAGATGCAGTGGACCAACCTGCTGTACAAGGCGGAGGGCGTGAAGATCCGCGACGACGAGCAGCGGCTGCAGGACGCCCTGAGGCGCAAGGAGAAGCGGCGGGCGCAGCGGCAGCGGCGCTGGGAGAAGCGCACGGCCCAGGTGGTGGAGAAGATGCAGCAGCGGCAGGACCGGCGGCGGCAGAACCTGCGCCGGAAGAAGGCGGCCAAGGCCGAACGGCGCCTGGAGAAGGCCCGCAAGAAGGGCCGGGTCCTGCCCCAGGACCTCGAGCGGGCCGGCCTGGTGTGAGGGCTGGGGCACAGGCCCGGCCCCCTGGCCCTGCCTGCAGCTGCCACGGAAGCTCGAGGGCACCTCCAAGGGGCTGAGGCTGGACCCCCACCCCCACCCCAGCCTGCGCAGACTCGGCTCCAGGGGTGTCCAGTGGACGTGCTCACCTTCCTGTTGAGAAGATGGTTCGTCAGCCCACCTCTGGACCCCCGTCTCGGAGTGGGGTGTCTCTTCTGTCTGGTGTTCACTGGGGCCGTGGGTGTCAGCAGGGAGAGCCTTTGTGACGCCTGCCGCCGTCCATACCCCTCAGGCTGCCTGCATCCTGAGCGGAGGGGCTCTGGCCTGCGGGCGGGGTGGGCTGACCCCAGCCTGCTGGCCTCTGGAGCCAGCACCCACCCGCCCCCCTCCCGCCTCCGCCGGTGACTGTTCATTTCTGTTCCTCAGTACTCTTGTGGGGGACCTTCCCAGAGCCTGGGGACTGGACTTGGCCTCGTGCCCCGGGCCGTGGTTTGGGCACCACCCCTGAGCAATGGCGAGGAGCCTGCTGTGACCTGGGGAGGGGGCAGGAGCCTTGTGCCCACAGCTTATCAGGTCTCCCAGCACGTGATAAGCACGGTGGGGGGCAGGCAAATGCGGGATGTTTCCTGGTTGTCACAGAGGAAAACCTGAGCAGCTATTTGGAAATGAGTCTCCCTCCCCCACCTCCACCCCCCAGACCACCTCAGTAAAGCAGGTGGTGTTCCCCCGCCGCAGCTCTGAAGGTGCGAGTGAGCAGCCTGCCTTCTGCCCTCGCGGCCCGGAGGCTCAGGCACCGTGAGGGGAGCACGTGGTAGGCTTCTCATTCTGAGTGGGTTGAGAATGTCCCAGGCCTGTGAGAGGCCCATCTGGAGGTTTGGGCTGTCTGAGGCGGCCACGAGGGGCCCCCTGGGCTCTCCCTCAGGAGCCAAGGCCACGCTCAGGCGGGCGGCTCGACTCCCTCGGCCACTAGTGTGGAATTCCAGGCTCCCGCCCCCTTCACAGCGGTCACCCCAGTAGACCACTTGCTCCCTCAGCAACTCAGCCTGCCTCCTGGTGGGATGAAACCCCAGGTGTGCGAGGTGTCCAGAGGGAGAACAGCTGGACACTGCCCTGAAGCAGCCAGCCTGACACTTGCACCTCAGAAAGCTCACACCCGCCGACAGCTGTCTTGCTTGCCAAGTGGTGCCTCTTCACCTCGGCTCCGGAGAAGGGGTGCTGCTAGAGAGAGGAGTGTGGGCTGGAGGCCGTGTTCTGAGAAGCACCAGGTGCTCGCGCCGGCCGGGGGTGGGCCCTGTGCTGACGGATCCAGCGGGGAAGGTCAGCGCCGGGAGCGCTGCTGGTGGGCACTGGCATGGGGCAGGAGGCACGGCTTGTAATTTGGAGGCTTCAACCAGGATGTTCATGGGGTGTTAGTCGTGGAGGGGGCTGCACCTCCCCCTGCAGTGACCTTTAGGGCTAACCGGCCCTAGGTCCGGCTGGGCAACCAGCGCGCAGCGGGAGAACAGCAAAACCCTACATAACCTGCTGCACCTCCCCCCGCAGTGACCTTTAGGAATGGCTTTCGCCACGGTCCCTAGATCCGGCTGGGCAACCAGCGCGGGGGGGGGGGGGGGGGGAGAACAGCCTGAAGCAGAGGAAGTGCAACGGAAGTTCCCTGAAAAGGCAGAAGCTTATCAAAAGATAACGACCACCAAGAACCACTACAAGAATGCTAAAAATCTTTTCCCCGTCTTTCTAGAACTACAAACTTTAATCCCTTATTTGTCTTTCTAAACTTCCTTCTTTCTTCTATAATGGTCATTGCTTGTTGTGTAGATCACCTCCCTGATAGTGGTAGACTGAGCCCATGAGCAAGCTGATTTCCTTGATATTCATTCCTGTGCTTTTGGAAAACATATATATACTGGTCACAAATTTAGAGAAAATTACACTCAGATTTTCACTCTTGAAGTGTGTCTGTTTGTCATTTCTTTCACCGACGCCCTGACCACCCTGCACGCTTCTCTCAACCCTGAGGTGGCCTCATCGTCTACTGCCTACTGTTGTGCTGGTCCGCGGCAGTTGGCGCCCAAACGTGGGGCCCCGACATTTCATTTCATTTCATTGTGTCTTCCACCCAAAGAAGAGGTGAGTAACGGAGAGATCGTGTTGGGTAAGCTATCTCCCTTCTTGTGTGTGTGAGTGTGAATGTGATTCCCTTAAAATACCCTCTTTTAAACAGTCAGGGATAGGATCCTCACTGGAGCGTCCGGAGCTCGCTGATAAAGGATGATCAGTTCAAGATAGAAGTTTTTCTAAGAGTGAATGCTCGTGGTGCTGTGTGTGTGTGAGAGTGTATGAATACGGCTCCACGGCCTCGTGTCTACGGAGTCTGAGTGGGCTGCACCCGCGATTCCCGTGGAGGAACGTCATATGGCATAACGGTCATCTGCTCCTCGGAGTAGCCTGGTCCGGGACTTATACGGACAGACCTTAGCTAAGACGCCTCCGCAAGTTCCCGCGAGGGACACGGGCCGGACAGCACAGTTGAAAGAAATCTTTGCTTGAGTGAACGAAAGCACCACGAGACCAAAAACAAAAATCTTTTTCTATCTATATTAAAAAATATGATTGAAACACGAGGTATTAAAGTAAATAAGAAAGCTCTACTGCAACTTTATAAATTTATATTACGGGTATGCCCGTGGTTTCCAGAAGAAGGTAGTTTGTCACTGGAAACTTGGAAGAAAGTAGGAAAAGAAGTGAGAGTTTTATGCCCTTCATGGACCATCTCAGGTTCTGAGACAGGCTCTGTCCTTGTGGGTACAAATTAGAGATTTGTTGGGTGATGCCACTGAGGCAGAATTGTGGGAAGGCCAACAGGATGAAGTTCAGGATAATCCTAAAAACAATAATGATCTACTCAAGCCTCTGCTCCCGTATCAAAGGAATCCCTTTCCCAGTCAGAGGATGAGTTTAATGATCATGAATATACTGAAATGCTAGATAAATTAACTTTCAAAAATGATAAACCCTCCCGCCCACCCGCTAACCCTTTTTCAGTTGTTACCAAACCTAAATTGCATTACATAATAATCCTAATCATATCAAAGCCCATCAAGGGCCCCTAGGTGGCATTTTAGGATTAGCAAAAAAGGCCAGTAAGGAGATTTTTCATTTACTTTTCCCGTTGCCGGACCTCCGGCTTTGTCTCGCGCTGATTAAGGCCCTGCATGGGAGGGCATCCCCATAAAAACTCTTAAAAAATTACAGTTAGCTGTTCAGACAACAGGTCATAACTCCCCTTATATTTATCAAATTATTGACATGTTATCAGCCACCTGGATGACCCCTTATGACTGGCATAATCTTGCCAAGGCTGTTCTTCCTTCAGCAATGTATGTATTATTTCACATGGAATATGAGGACCAAGTACATGCCTTCCTTAAAAATCATGATGAGGTTAGGGCTGAGAAAATTTCCCTTTCTATGTTCATGGGAACAGACAAATATGCTTGAAAGGTCCATGCAACAGGCCGGAATGCAGGAGCCAACCAGTAAGCCCACCTGGGGGGCAGGAATGTGGATACCTGCCTGGAGGACTCAGACAATGAGCCTCCCCCCTCCCACTACGAGTCTCATCTCAGACAAAGAACCTCTACCTGCCCTACAAACTAGAACCTCTACCTGCCCTACAAACTAGAACCTCTACCTGCCCTACAAACTTTTCCCGCCGTACGAGCCCAACTACCCACCTGACCTCTCCTCACCCTATAAAACCCTGCTTCCCCCTAACAACGGGCGCGGCTTCACTGACCCCCACCTTGGGTCTGTGAGGTCCGCCCGGGGCGCAATAAACTTTCCCCCCCCTTGAGAAATGTAGCCTGGCTCTCCTTGTCTTTACTGAGCCGAACCTTTCAATGCTGAGGTACGCAGACAAGCTGCCCTTCCAAAAGAAGTCCTAGTTGAAATTAATAAACTAGCAGATGCCTCATGGAAAAATCTTCCTTCACCTGAGTACAAACCCACTAGTCTCACTGATACACACCAACGCCAGGATGAAATGTACCAGGATTTTGTGGCTAGATTAGAAACTGCTCTGGATAAGGTTCTTCCATCCTCCGGAGCACGAAATTTATTGTTTAAACAACTTGCATGGTAAAATGCTAATTCCCTCTGTAAAGAACTTATTAGACCTATAAGAAAAACTGGTATGCTTCAACATTACATTAAAGTTTGCTTAAATGCTTGCCCCGCGACACTAGATCAAGGGTCTGAATTAGAGAAAATAAATAAAAAACTCAAAAACTTATGGCTGTCTGTATCCCTAAATGACATCAAAGAGGACTCAGCTGACAGCTCCATATTAATAAAACAATTGCCTAAACAGATAGGTCGTTTTTGCCTGGCTGGAGACAAAATTAAATATTCAAAACAAAAGGTAAAATAAAAAATAGCCTGCAGTATTACAGAAAGTGATCAGGATTCTTGGGATAGTAAAATTGTTTTTCAAAAGCCAAAAGTTTATTCTAGAGCCAATGCTGACCTCTTTGCAGAGGCATCGGTTCCCAATTATGAGACCATTCCAAAATCCAGCCCAAATTTCCAGCTCGGACTTGGCTAAAATTGTTGAGATAAAAATAAAAACTCAAGAACAAATAAAAGATAATGTGTCATAATCTTAAATAAAACAAAACAAAACAAAAATGCTCCAATCTTTTCCTGTTAATTATTTGGGGAAGAGACTAGGTTCCCCCCAGTGAAGTTTTTTGCCATTTGTTTCTTTTAAAATAAATAAATAAATAAAGCATTTTTAAATAATAGTATTCAAAGTTAATTCACAATTGTTAAAGTTTATTATAAAAAATGGTTAAATATGAGTGTATGAGACTATATGACTATAATATAAATAAAAGGTTTTTATTAAAATAGTATGAACCCACTGCAGTGGGCTGGTGGAGGCTGCCCTTGATCTCAACAAGCAGCTGCCTGGACTGTTTCTCCAGTGTTGGGATCACTGACAGGTCTCTACTACCTTCCTGCTGTGGAGGACTGAGCTTTTCTATTATCCACCTTAAATGACTATTGGTTCATTCTACTATCCACCTTAAATGACTATTGGTTCATTCTAAAAAAAAAAAAAAAAAAAAAAAGTTCCATTTCCCTGTGTTTCTTTGATTATAAAGTTTAAATTGTCTTAGGCAGAAACTGCTCAGTTACTTTTGACGTGCTAACAAGCTATACAAAATGCTTATTGGTTGAATAAAAGCTTTTAATTTTACTTATTGGACCTGTAAAAGATTAAGTTTCTTGTTAAAACAAACTAACCTGGTAAAACATAAAGTGATGATACAGACATTTTTGAGCTAAATTCTAAACCTCAAATTTTACAGGCAGACTGTAAAAATTTACCTCTTCTCCTGTTCTCAAGATAACAGTGTACTTTTTATGTTTTAAAATATGTCCGTTCCCAGTGAGATAATATGTTAACAACCTAAAGCCATATAATCATTTCTTAAAAATGTAAACTCCAAAAATATTTTCTTATCAAAAAAAAAAAAAATTAGTAAAAACTGCCGTGACTACTGTGGAGCCCAAGGTCTTTGGTAATAATTAAGATTAGACACTTATTCTGTGTACAGATTTTAGCTGTTAACTCATTAAAAACCTCAGTATCTTCACACATTGCTAAAATAACTGTTTCAAAATATATACACATGGCCAAAATTTTAAATGTTATCAAGAGATCTCTGTATCTGTTTGTCTGTCTTTGTGTTTTGTTTTTTACCTCCGGAGGACTAATTATAAATGGCGCCTTTAAATTATCATAAAACAAATCTTAAGATCTTAATCAAACAATTTTTTAATAAACAAAAACTAGTTTAAATTTTATAATGTAATTCAAAGCATATATGCCTTAAAGTTATGAATACTTTGTTTAAATGTGTTTCAAAAAGAAATTTCTGGTATAAAAAGTACTTTTCTCCTTCCTACTGAGTCACATGTATGTGAAAAATGTACATAGTATCTATATGGTGCTGATTTTTTTTTTTTTTTATTAATTTGCCTAATTGCTTCTTTATTAGCTAGCCTACAAAAACTTAGGTATGTGCCATTATATTATTAACAGCCATGCAAAATGGAATTCCAGTCATAACAAACTAAAACTACAACTAAACTTTCAGGTTTACTTTTTGCACCTATTTGTAAAACCTAAAAATTCTAATGTCATATTACCTTGTGTGTTCACATTTAAGTCATCTAGTACAAACAGATAACAGTATTATAATGCCTTACTGCTAATAAAAGATGTGACAATCCTAAATGGATGTAATGTAAAATGTGTGTTTACAAAGAAAAACATGTATTAAAAATAGATATTTTAATGGTCCTAAAAGTAAAGTGATAAGTGTTAAACCAAATGTTGAAGGTCTAAAAGAATTAAAAAGTAACAAGGCTAAGGAAAGTGTTAAATCTCAAAAAGAAATTTTACAAAAACAAATTTTGTATACTCAAATAATTTATATTATTTTAGTATTTTGGGAACACATTAGCTAAAAAATAATTTTTGGTTAATAATAACTGAGTTTTAATCTAATGGGTTGTTTCAAAACATGTACTTAT